TAGATGTGGCTTGAAAATAAATATATCCACCATGACGTTAAAGGTGTAAGATAGTACATAGTCCGTCGGAGACATTTTTTACGCTCAAACTTTTGGAAATTATTATGGGAAACTGATAAGTAATTGATAAGTAATTGATAAGTAATTGATAAGTAATTGATAAGTAATTGATAAGTAATTCTTCAATAAATGATAAGAAATTGATAAGCTGATAAAGAAAATAATTGGCTGAGATTCATCAAGACATTTAGATGTCTCCGACGGATTCTACCGTGCGAGCCTGCGAGCACGTGAAAACGCTTGCGCGAGCTTGCGAGTGCATGCGTTTTCCTAAATTTTAATTTCTTATTCATCACCTTCAATAAACTCCTATTCCATCCCAACTTACAACTTTCATTTCCTCCGCGATATATTTTAAAATAGGTAATAAATATATTCTAATTTCCAATATTATACTGTTGTCCATGCGTTGCTCTGTGCCCCGGAACCATGAATGGATCAACCCAATCAACTATATCCAGATCTGGATATACCCAGTAGTCCTCATCACGGTCTGTACTCCCAACTCTGTTAATGTCGCTCATGAAGTAATGTACTGTTCTTGGAGGGAGTTGAATTCCGAGTAGTAAAGCATGTACTTTCATCTTGTCGGTGCCATCTAACGTACGCGTGATGAGCCCTACTATGCCCTTAAATGACTCATTCGTAGCGTAGCGCGCAATCGCTAGAAGTTTTCGTAAGACGGCAAGCCATTCGAGTATACTAATCACTCAGGTTAGCCTATATCCTTTCTAATGCAGTACTATTTCCAATATAGACTTGGGGGCTATCACTTACTGGTCAGCGTCGAGCGTTCCGTGCATCGTTCTAACTTCTATCGTCCCGGGATTGTTCTCATCCGCTGGATCCGACAACTTATTACCCCGTATGCGTACTCGGATAGACGGCCTGAGATAGTCGTGCTCCTCATCATCGCCGCCCGACAAACCACTCGTCAACTCAGAAATTGTCGGATATTGCCACACGTTGTTAATGAATTCTCTTGTGCGAGGGTCGATGGTTGCAAGATCATAGTGACTGGCCATGTTTGTTCTGTTGCGAGTTCTCTCCCCTGGGCTAAAACGTGGTAAATAACCACTCTGCTTATAACGAGTCTGCAGACTGGGATGGAAGAGAGCCTGTCCGAGGCATGTGGCGTCAACTAATTTACCACACCACCTCGCCATCTTCGCTGAGGCCCGGTCCTTCCTATGGAGATGTATAAGAACCGGCTCTGCTAGCGCCCACAGCGTGACAAATCTCTTAATCATTAATAAGTTCCACCCAATCTTGTGGCCCAGGTGCACATGGAGTCCAGTTGAGGCCTCCATAGGTTTGTGACAACGCAGGCTTCCACGAAGCGTCCTGCAAGCCCTTCGAACGGATTCACGTGCCTGGTTATCATCAAAGGATAACGGAGGGCTAACTAACTCCGCACCAAACCACTACGAAGACATGTTAGTTAGTTATTTTCTAAATGTGCGCTATAAGGGCTGGATATAAATTAAAGGAGACAGTCCCCCCTCCTCCCTCAATAGTCGAGAACTTCAAAAGGAGGATCTGGGTGATATAGGTGTTACCTACGTAATAGTCTCGCATCGGCCTTTTGCTTTGGTTGAACATAGGTATAAGATAGCGGTTAGGTGTCATGCCTTCTCCATCTACCGAAAGATCTTCCACGACCGACCACGCTTTGTAATTCGATTTTAAGCCCCTTACCGGGACATGCAGCGTGTCTTCTGCTGAGCTGAGTGCAAGTTTATCTAACGCTTTCCTATCCTCACAGCTCTGGGCAAGTTTATATTCGAAATTTGCCGTTACCTGTAAGCGGTGGTTGTTGTTGGGCCAATCATAAAGGCATTCTTCTACCCTCTCGCGTACCAAATCAACATGTTCAGTCTTCAATTTAATTATATCCACATCGTTGGATTCACAAAAGCGGCAAAATTCGTCGACAAACCTAAAGCCGATAGACCCATTTTCGTAATGTGTTCGGTTAGGATTATACCTTTCGTTGACGGTAAATCGTCGTACAACATTCGCCCAATTCGGCGTTTCATCGTCAGTGAAATCGCTTTCTGATAGATCATCCTGGTAATTCCCCATATCACCTTCATGGGTCGGTATCTTGTTGCGTAGCAGCAGTCTATTGCGATAATCCCGATGTTAGCCATTACGTATTCTCTCATTCAAAATAGGTGAACAATCCTGATTTCGGAGGATAGTATGAATGTTGGAGGGGGAAAAAAAAGACGAAAAGAATATTGGTGCCCCATTTACGAACCTGACAACTCTCCTGGCGGCGTATCGTTTAAAATATATTGTATCTGGATCGTCGTCATAGTGGCGCCTGATATTGCGAGACTCAAGCTTTCGTGATATCCAACGTCTTTCTCGTGGATGTGGATCCAGACGATGTGGTTCTCCAGGATTTTTTCTCATGGCCGAGGTTACCGCGAGGAGAAACTCGAGTTCTATTATTACCTGTTAATTTCTATATGCAACGCGGATATAAATATACTTGTTGAGACGTGTGTTCTTCGCCATAGCTGTAGAATGGCTTAAAGGGGGCTTAGTTATGATTGGAAACTAATATCGTTACGTACTGCCGTATAATTAGCATCCTGAAGTGATAACTTAAACACAATGAAATCTGCTATACGAAGATTGGAAATAAGGACTGTCTCTTAACTGACCCTATACCGAAAGTCATTATGTCATCATCGGACGATCTCTCACACACTTCGGGATCGTCTGGCTCGCCTGAGTCAACATAATCTCTATCTGCGAACTTATTCGGAGCAAAGTTCTCCATCCACTTCTCCGTTTTGCCCTGCCCCCAGTCCGTGTTGCTGTCGTCGTCGTCGTCGTCGTCCTGGTTATTATTGACTCCACCAAATACGTCGTCGGTATCCTCCCCAGTGACCGGCTTGTCTTCCTCATGATCGACATCCCCCCAACTCCCAACATTTTGGTGCAGCCAGTCCGAGCTGCTACTTTTTTTGACCACTGGGCGTTTAGGCGTCTCTGGAACCGCCCATTCAATGGTTGGGATGGCTAGGTTGAATCCGCTTGAGGCGACCTCAACAGCTCGAGCTGCAGCCTCAGCTCCAGGAGCTTCCGGAGTTTTCACATTTTTAACCGGTACCTGATTATTCGATGGCGCCGGAAAAGGTAGCGGCACTGGAATAGGATGCACCGGCTCAGCATGCGGTAGTACAGGAACAGGTGGCGGCTCCGGAATATTGTTAACGTCAGGCATGGGATGGTCCTCGGCTGGCGGGTTCCTGATCGTCTGTTGAGACTCATTATTTAGACTCAGATTTCCGAGTCTCTCAAGTAACCGTCTTATAGAACCATGTTGCCGACTTGTAGCCCTACTAGACGCTTGTTGGGATCCTTGACTTGGTCCTGGTACCTGAGTAGAGGGTCGCCTTGTCCTCGACGAAGTGTCAAGAGGAGTTCTTATCTTTGCACTTCGTGGTTGATTCCCCCGTAGTGAGTGTCGCCAGTCTCGGAGATGGTCTCTCATTATTGACGCTGTCTTCGGTTATATCTCTCTCTACTATCTAAAATTATAATTTTGAGTGAAGTGTAAACTTATGTTCGCTTTCGCAACTCCACGTAACCGTAAGGAGACATTCGAAACTACATATTAGCGTTGAAGCCATAGGTAGCAACTAAGTATATAAAAGCATCAAGACACTATCCGCAGACGGAATATTGATTAGAAGGCTATAGTCCAAAGAAAAGGAGATGCTTGCGGCACTCTCTTTGTGCGATTTTAATGCTTATCTTTATTCTACTAAGGATGTGGCCATGTTCGCAGATGTTTTCTGCATTGTTTACATTTCAGCACAAAGGTACCATAGGTAGGTAGGTAGTCAACCAATAACTCTCTACCTTAAGCGGTTTAATCGACAACCCTGTTTAGAAATTTATAACATTAGCAAATAAGAGTAATCACCCAGGTCAGGTACCCAAATAACTATAGAAGTGAAACTTTTCAATAATGGAAAGGGATGCGCTTAAATATATTCTACATGTCCGATATCATGATTATACAATGTACCTAAGGCAAAATATAGGTATTCGGCTATCTTACCCACGGTATCTTGAGCCTTCGTCAGCGGTAGGATATGCAACCTGCAATTAATTCCAGGTATTTGATTTGCGATGAATAGATGATGAAATATAATACGTCAATTACTATAATAAGAAACCAATACTCTACTTGGGTACTATCGTGTATACTGCATGCATAGCACGGCTCTTTGCTATCGAGAATATAAATCAAAATATAACCGTTTACTTTTATCATTTATAACGTAGCCTATGGGTCACCTAGGTAGATATCCGAGTTTAACTTAGAGGTATGGGGTTTATAATTTATAGCATCTTCGAACGTCAATCACATCAGTAATTCTCATGGCGGACATATGTATGAGCGGATGAGCACCTATAAATTTGGAACTAAGGAGTTTATTACGTCCCGGGGCTCCTCAGTGAATTCTCGCCGAGCATTAACAAACCTCGGGCAGCTGGCCAATAAGAGGAACCTGGATACGAAATTATCTAGGTACTTCAGGTTAGAAACTGGTGTGTGAAACAAGTGTAACAAAAGCCCAATGATTTGAGTAAGGCAAAAAAACGCCGTTGAATTCTGCTCTTCTTTCCCGATTACCAACTCAAGAAGCAGGGCGTCCACAACCAACCCTGGCGTGAAGCTTATCTGCTGCTCATTCTGAACTCCATGTCCCTTGGTTGACTGCGTTATCGTACCTCCCAACACTGCCAATAACCGCAGCCGACTTGCTTCCCAAACTTCGTTGCACGGTATCGTATATGGTCTTAATCTCGCCCACCTTCTCCACAGTCAAGGCAGGTACATTTCCACGCCATATCACCGTAGGCGTACAATTACGATTGACCTTCCTCAAGATAAAGTGTACCATGTAGACTTAAGAAGTCTTTTTGGGTACCGCAGATCCGTTCGTATACTTGCCAAGATCCGTGGCATCGTGGAACTGGCGCGCAACGCTCTTGATACCTTCCCAGACAGAGCGCACAGCCGGAGGATTACCCTGGGCGCCAACTAAGGAATCAATTCTCGATTCGAGCCTTCTGAAAGAGTCCTGTACATGCGTGCTTTGTGCAAATCTAGTTCGGAGGAATGCAGTGTAGATAGTAATGAGAATCCAAGACAGACGTTGGAAGAATACGGCCGATAGGAACAATCGGAACCAAAGTAGAATCTCTAGGCCCGAAACGACAGACATGGACGCGTCATAGTATTGCTTTACGAAGTTCCCAATGGCCTCGGCAAGAGGGCTAGCCGACTGCGGTTTGGCACCAGGAGAAGCACCAGCAGGGACCTTATTGGGCTGGATAGTGGGAATAAGGTTGCTTCGCGTATATGTTGCGACGTGGAATACGGAATAAATGCCGTACGGAAATAGGGCGAGGGTGTATTGAGGAGCTAGGAACCATACAATTGCCATGGCTTTTAAAGCGAGTATTAGCATACTCGCACATGATACAAGGAAACGCAGCTGGCATACCAAGATATTGAACGTTTTCATCTGAGAGAAGGCCTAGAACTCCTGGGCTCTTGGCCCCAACCTTCTGTCGAGCTCGCCATGTCTTGTATACAACAATCCCGTATGTTAGGGCCGCCGAGAGGAAGGCTGTACGATAGGTAAATCGAGCCCAACGCGAGGTATAGTTAAATGCGATAAGGCCGATGGAGTACCGGAAAAGACTCAGCAGAAGTAGGAGGTGTCTGTAAAATATATCAAACGTCAGTAATCGAGTTCCTTGTTACATATTACAATGCTAGCCTTGAATCGAGGAAGCAGGCCCCGAAACGAGTCGAGGAATGTAATAGGACTTGACGTACCCGCTAAACCAGGCAACTATATCGTTGAATAAAATGTTAACGAATGTCACACAGAGATGAGCAAGCTCGGGGGAATTATTTGCAATCACTTACACTGTAAAGTTTTGGCCAGAGCTAGAATCCTTTCACCGAGAGGTAGACTCGCGGAGGGCGGAGGAGCCATTTTCTCGGAAACGGCAGGAAAAGAAATAGAGATAGCCTTTGTTCTGGGTTGGAAAAATGAAGTATTGAAAAAAGTAGTTATCAAAAACTAATTTCCAGATGAAGGCGTAGTCGCGTGCTACTGTTGTAAGGTAGAAAGAATAGATGTTGGTGGGTATGAAATGCCTTGAAGTTCGATGATGTCGTATTGTGTCGTATTAGCGAAAAAGAGCTGAAGAAGCTGGTGAGGTGGCTAGATTTGTACTGGAGGTGGGAGAAATGACGACGAGAACCAATGCTTTGTGCTTATGCAACCCACTTACCCACTTACCCACTTACCCACTCAAGGTACAATTCGTACTGATGACTTTACACATTAGGTACCTGTATATAAGAGGTATCCGGTTATGGTTGGTGCGTCATCAATGTTGGAAAATTGTGGCCCTAGCTTCTAGCTTCTGCCATACTTTAGGTACGTAGGTACGTAGCTTCTTCCTTGCACATGCCTGGTATGTTACCTTGGCAGCCGCAATCCTGACGGAGCCAGCAACAAAACGGCCTACTGGAAGCCTTTCGTCATAGCAGCATAACACCGAGTCTAAACCGCGTCCACACATGCAATATATCTTGCTTTACAGTTTCAAGCTCTTTACTGTCCCAGACTTCGGTATTCTACTTACGTGGCATAACGACGGCAACATATAGAATACCAACCTGTTTACATTACTATTTACTAATCGATATTTATACCATATTTGTCATGCGTGATGGGTTACCATCATGACTTCTAATGTTAGCACTATTAAAGCTACCTAAAGTATCCTAGCGTTATCTTAATACGCAATCAAGAAGCACCAATCACGACGTTGTTAAAGTTAATGCGAGGCATATCAATATAAGATAATTTAGGCCACGAGCATAAGAGGCTACAGCATCTGCTATTGCAAAACTGCACACATTAAACATACTAGATCCAATTAGGTAACATGATCAACATGATCACCATCAACAGCTACGGTTTCTAAAATGACACACTTAATTGGCTGTTGAAATAGTTGAGACACCTTACCCTTACCCCTCTTTTTCATCGACGAGATGATTCGGCTTGATCTGGCATCAACACGTGGATCCTCAAACCGACACAACTTGTCCATAATCTATGTAGTAGCCAGTGAAGTAAGCCAGTGTGTGACCAAAGAACAGAATCTCTTACCCAAACGACACGGGGATATACTAGACAGTTGTGACAGAAGATAACTTGGCCTGCTAGCCAAGATGGCGACGATCAGTTCAGCAGCCCCGCGCTTCAAACTTGTGTTCCGCGTACCCCCGGCAGCCCTAGCGTCCGTCAAAAGCGCGATATTCTCTACGGGTGCGGGCCGCTATCCGGGACCGGGCAATTACACTGAATGCTGTTGGACAACCATGGGCACCGGTCAGTTCCGGCCCGGAGACGCCGCAAATCCCCACATCGGGAAAGTCGGCGAGCTCGAGGAGGTCCCAGAAGCTAGAGTGGAAACACTCTGCGTCGGCGAGGATACCGTTAGAAAAGCCGTCGAAGCACTGAAGAAGTGAGTAACGTCGATGAATGCGCATAGATATTTATCGAATTCTGCTAAATGCTCACTTGGATGCGGATAGAGCACATCCTTATGAGGAACCAGGTTATGAAGTGTACAGAGTAGAGGATATTTAACTCACTTGAAAGCAAGGAGTAACAGTATATCGCAACCCATCGTAAAGCGTTATCTACCAATACAAATAGGGGTGATCTGTGGAACAGGGTTAAGTATCATGCAGGTACAATTCCATATTATAGAAGCTAATGAATATATCGGTATTCACAATTTGACATGAGCTAAATCTTCAAGTTGATTGCAGTTGCTGGCGGCTTTGTTTCCCTAGCGGAAGAAAAAAATGGGACGTAAAAATGTGAGATCTGTCACCGGCCTCTTCTAATTGGCCAAAAAAGTGACCCTTTCCCACTAACACATACTATAGGTACACAATGCAGTCTTCCGCGACTCTTGCAAAGCATATAAGTTTAGGGCTCTGCGTTAAATCTACTTTTCTAAACTATTAAGTCTTAATACTAAATTCAATTCGAAGATACCAGGAGTGATAAGTCGTATAACTATGACAGCATTATATGATTAAAATTCATATCGACGACCATGGAAAGTCGCACAAAGAGCGACGACTCTAACACAGAACAAGTACATGTTCATATCCAACCTCCGTCAGAAAATGACATAGAGAAAGGTCACCACATCAAAGACCAACCCGACGATGCAGCAACTTCGCAGAAGCAATCCGTGTTCAAGTCACTCGGTTGGCTGGACCGCTTCCTCGCTATCTGGATATTTCTCGCGATGGCCATCGGGATCATACTAGGCAACTTTGTGCCGGAGATAGGGCACGCCCTACAGAAAGGTCAATTCGTCGGTGTCTCGGTGCCAATAGGTGCGTTATACCTGATTATAAAGCGATATATTAATCTAGAGGTTTTAATCTGTATTAACACGTAACACTCACAGCTGTCGGATTGCTCGTGATGATGTACCCCATACTATGCAAAGTGCGGTACGAGACATTACATGAGATATTCTCGCACCGCGGTGTCTGGAAGCAGATTGCATTTAGCATCTTTATGAATTGGATTGTCGCTCCGTTCCTAATGGTTCGTAACATTCAGTCTGTGACAACTGCAATGAGTCCGATCTCTTTATTCTTCTACAGCATTGGCTAATACGGCTTTACCTATAGCTAGCACTTTCATGGGCATGCTTACCGGATAAGCCCGAGCTTCGGACAGGCCTGATTCTAGTCGGCCTAGGTAGATGCATCGCAATGGTATGAGTATCTTATAGAGTATGGTTTCAAGAACAATAAAGGCTAACTGGCTCTTAAAGGTGCTAATATGGACGGGTTTAGCCGGTGGGGATAGCGAGTACTGTGCCATTCTCGTGGCAATTAACTCCATTCTCCAAATGGTATTATTCGCCCCCTTGGCTGTTTTCTTCATTCGTGTGATCAGTGGAGAATCCGGTCCTCTGGACATCTCGTATGAAGTCGTTGCAACAAGCGTAGGAACTTTTCTCGGTATCCCACTAGGTGCGGCAATGCTGTCGCGCTTTGTACTACGTGCCTTAGCTGGTTCGCAGTGGTACGACCGCGTCTTTCTCAAATTCGTCGCGCCGTGGTCTCTAGTCGGCTTGCTCTACACCATCTTAGTCCTGTTCGCTTACCAGGGTCAACAAGTCGTCCACCAGATCGTGTCAGTCTTGAGAGTTGCAGTTCCACTCGTTGTGTATTTCATCGTCATCTTCTTTCTGACGCTCTGGATCACGTATCGGTGCGGATTTGGATATTCCCTCGGCGCCACGCAGAGTTTTACTGCTGCCAGCAATAATTTCGAACTTGCTATCGCCGTGGCCGTCGCAACCTATGGTCCTAACAGTGACCAAGCCCTAGCATCTACCGTGGGGCCGCTTATTGAGGTACCGGTGCTGCTTGGGCTAGTGTACGTCGTCAAGGCGATAGGGGGTAGATGGGCCTGGAAGGACTGATTTTTATGGTATTTAACTCGAATAAAGACATATTATGTCTGTAACTAAGCAATACCAAAGAAATTTACCTGAAACAAGATCTATTAGTACCGGTGACTGCCTTTATTCAATAGTATGCAACAAGGAATGGAAAATAGGGGTACAACCCCATTAGCCTCCTTCTTGTCGCTTCTCTTACCGAGAAATGATATAACTAAAAGGCAAGAATAACGCTATCATATACTATTTATGTTTATTACTAAGGTTAATCGTAATATAAAGTTAAAGGATATGTCTATTCGACGTATTATCATTATATATATCACGCGTCTCGCACGACTAAGCCATCAGAGAAACCATGCGTAGTCGTAGGTATCGCAGAAAGCTTTAGCTGCCGAATATACTTAATATTATTACACCTATTCTTCTCTAGAAGTCAAGTAATTTGTGGTCCATGTTAGAAGATTTGAGTCTTGTGATGTCCAATAACTCCAATCCAGTGGACACAGGCCCAGCCTCCCTAGAAGCGCAAAACACATGTTCCACATCACTAGAATCCAAGTCCACCTAGAGAGAGCCGGTAATATATAATATAAGTGTAAGCTAAGCAGAAAGGATTTAAGTTTGCCGAAGAAATTGTATCGTAATGTTATTGTGAGTACTAAATCCATATCGTTTAGCACGCTCTCCTTCTGTAACGCGAAGTCGATTTGTCGGTCTTGATCCAGTTTGACTGTTCTGGCCGCCGGCATGAATCTGTCACGAGACCAAATGCGGTCTTGTAGCTGAGCTGCAAATAGTTGTTCGGCACGCTCGCATGCAAGTATACTCTCTTGGTCGAGGATATCCTCGTGAACTTCGAGTAGGGGCGTTAACAGAAAATTACGGGGATTAAAGGCGAACACCGCAACTATCCGTTTACCACATAGAGCATCGGCTACCGCAATAGCACCGGTATTCAACCCCTGTCGTGGAATGTATTCAAATACTGCTGTAGCTGAGCCTCTGGGTTGTGGTATACCATTATTATGTCGTTTCCATCGGTCTTCAGGGACGGCGTTAGTCTGTCTGAGACTTTGTGCGTGGGCTTTGTTATAATACCGAACCCACAGACGGTTTGACGGTCCGGTTGGACCTTGGAAGTTTGCTGAGGCAAACAGCACCATTATGCTCCGCGTCTGCACACTTAGAATATCCCCCGTGTCTATAAATCGAAGGCGGTAAGGCGGTACTCTCGAGTCCTTGCTTACGTGGAATACATCCTCTCCTATAGAGGACTGTGACGTTGCCGTCAATCTAAGTGCTACCAGGGCACCCTTAGCTTGACAGTGCAGCACCCCCAGCGTCCCTTCTCTGTGGGTCTCGATAATAGGTAAGGAGATACGCAACCCTCTATTAGTAAGTTCGTATGCGTCCGGTAGGGTTTCGCCTACGGAGCTAGTGATGTTGCCGCTCTTTGAGAAAGCGGACACGGATGGTGCCAATAGAGAATCCGCCTTTTCAGAATCCCATGCGAATATTGAATGGTCCCAATGGGTCTTGATGATCTCCTCTTGTAAACGACGGAATGCACTCCGGCCTTCGCCATACAGCAGTGGCATATTAACCTCGAATATCCCAAGCAGACAGTAAGCCTCGTCTTCGAGCCGGGTGGTTTGACGGTTTGCCGCCCACGACATTCGAGTTGCTACACTGAGAACAGAAGGACTCCGTAACCCCTTTAGCACAGTTGCGTCTATATTTGTGATTTGGCAGATCAATTTAAGTAAGGTGCCTTCTCTTGTCCCCAAGAAGTTCCAGCCCTGGCCAAAGAACCGAAGCTCTCGAGGGGCAATTAGCTCTTGCAGCGTCCAGCCCCGTGTAAACCATCTCGCGCTTTTGAAAGCGCCGATCCAGGGCTGTAGATCTGGATCGCTCTCTGGGTCGCTCTCCTGGTCACCTTTCCCGGTCAAAAGCGGACATTCCCAGGGTACGTCTTCCATGTAAACATAGCAGACCACGCTATCTTTATACCATCTATACATAGAGTTGATAGATTCGGTTAATTCTGCGCTGCTAGTCTTGTCCATGCATACTGTATCTATCCAGGCATACTGTAACCCGTCTTTCAGTGCCTGGCGACACATAAATTCGATCTTTCGATAACCTTTCCTTTCCTTGGCCTCCGGTCCCGAATACATTTGAAATGTAACCTCGTCCTCACCCCAGGTATGCGATAGTATAGCAAAAGGTGGCTCATAACCCCCAAAGTTTTCGAGTCGCATGGTAGTCGTGTTAATAAGCCACATGGTAGTCTTGACTGAAGTCAACTAGAGCGTTGATATGTACCTCAGATAGTCCGAAGTCAAATAAAATAACTGTATATCAAACGAACCGTAAAGATTATATGAATATAAAGTATCAGTCGTATAATTTAATCAGAAGCAAAGTCAGGCTATGTGCCTACTTACTTACGTACCATATATACATACCTACTTACCTAAGGCATATCTTTTCATCATGATGCACTCTGGAAATGTGGAGTTACTATGCATCTCCATTGGCTGTGCTAACCGAATATATACGAGTCTGACATGGGAGGTATGCAGTGAGCCTTACAAAGTATAGCCCGCCTAAAGAATATGCCTTAGCTGAGGGCTGAAGTTCCTCGCGCAGCATTACAACAAATCCCAGCTAGAATTTCCCAAGTTAACTAAATCGAGGCAAGTTATAAGTGAAAACTATAGTGCTGGTTCAAATTCATCTATTTAACACTTGTCTATATCTCTGCTAGAAATGTTCTCGCAATATTCGTGCCCAGCAACTTGCAATAATCCACATAATGCTATTGTATTGAACCGGCAATAGTAAAATACTCATAGTTTTCCGCGGCTTAGGTTATTCTATCGTATTTTATTTATCTTTAATTATGACTGAGCACCCTAACGCTTAACAGAAAATGGACTATAATAAACCTCTAGAATAATGCAGCCCTATTTAGCGCAAAATGCTATTCTTGACGCCATATATGTAAAGGTCCATTTACGTTTGCTCCCTTTTAGATTAGCAGAAGGGCTATATGCTATATCCCCTTCGCGAGTAGGGCTGTACCGGTGCTATAAGGATACTCTATTTCCGAAGGGCCTTCACCTTTACTTCTTTCACTATCAAAAATTATACAGCTTTTATTATATTCACCTTTTCCGTTACCGACTCTGTATAAAATCTGCAAGCAGCTTGGAGCGGCGTTGCCCTGGACTGCAGCGACGGTCGCGTTGCGTGAGTAGCTAATCTCATCAAGACCTGGCATGATTGAGGTTGTGTTTGAGTTGCTTGTAGTTAGAATAATAATTAAGTCAGGATTTAATGATTCTATTAGGACTTTAAGAACTTATTAACTTCATATAGACTTGAAGAGAGTTAGAAGCTTGTTTACGAAAAGGCTATTATAGTGAGTGGAGTCAAGTGACTTGATTACCTACCTAAATACATATATACAGATACATACATATCTAGGTACCTAGGTACATACCTAAGGACTGCCCAGGTGGTGCCTGAATGATCATCAGAGTTTGTGTATGCGCACGGATGAAGCACGTGGCGTCGCGAGTATGCGCGTCAAGACTAAGGTGAATTAGGGAAGGTACCTACCTAAATGAAGGAAGGTAGGGCGATCAAGAACCGACGTAATGGGTGCAATCACGATCCTTAAGGTAGATCTAAGCAAACTTACCTTCATACATGTTTTTCAGAATTTTATTTGGTAACTAGTAGTACTTCTTATTACAGGTATCACTTAAAAAAGAAAAGAAAAAAAAAATTTGTTATCTACAGAAATAAATTTTCAGCCCAATCAGTGTCAACTCTTGAATTCTCAGGCTGCAACCTAATTATCTGCCTTGCCTGTTTTGCCCGTTGCCCGTTGCCCGCTGCCAGTGCCACCCTGACTACATGCTCTGACTGCATACCTCTTTATCATTCGGGCAAACTTGGGCGAACTAGAGGTAGATATTATTAGATAAAGGCATAAAAGCCATTATGCCGCCATTGTCTTTACAAGCCGATAGTACGTCTAATCGACAAAGTGTGCGTCCGGAACGCCAACTGTCGACTTCTGTAACCCGAGCTACAGATATCGCTGGGTCTGACTCATTCGATCAAGAAAACAACCAGCCGACACTTAACAAACAGACAGCTGTAGATCAGGTTAGACAGGCCGGCGAAGCTCGCATACCAGAACGAGCGAATCGAGACGTAAAGAAAGCCGAAGAAACCTCTCGCCAAGAACGATTGAGGCGTCAGCCACAAGAGCAACAGCGACAAACACAAAGCCAAGACAGAGAAAAGCAAGAGAAAATGAATCAAACAAGATCTTCCGGCGAATCTCTACCTGTCGCTGCAAATGCGTTCAGAACCGCACGCGAAATGTATCAAGAAGCCGAGTCATCGGCGGGCACCCTCGACCAAGGTCAATCATACCACCCATGCGAACTATTAGCTGGGCCTCTAAACTTTGCTGCCATAGCTCAAGAGCTAGGTTCCTATGAGGAGGATGATTATGATTATGATGATGACGATAGTGACGTTGGTGCCGGACGTGGCAGAAATACCTACCCGCATTTAGCGAAATCGGGAGAGTTGCAGGAGAAAGAAATACAGAATTTCTTGACAATGCCAGAAATCGACATCTCTCCGGAACAGCGAAAGAGCACACCGGCTGCGATGTCTTGCACCCTAATGGAACATCAGAAGGTTTGCCTGACTTGGTTGATACAGCAGGAAGAAGACATTCACAAGAAGGGGGGTATTTTAGCAGGTAATTAACAATAACATACCTGCTACGGTTGAATAACAAATATAGCTGACTTTTTTTACAAGATACCATGGGCCTCGGTAAGACTGTTCAAGCACTGGCCTTGATTCTAGCACACCCTTCAAAAGACCGCGCTCAGAAAACAACACTGATTATCGCTCCGCTCTCTCTTCTCAAACAATGGGAGAGGGAAATTCAGACCAAGGTCAAACCAGCCCATAAGCTGAAAACAGTCATATTGCATGGCCAAGCGAAGAGCGGAATGACTGTTCCTAGACTTCTCACCTACGACGTCGTCCTAACCACCTATGGAACCATCATTTCCGAGTATAAGAACCTGCCAAGTATGAAGAAGAAACCGCTAATCCTAGCCAATAATACCATCTTTTATCGAGTCATTCTCGATGAAGCCCACTCCATTAAAAACAGAAAGGCTAAAGCTTCAGTAGCTGTGTCTAGGATTAAGTCAACTTACAGGCTTTGTATGACGGGGACACCATTCATGAACAAGGCTGAGGAAATATTTCCACTCATCCGTTTTCTTCGTATTAAGCCCTATTGTGATTGGGATGCATTCAACTGGGAGATCAATAAGCCGCTGAAGAGTTGGAATGATAACTTCCACGATAGTGCCTTAAGGAAACTACAGGCTCTATTCAGGAGTATAACCCTGCGGCGGACTAAGACGAGCATGCTTGACGGCAAACCCATCCTCCAGCTACCGGCACTCGTGAATGCAGAGGCCACAACTAAGTTTAGCAAGGACCAGCAAGACTTTTACGACGCTCTCGAACATAAACAGCAACTCAAAGTGAACGAGTTCATCAGGGCTGGAACAACAATGAAGCAGTATAGTTACATTCTCGTATTACTGCTGCGACTACGTCAAGCTTGCTGTCACCCACATTTGATCAAAGATTTCGGTATTCCGGAAGGCATACAACTTTCATCAGAGGAGATGCGCCGACTCGCTCAGAGGCTCAAACCCAACGTCGTGAGGAGGCTCAAAGCACAGACTGAATTTGAGTGCCCACTCTGCGACGAAGCGACTGAGAGCCCCCTCATAATATACTCTTGTGGTCATTTGATCTGCACTACTTGCTTCTCTGCCATGATGGAGATCCGAGATCCGAATTCCGAACAACAGAATGTTTGCCCGCATGAAGATTGCGACTCGGAAATTAACCCCGAGCGAATTATCTGCCACTTTTCTTTCGTAGAAGCACATATGCCCGAGAAGCTCGGATTGGATGACGATGACGACTCGGATAATGACTCGGATGGGTTCGAAAGTTTAGAGGACTCAGATGATGACGTAGATGCACGTGGAAACTTAAAGGGCTTCATCGTGTCGGGAGACGAAGACGATGAAGACGATGAAGACGACGAAGATGACGAAGAGGAAGAGAAAGAGAAAGAGAAAGAAGATGGTTCGGATGTGGGAAGTGATTCTATTTCTGAAAAGGGAAAGCCTATGCAACCCGAGGTCTCTACTGACGCGATATGGAAGGACGTTTCTGCCAACAAGGAGTCCTTAGAGGAGGACCCCGCAGACGACTCTGATGATTCTCTAATGTCACTGGAGAAAATCTGGAAACAAGTTGAAGCAATGAAGCATATTAATAAGGATAAATCTGAACAGTCTAAGAAGCGCAAAGCCCGGTCCGACTCGGCATCAGACGACGATGTGGATATAAAGAAAGCATCTCAGACTGGGGGTAAGCGAAAACGTTCTAGTCACGAGAATGTTACCAGGTCAAAGAAGAGGAAGACGAACACGAACAAGGCGGCCAGCAAGAAGCGGCGTCGAAATGGGAAGAATAAGTTCACCTCCATGGCAGCTCTGAAGAAAGCCAGCTCAAGCAATGCCGCCGCAAAGGCGAAATATCTAAAACGTCTCAGGAAGGATTGGGTCCCAAGTGCCAAAATTGTCAAAACGATGGAGATATTGTCCGCGATTAGAGAGAAAAATCCCAAGGAGAAAACGCTCATCTTTAGTTTGTGGACATCTTTCCTCGACTTGCTTGAGATTCCTATACATGACCAAGGCTTCAATTATACGCGCTACGATGGAACAATGCATCATAACGACCGAGATGCCGCCGCGAAGAAGTTTATGAATAGCCCCGAGGTGCAGATCATGCTGGTCAGCTTGTCTGCTGGCAATGCAGGGCTGAATCTCACGTCAGCAACCCAGGTCATTATACTCGAACCCTTCTGGAATCCATTTGTTGAGGAGCAGGCCATTGACCGTGCCCATCGTATCGGTCAAAAGAAGGAGGTTACTGTTCACCGTGTCTTGATCGATGGAACAGTCGAAGATCGCATCCGCGCGTTGCAGGACAAGAAACGCAAGCTAGTCAATGCAGCCCTCAGCGAGGAGGGCGCCCGAGGCGTTGGCCGGTTGAGCCTTACGGAATTGAGGGGCCTATTTGGTTTCCGCTAATCTCATCCTATCTACTCTAGCACGAGTGAACTATGCTGATGTTAGAGGCTATTATGGTTGTCCCCATAGCTTCGTTTCGGTTACAAAAGGGGGTCAAGTGCGATTGGGTGGACAGAGGCTGTTTGTTCAATCGATCATCTACTTGCATTCAACACTTCTCTCGTGTCACTTCATTGAATATGTCTCAAGCAGATGTATGTTGGGGACAATATACTTCATACTTGATGCTATTCTAGTCGCGCAATTTCCAATATGGACTACTGGAATCCGGGGGGGTAGTTTGTATGCTCTTCCAAATTTGTTCAACACTGTCAAAACTGCTTGTATGATATTAATAGCTCGAGGAGCCGCATGTTTTCTATGTCTATTTAGATTAACAGATGGACGGTTGGGACAACCCAGATATTGAGGTCACTGTTAGCATGGACGACTGGGGCGACGGCTTGATGCCGAGTCCCGATCGCCAAGGCGTCACGGGAAAACGGGTTGTAGGAGGTTAGGGCTAGGTATGAAAGGCATATGTGTTCACGCTGTCCGGATAGGGTCTTGCGGGCGTCGGGGAATTCAAAGTTCATGTTATCAATCCGGCTACCCTTGTCGGTCGTACATAGCAATATGGATAAATGAGTCCACCTTTCTAGATACCGGCCTACCACGTCCCGGATAATTGATATGGACAATGTGCATAGGTATTTTTTGGGGTTAACACTCCTCCTTTAGACAGTGTTTAACTTGATCCTATTCGGGCTTTGAGCGGATTGCCATGATTTTTTTTATTTGGAGTTAGTCAAAAATAGGTACGTTATTCTACAGTTGTTGTTTCTCGTTGGGGCTTAGCTATAGTCTTATGTTTCATCTTACGGTTTAAAGTAAACAGATCACTAATACTGATAGTGCTTTCATATAAACAAGGTAAGCTTATAATGTTTACCAGCTATAGCGGAATCCACGAGCTTAGAATCGTCAAACATGCGTTCAGGTTAGGTAGCTGTGGCTCTGGCTCGCGGCAAAGGACCCTATCACATGTCACTTATTAGTAGCCCGCCGGATAATAGTTAACAGGCCAAAGCTTTCGTCAATAAAAACCTAACTTAGCCAACCACTCGGTACACCCCATGTTCCTGCGGATGGGTTGCATCCGGGGAGATCTTTTTTTACACAGCAAGGTCGAGGGGATTAGGGGGTAAACCGCCAAGGAGTCAATCAGCCCAGGCATCGGGAAGTTAGAGACCAGGCTCGCGGGTACGGTTTTAGCTGGAAATTATAAATAAAGCCCATGCTGTGGCGAATGTTTTCAATGGTAAGGTGCCATGGTGCGGATGTTGGGCCCCGTAAATCTCTACTAGATAAGTCAAGGGCGCAGCCGATCGTCGAGACGAGAAAGATAGAGAGTTTATTACAGTAGCCCTTTCCTCACGGTTGTCGTCGTCGTCGTTGTTTCTGTGCTATAGATAGACTTGCCCTTGCGTGGCAGACAGAAAACATAAGCAAACATCGGTGCCACACTTTCCAAGCCGCAAGATGAAGGTATGTTATTTCTTTGAAGAGGCTGCAACGACCAACCTAACCTTTCTTCTCCCTTTACCTATTTTGCAAAACTAAACGAGCCAAGAAAAATTCACCTAAATCTACTCCTAGTCATAAACACAAGCTAACATGCCTCTCCTCACGAAGACCATATCAGCAACTATCGCACTCCTTGTGCTCCAAGTTACGGCTGTCCTCGCAGCCCCTACCCCAGCAGATGCAGCTCCGGCCTCGTGGCGGCTTGACTGCGGGTCTCCCGGCACTACGGCGCTATGCTCGGCAAGTAACAGCGGCGCCCACTGCGATCCCGTCTCGGGCGATTTGACGATCATCCTGGCCGGCACATGCGGAGCATGCAAATGTGTCAGCGCTGACCAGTGCTCGCGGGGTTGCGGAAAGGAAGAGGAGGAGTAATTGGGAATTGAAATTTACACGGGAGCATACCTACCTTGGGATGAATATCATACCAATGATCAAGGGGACGGACGAGAGGATTGGGGTGGAAAGGAAAAGGGGGAAGAGTCACAATGCGATACGCTGTCTAGGTTATTATACCTACAGTATAACATTCCCTAACTACCTAAGGTACTTAAGATATGCCATCGATGGAGAGCCAATATACGCTACGCTAAAAGGATGGAGGAAAGACTTGCTTTGAGGTTGGAATGTTGGGCAGTTCGTAGATCTTAGTTATTACTTTCTCGGGAATTAGGCTTAAGGGTATACGGGTTAGGTATTGGTACTTGTTTTATTCCGTACAATATGAATTGATAATTCAAATTAAGGTCTGAGTAAATATATAAGGTATCGGGTTCGGGGTATACGTAAATGAATTTTTTCATATTATTTTCATATAATGAAATGTATTAAAGTCGTCCCTTATTCGCTACATGTACGAAGTATGAACATTGTGTTGTAAGTGTATAAGAAAGTTGTTAGTTGTTAGTCGTTCCTTAATAGTGCATGGCCATTGGTTATTCGGATGTTACCACGGGACCCATGGCCTAAAAAAAGAATATTTGGTAGCACTAATTCTTATCGATAAGCTTAATAGTAGGACTTGAGCGCATCAAGTCCAGAAATCAACATTAAACAATTCCCAACTCCACTAATCCATAACTATTTCAACCAGATATTCCACTTAGGGAGCTACATAGCTCTACTAATAAATCATACCTATACGGATGGCCTCGTAGAACAGCCCTTTCATATAAGACACCATCAACAATGCCGCCATGTCGGTTCAATACGCCAACCCATCAACTAACCCATCAGTGGCACGCTCGCGATCGCTGCGCGTTCCCGTTAAAGCGTCCTTGACCGCCCCTCAGCCTGCTACTACTGTCACTACGACTCAGATACCCAGCTCTACTTCCAACCTTGCCCTGTTCCTTACGAACCTCCGCTTGCTAGACCTCGACCTTGAGCCCGATTGGCCAGATATAACCCTCGCGACCTTTTCAACCAAAGACGCCGTTGGCGGACAGAAGAAGCGGATTCAATCAGTCGAATGGGCTCTATACCAGTTATTTATGCTATGGGATTACAATGAGACTCAAAATGTATGTCTACCATATCCCAACACGTGCGAAGTATTCTAATTCTCTAGAAACTGCGTCCGTTTTTCCCACCTCTCGACCAGGTCCAGTCTATCAACCTCCGAGCCGCTCTCCTCCGCGGCCTTGAACAGGCTAAGAAGAATGGCGTCCTAGGTCGAGATGCCGTCCTACGAAAGACTATGTTGGATGAATGCAAGGGCGAGCGACTTGAAGAAGTTCTGGCCGTCTTTTCCTCGGCTGTCCTAAAGAAGCTGGTTGCCGAACGTGCGCTCAATTCGGGTCCAGAATATCGTCCTAGTATATCGGAGAAGCTCGCGCTCGAGAACTGGGGCTACTCGGGAGACCGTACCGAGCTAAATGGACTCTTACTCGCTCACAAAGCGTCCTTGAGTACCATCTTGGCTAAGAAGAATACGGAACGAGTAAAGTATCGCGACTTTGAGGACCTATTAGCGTCAAAGGAACAAGGCATTGCCCGGCGAAAGGAAAAGGCCAAGGCAGAATCCGAACGAAGCGTAGCTGAGACATCTGAAAGGACAAGAACGGAAGTTAATAGAATTATTAAGACCAATTGGACTGGAAATGATCAATGGCTTGATAGTCTCCTATTCAACGACACGAACCCACGAAAAGGAGGGCTCCTTGGTAGCCGTTTCGATGACGTCTGGGTTGGTGTTGAACGAGGGAAAGTGTCTGACCTCGAAGACCAGAATACCGGCCTCTTGGAGCAATTAGACAATAGGGTCCAGATGCAGAAAGAAAGGTTGGAGAAATGGGATGATTTCAGGAAGAAAATGTTTGGAAATATGCCGCCACCGCCAACGGTGGAAGCGAAGAGAACGACCAAGCCAAAGAATATTGGTTTGCGCTTCACGGCTCATCAGAAGCTGAGCACCAACCAGGTGCGCGCGAAAGACAAGTTACCCTTCAACGCAGCACCTGCACAATACCGCACAATAGTCAGTAAGATGAAAGCTGAACTTGGTTCTATTGGAAAACCCAAGATTCCGGATTTTTCTAGTCTACTAGGAGGTTCGAATAGAAGCTCGGTAATCGATGTTGCTTCATACGCTACAAAGCCAGAGGAAATAATTGATGCGATCTCTGATATTAGCGAATGGGAAGATGAGGCAGAAGAAGTACGACCAATTGAAAAGCCTATACAACCCACCGGCGGGCGTCGCTATCGTCTTGTTCCTCCTAAGGCTAGTACTGAAGTTCAAGGACGGACACATGTGCCAAAGGCGTCCTCAATTGACGTACCATTCAGCCGAAACAAGAAATTCTTCCCAGATCTTTCACCCAGCTTTGAGCCTGAGCCATTAGAACAGATATCATCTTCGCACCTTCAAGTCCCGACGACTAGTACGCCCAAGAGGCAAGAATTAAGGAAGTTGGATACTATACCTCAAATTATCACATCGTATAGTGTTGCTTCCCCTGAGGTATCTCCCGAGCCATCTCCTACCGATAAGATGGTAGAATCGTTGTCTCCACCACCGGTCTCGGTTTCTCCAACCCAGGCCATGGCCGATGAAATATTGCGGTCTATGTCAAATACATCTCCATCCCCGATGAAGAAACAACGCCACACCCTTTCTCTAGCTGAGAGAACCCGCTTATCTATGACACGAACCCAATCGTTTGAAAAGGAGGATGAAATATCTCAGCCGTCCCCTACAAAATCTACGCACACGCAGAGCAGCAGTGATAATAATACAAATCATCTGCCGGAGAAAGATGAATACGAGGATCTAGTAGCCCGTACTAGACGATCTATGGTTGGCTTCGAAGCTGCGCGACAGAAGGCCCAACTGGAGAGGAGACGATCGGAGAGGAAGAGCAAGATGATACAGAGGAAGGGTGACCAGTTCCCAAAGCTTGAGGAAGAGAATTTTAACGACACGTCAATTGTGGAGGAGCTCCTCGATAATGGCCAGGAGGATTACGAAGCTGTGTTCCGGAGCAGGCCGCGCGTGCAGACGAGTCCCTTACCTAGCCCGTCGAAGCCATGGAATGGAGAGTAAATACCTGAGAAGGGATATGAGACAAGGTATATGTTGTCACATGAGACTTTTGCTTGGTTTACAGGGCTACTGTTAGGAATATGATACCAAATTGATGTTCCCCTTTTCAAGGGTATTTCTTGAGAAAAAGGTTGCTCGAATACATAGGTAGGTACATACATGCTGTTTCTTGTTCTATAGAAATTAATATAAGTATCTCGATGTAATAGCTACCCCAGATACCAGCTTTACGTATAATCAAACTACCTAAATCACCACCCCACTAATCAATCATAAAACACCAAGGCCCTAGCCTCGATGCTCTCCCGCGCCTCCCCGTCCTTGTACTCGGGGTCCTCGAACGCGCTGTGCGGCGCGCGCCGCGCGGGCACCGTCCCCGCCTCCGCCTCCGAGTCGAAACACTTTATGAGGAGCACCTCGTCGGGCCGCTGCGCGTGCTTGTAGTACCAGCGGTGCGTGACGCGCGGCAGGATCGTCCAGGTCTCGTCCCGGTCTGCGGGGTAGATTATCGATGCGGCGACTAGGTCGGCGTCTGGGATCGAGGTGCCGTCGGCTACGCCTAGGGGGTCTTTGAGGACGGGGCGGATGGGACGCCATATCTGTTTTTTGGGGGGTGAGTTAAGAATTCTTTTTCTTTTTTTTTTCTCTTTTAAGTTTGTTTTATACTTGAGGGAGGAACGGGGGTGTGGAGGTAAAGCAGAGAGAGGGGGGGATAGGATGTATGGATGGAGAGAAAAAAAGGGGGGACGGGGCATACGTTGATAATCTGATATCGCCGTTTCAGCAGCTCGTCCGCCTCGTCCGGAAACCAGCGCCGTAGGACTAATTCCGCGCCGGCGTACGACTGGTCTACATGTGCTCTGAGCAAGGGCCCGCGCGAAGACCGATTCCCCTTGCCTAGCTTGTGCCAGTTGGACGGCCCGCAGCGCGTCTTGTGGTCGAAGAGGAAGATGCGGGATGCGCCGGTTCTTATCACACACACACACATGTTAGTATATATATTAGATTTTTTTGATTTTTTTCTAAGTTTATGGACGGTTGGTAGAGGACTTACACTTCTTTCAGCAGCTGCGTCGACTCCGGGTAGTATGCGCCCTTGACGTGCTCTTCGTCTTGGAAGTCGTGCAGGGACTTGGTCGCGCTCTCGTGTCGGAGGAATTGGAATCCGTGGCTGTCGAGGGTGTACTTGTCCTCTGAGCCTGTCACGTCGTGGACGGTGGTCTGCTGGGGGGTGTGCGGACGCTCGTTTTTTACCGTGTTGCTTTGGAAGCTGGTCAGAAGTCTGCGCGGTGGATGGGGTTGGATGGGATGTGTAAAGTACGGCAGGCACTTACTCGGCGATCACGATAGGCATTGGTAACGAACCGTCGCCTGGGTCTTTGTAATAGTTGATGTTGGTTAATACATCGCGACGGCTTGGTATTTGCGTCGTCTGTGTGCGTTCCTCTGTATGCCCTTGGAACGTGAGAGGCACGTATGTTGTCGCGACAGCGGCGGCCATGTCTTCCCTTTCCTCCTGTATTATATATATATATACGGGTATCCCGAATATCTGCTAACTTCTAGCCTCTTAGTCCTACGGAACAATTTGCGATATTCGTCGAATCTTCCTATGGTGAGAAGCTCTAAATTCAACCCACTTAAAGCTCTTCCGCAAGTATGACTATGAAATCTAAATAAAGACTACCTAATACATGATGCAATATCAATGAGTAGTAGTTGTCCGTTATATTACGATCAAGCCAGGGTGTGCGGGGTCGCTTACATTGATTGGGTAAAGACCGTTGATACCCTCGTGTTGTGGTGGTGAGTTTTGCTATAATAGCCTAAAGCTTGAGCTTCAAACGGTCTTGGAAGTTCTTGGTTCATATAAACTCTTTCGGAGCTAGAATGTAGTACTTAACGTTCCCTCCGATCTACTAAAAGAAGAAGGGATGTTTTCTCGTTTTAAAATGGGGTAGTTATTTGAACAAGTCGTGTCGTAGTATATGTACGACTCGAAAAGGGGTGAATCGTCAAATCATACTACGTATAATCATGACACTTAATAAATCCTCGCGTTCGCGAGGTTCGGGTTATCAAGTCTCTAGTCTTTATTATAGAATATATGTTTGGTGGTGTTGGTAATATTTATGGAATTACAGAAATCTGGCAAGTTCTGTCCAAAAGAGTGTTAAATGGAATTTGGAAGGGCAGCTTGAAGACACATAGAACGCAATTATAAGCTTTGTACTTCCAGCTCCTTTCTATTCTCGATTGGTGTTATAGCATAATTTTAATCCCACGTGTAATGAGTGACATATCTTCAATGAGGATGATGATCCTAAGCTTAAAGCCCAGACTCTCCTTCTTCCTAGTCCTTATACCCCGACGGAATCGTATACTGATATTTTGGCGGGTACAACCGATCTTCCGGCCCTGCACCACCAGGACGACCACTCGTAACTTCGTACGCAGCCCTATAGTTGTGATACTTGGACATCTTGGAGCGGTCGGCAAAGTGCTCGGCTTCACCAACAGCCAGCGAGACCTTCAAAGACGGTAGATTTACTAACGCGCCCATTGATGTCGCACGCCAGTGAAGGTTGGGCTTGAGGAACGAGACGACATCTTCGGGGTTCATGCTCTTTAACACGGATTGGTTGCCGTCGTTGTCTTCGTGCGCGATTTGGTTCTTCCATCGCGTGATGAGAGCGTTGGTTAACACAACACGTCCCGTAGACTCAGTGTGGTCCGCTTGCTGGTTCCGGCAATTCCCACATCCCTCATCCGAGTTACCAACTGGCAGGTGAAAACTTGAGTCAGCAGTTATTCTTAATGTAAAATCTCTTTCGTGACTTCATAGTAAATGGGGTTATCGCCCTGACTATTGAAGGGTAGGTACTCACGACTTCCTGGCTCGGTCGAAAAGTTTACTACTTGGCCAACCTGGGTGGTTCGAGTCTTATAAGGGACCTCATCGGGTACTTTACCAACAAATATGTGAATTGTAAATTTGTTGCCATTGAGAGCGAACCTAATGATATTAGTTCATTCTTATATATGGTGGAGGATTACAATACTTCTCATAAACAACATTGACAACGTAATCGTAAGTCTTCAAGTCAACCGGTTTGTCGCTGAGGGTACGCAGCCTCGCTAGCTTGGGGAGGTTAGGCTGACCCGGGCCAGCTGTGAGCCTTGCTTTCTGCAAAGCTGACCAGTCACTGTTATAATTCTCGTTAAGCGTTTTGGTGAGAACGTCGAGGTGTTTCTGCTTATCGTAGACTCCATTAGTAGTATACAACCACTTCTCTAAACCCGGGTAAGTATAGCCTAGTGCCGTCACCTCTCTAACGTCAGAGGAAGTCCAATATTCTCCATCACCCGTATGGAAAGGCCGAAGTGGATCAGTGGGCTTGTCCCGGTGCTTAAACTCGATAGCATATGTCCCAAGGTCTTCATCACGCGGGTCGGAGCCGTCAAACCAGGGGTCTTCATGCAGCGTTTGCCAGATCGCCGTTGTTCTATCCACGTTACTAGACAAAATTAAACTCAGAGTCAGACTGCAAGACAATACGAATCCATCACTTACCAATGGTGAAGCCAAAATATTGGATCAAATGCAGCAACTGGGACGTGAGCCATGTGGCCCATCAAGCGGATGTTTTGATTGTCTGGCTCTGTCCAATCGCCGCCACACCAATCATGCATGTTGTCATGAATTCCCTCACAAGAGTCAAAAGCATAGTCCTTTGTCACCGGGTCATCTGCGCCGTGGTTAGGAGCTCGTTTAGTTGCGAAATCCTCAAACGTCTCAATAGTGAGAACACGATAGTAAGCCGCCCGAAGACCCGCTGTCATATTCCCCATCTTTGAGTTTTCCGTCTTCGTTTCGGGATCCCATTTATAGTCCCTCATGGCGTCGGCAATGGCTTGATTATCCTGCTTTCCAGTAACCCAAGCCTGGTTCACGCCCGTTCCTTTGGGGTGTCGGCTCGTAGCCTCGCATTGGTCAAACTAGATGATATGGCTTAGCCCCTATATCACTAAAAAGAATTTCGACGTGCTTACGGGGAAAGTGTACGTAATTCCCGTCTCGGGATCTAAAATTTTACTTGCTGTGATCCTCAAGTCCTGGTCTTCATCGTTAAGGCTTGGATCGCCCATAGTAATACGCCCTGGCATTGTGAACTGATATAGTGCATTCCGATAAAGACCGTGACCTTGAATTGTAGGCTGTCTGATATCAACTTCTTCATCCAGTACAGCCAACGGTACAGTATAGTCCCGCTTGTTTGGATCGCCGTCAATGGGCTTCTTGAGCGCCCAGTCCCAGTATGGTAGGCGCCAAGTTCTCGCTGCTTCTAGAAGGTCAGGTCTATCTGCTTCCGGGTACTTGTTGACCACTTCTTTCATAAGTTCATAGATGATTTGCTACGAATAGATCAGTAGACGTACAAATACGCGGATAAGATTACCTACTTCGAAGAGAAGCACGTAAGGCCGGTGCCAGGTGCAAAATAGAATACTATTATGAGTACAATATCCCTTTCCGTCAACTGCTGGGTTTTCTCCGGGCTCGTCCCAAGAAACAAATGGCTTCCCATGGATTCCTAATACTTAGTTTGAAATACATTATAATTGTCAGATATAGACTCACCGGCAATTTGAAACCAGGATAATTTCTCATGCGGGCTCATCTGGGAAAACATCCATAGCGCAGGAAAGAATAGTGCACGCTGGTTGATATGGAGCAGTTCTGTAGATATAAACCAGTCATCTATCTCCATACGGAGCGGTACTTTCCTGAGCGGATCATCTTTCCCAGGGGACAATCCCTCCTGGATGCCAACGATTGGATAGTAATTCGTAGTTGCAGCCATTGCGTTAAGGCTGGGGTTGTAGGATTGGCTGACTTGACGCAATCGAAACGAAATTGATGTTCAGATTGATAGACAATGGAGATTCTAGAGTCCTTATATGTTGTAAAGTCTCGGGTATGGGAAAGACCTCTGGGAGAAATCCCATCTGAACGAGCTTTCAAGGTAAGAACTATTGTGTTTTATGACGTCGTTGAACAGTATTTTTCTTGTCTGCTGATCACATTGACTGTGATAAGAGCGCCCGTCAGCAAGAAGTAGTACCACTGCAGGTGTTGTCATCGTGGCGCAAATAGGCTATCTTTCCTAGTGGTTATTCTATCAGTCGGTGTAAATGAGTGCCTAAACGAAATGACATGTATTCTTCCAATTGCGTTAAGGCGGAGCCAATGGCCAAGCAGGCTGGAATAGTTACACCATCTTTGGGGTTACACAATACGCTTTGAGATGTGGATGAATCTACACCGGTACCCTTCAAATCAATAGTTGATTCTTTTGAGAAAATGATGTTGTATATTTGCGTATTCATACTATGTTACGGCACATATGTATTGGATGACTGCAGAGTAGATATCCCTCTACGATGGTACATAGGTATACACCTGGTGTACTAGTTGTGGCCGTCAGTCAAGAAGGAGAAAGAAGAGAAAGAGAGTAAAAAACTGAAGTATTCACTTGGAATGCAAAGCTCTGTACTGTGTATCAGGATTCCTTACTTTAGAAGATGAGCAATAGTTCAATGTATTATGATTGAGTTCTGAATTGAGGCAAGAGAATAGGAGAAGTATTTCAATTTTCAAGTTAATCACCAGATACCTTATGAATAAGTGCTAAGAAAATCATTAATTGTTATATAAGAGATACACATACTTTGGCTTGGAAATTATCGTACCTAGGTAGGTATCTATTTACATTAAATAGCAATTGTGATAGGAAGCCTACCCCGGGATCACCTGAGACAATACAGACAAAGAGGGTCGGGTAGCTTCTAATCTTCAACAGATAGATCAAGCAGATCTTTGTGCTACAACACCATCATTTTTCTATTACACTTAGTACCTAAGCCTTAACCTGACTTGTTCTTAGCCCCTATCGGCCTGCTTCTTGAAATCGTACATGAGATTAAACTACTTTGGGTACTTATAATAGCATTCTACTTGGTCATAGTAGCAGTCCCAACTACCTCAACTGTCAAACTCTGTACGAAGTAGAAGAATACTAATTATGAAATGCCTATACGTGATATGAAAATCTCTCTCACTACTTACCTAGGTACATAATATTTTACCTAGGATGTTAAGTATCGAACCGAAAGGAATAAGGGGCCAATACCCTCACCGTATCATATATGCTCTTTCACTTAAACTAACCACATCCTTTGTAAGGTTTACTTATTTTCAAGTTTACCAGTCCATATCCATAACTGTCCTGATTTTCATTTGTGAATAACGAGATGACTCTGTTAATTCATAAGCAACTGGACACTTATGAAACCATCGATATCCATAAACGATGTGAAAAATATCATCCAATTAGAGTAGGTACTTAACCTACACCCTTTCGTGGTATTATATATGCACTGTATCTTTGTAACAAATAGGACGACAATAATATGGAGATAGAGTCAAGATGTCGATTATGAGAGACAACATATGCACACTCTATTTTACTCAATGAATATTAATTCTGCTGTTTTAGGGCTCTATACGACTGATTTCTAGTAAGTTCTAATCCCCGTTTATTTTCAAAATTTTCAAAAGTTAATTCCTCACCGTCCAGCTCAAAGCAAATTAAAGTACCTTGTTACCCTTCCGTCGTCTAAGGTCCAAGTCCTTTAAAGCCTCCGTCACGATATTTTATCTCTATCATTATACTGTCTAACTACCACCGCCTCCTACATGAATGTCAAGTAAGCCTTACCGTATTCTGGCAGTGAGCTATTGGATCGAAACTTGATACTAAATTTACATTTCGTGCCTGTTCGAATTTTACAATGATACGCCATCTACTATTAAAGGACAGTTACGAAACATTCTGTTCAATAATTTGCTCCTACTCGATAAATAGTGATCTTGTCGTTGAGGGCAAACGTCGAAGGAAGACGATGGGACATACCTGGTCATTTGTAGTGTCTATTGCCATGAAACTTTCTCGCTCTCCTCGTCTAGTGTCCAACGCTCATGAAATGTTAGATGGCCCAGGTAACGAACCCAGTCAATATCTCCACTTCAAAATAATGAATTTGTTAACGTCCAGTGTACGTTCTAAGGCTGTCTATCCAGGAGTTCTCTGCTTCATAAATTGGAATAAATGGTCAAACTACAAGATACTCTGTGGACGTCACATGCTTCTCAAAGGACCTAAGGACACTGTACTTTGTAGAGATAGGAGTAGCCTCTAACTAGTACCTGACTGCACCTGTTCTGATTTAAGAAGGAGCATCATGTATGATGTGAGCTTCTAGTCACAGGGCGAGTCACAAAGTAGATGATTTCTAGTCGAGAGCACCTACCAGCTCCAAGAGGAAAACTTCTACAGATCGAAATTCTCCTCACACTCTTGCTATTGGAGTTAGGCAACGCTCATGACCCGATTATTCCTCTAGCTGCTTCCTCAACAACTACATTCTACTAGTAGCCTCTGATTCACTGCTGTAGATCGAGGAAGGTAGGGGTACCTACCTAGGTAAATACCCCTCGCCTGATTAGCTCTTAGGTGTTATACATGAGTACTTCTATCAGACCTCTACTGCTTGGATCCGCCTTATTGGTCAAGAACCTCTCAACCTTCCCTAGCAACCTCCTCCTGCCTCAAATCTTCAAGTACAGTGTAGGGGAAACTTCAGTTTGTGCTAGTACCCTGCATGTTCTGCTTCTTCTTGAGGTGGATGAAAAGCAGGTTTGTTCACTTGTGAGGAAAGAACAGACGCAGCAATTCATTTTCCCTCCCTCTATTTATTCAACCTCACTCTCCCTCAACCAAACTTCCCATCTTACATCAACACAAACCACAACAACAAGGTATTGCCACATACAGTTGTGACGATCTCTCCAAGATCAAGTCACAACCTTTGGCAAGCCACTCCTTTATCTTTATCCAAGGACCCTTTTACTTTTACGCGCCCAACACTTCATCATGTCCAAACTGTGGCCTATAGTCTTTGTTCCCCATGCCCCTCTAACGGCGGCTACTCTTGAGAACCAGTTGTAAGCATACGAAAGCCCCTGTAGGAATGCGTGTAATATTTACCCACCTATTGCTAACACGAATTTCTTAGAATGCTGCAGCTTGGTCAATACTCAGATGCTGTAGTCAAGTGTGGTACATCCAGCTGGAATGTTCACTTGAACATTGTAGCCACCCGATGTGGGTGGTTTGAACAACAGTTCGCGGTAAGTCTTCATACAATACGCTCCATCTTTAAATATGCGAAGCCTTAGGTGCTTCTGATATATGTCAAAAATATTATGCACTAGTTTCTAACATTCCCTTTAATTTACAGGAAGCTCGATCCCGCGGAAGTAATGAGGTGGTCGTCCCGACAAATCCATATGTAGCCTACAAGATCCTCATCTGGATCTATACGAAGAGTATGAGAAACCCTTACACAGATTTGATAGTATCAATGTGGCACTGACACTAATATTACTCTCAGCCCTAGATCTTCACGAAGAATTCAAGGGTTTTAACAATGCTATCTATGCGGATATCATCATATGGGATATGGCACGCCAAATGACTATGCTTGATCTGATGAAGGCTTGTCAGGAGAAGTTGAAGGGTTATCTTCGACATATTGCTGTCTCGATTCAGCGAATGAAATGCAACGGTCAGGTACCAGTGCAGGAGCTATTTGGCGTCCTCTCTGGTATAGGCTTCGCGTATGAAAAAGGTCAAGTCGCCCTAAAGAACATATTCCTCAATTTCGTTCAGGACAGTCAACTCTGGGTTTTGGATGTCCCCCACTTCCAGACGAACATGGCCACAATCCCAGAATTCCAGAAGGTAAGCAAGAATATTTCTGAAGCGCGCTTCTTTACTTATTATCCTAGTTAAGAATAATGCTAACTAACTATAAACATTACAGGATGTCGCTGATCTCGTTGACAAATCCCCTGGATTACGATCGTTCAAACCAGATGTTTGTACCCAGTGCAACAAGAACCCTTTCGCAGAGGAAGCCTCTTCACACTACGCGGAGATCAAATGTGAAGACGGCGAATTCACTGCTATTTGCTACCGCTGCCAGCAAAAGAAGTTTTCCCAGAACCGAAAGGCATCAGATGTCGTTGCTAAGGGTCTAGTTCACTACCATTGAAGCCCCCTAGAACGAGGGAACTACCAGGTACACAGATAGGTACCGTAGTATCAACATAGCTAGAGCTTTTTTCTTTCTTTTTCCTTTTGCGCAGGAGGATAGCAGGTTTACACTGCTTGCTCACATCATCGCGAACTGGTTGATTCCAACAGCCATGATGATCTGAAGCCAAACACCCTCGCCGTCTCCATATTCTTCAATGGTATGGATAGATATTACTCAGTTTGTCTTTGCGTTATGCGTTTAATTAGTGAGATACGATAGTGTCCTTAATATAAGATAGGTTTCATTATTCTCAATAATTCATCGAGCAGCAGTTATTCTCGTATCAGTCAGTAAAGCATCGCTCAGCTATGCATCTAATTCAATATCATTTTACAAACATAATATTATATCCCCATGCCTTGATGCTCAATTCGATAGATACGGATCCAAAAATTCCATTCTAGCTAAACCCTACTATAAAGCAGTAGGTAGTACGAAGTAATCCTTCTGCTGTACTACGGAACTAACATGTAGTGGCAGTAATTATCGTTACCAATATGCAGTCATCTGGCACCACATAATCCTTACGATAGCTGACATAGGTAACAACGCATTAAGGGCCTCGTTACTTGGAGAGCTGACAGTCATAGCGGCCTCAGTCTTATGGGTTTTGGAGTTACATCAAAGAGCACGCAAGATCTAATTTATGAATCCTTCAAGCCACAAATCTCACGTCGACGAGTCATATGATAGCATATCCGAACTGATATATATGATGCGTCCCCTCTTCCTGGTTTTCTCTCAGCTCTTAAGATAGTGCCATAGGTACCTCTTAGCTACCTAATTCAAGAATAATAATGGAGTTAAAAGGTGTAAGTCGTCAGACAGTTAACCGTGCCAAGATTATCGTTACTGCATTGTTGACGATATCCGGCATTACCGAAGCGGTATCAATTCCGCCCCCAAGCGGCCCATACCAGGTTGGCTTTCGCAAATATACCATCGAACACTACAACGACCACGACCCCGTGGCGCCGAATAACGTGAGCACGGCGTTCTTGGCGACCGTCTTCTACCCCACGCTCCAGAAGCCCGAAGGCCCTCCGAAGCCGTATTTAAACCCCGAGACGGCAGCATTCTTTGAACTGAACTGGCACTATTCAAACGGGACCCTTTCGTCGATTACTTCGACAGTGCAGGAAAACGCGACGTTTTTAGAGCCAGAAAGTTTAGCTGATGGATCGCTACACTTGCCAACCATTCTATTTGGTCCGGGAGGCGGCGGTCCCCCGGTCGAAGGTAATACGATTCTACTCTCCGAGCTTGCGTCGTACGGTTATGCTATAATCGGCATAGACCACCCATTCGAGCAGCCCTTCATCCGATATCCGAACGGAACAGGCGTTACGGGGATCGATATTGATAATCTCGATATAGATTACGTAGACATCTACAACATGCGCCTCGAGGACAATACCGTGTTCTTAGACCGCCATCTCCCCGAGTTGGTGCGAAAGTTAAAACTGCCACTCAGTACGACCAAACTTGGTGCCTTCGGGTACTCGCTAGGCGGGGCAGCAGCTCTGGGATCACTCCAAAGTCATGATCAAATCGTCTCTGGACTGAATATGGACGGCACTGTTATCGGGAGCCTAGCATCGAATAGCAGCGCTGCTGACGTGCGGAAGCCAGCGTTCATGATGGGTAGTGAAGGCCACGGGGACGTTGGATCAGGTGATAACTCTTGGATCACATTCCCACAATGGCAGACAGGCTGGCAGCGGAAGATCAATATCAACGGAACGACACACCATGACTTCTTCGATGATACTTTCTGGAAAACACTCGAGGTCGGTGCAGATCCTCACGCGGGTCCAATTGACGGCCTCGAGCAGGTTAGGGTCTTGAATGCTTATGTTAAGGCTTTCTTTGACTTTACCTTGCTGGGCAAGAAATCCCCCATCTTAGATGGCCCCTCGCCTGAATTCCCGGAGGTGATCTTCTCTAATGTGACCGGGCCCCGATAGATCACGGTCAGAACCGAATTATATCCAAATTTATTTCAAAATGAATTAAGATTCAATGATGTCTTCATAGGGATACTATTAATCTATACAATTAGTAGAATAAAAATCGGTGTGAACTTTAGGGGCATCTTACGATGAAGCCCATGTATACCTATCTATGGATAGCATCGGCTTTGACATGTGTGACGGGGCACCATCCTTCGTCGTCTCAAAAAATGTATGATATATGGCTTCCAGGTAGAAAGCAAAAAGATAATGCTGCATCAGCCGCGAATCGAACGCGGGGCCCATCGATGGCAACGATGGATTTTACCACTAAACCACTGATGCTATGCTACGTCCTTCACAGATACTTGTTGATGTAAAAATTAAATGTAAAATTTTGTTATATTCCAATGCATATTCCGCCGGCTCCTTTTCTAATTGGCTATAGTAAATATATTTCGCACTAGTGCCGGGAACTAATACTACACCATAGTATACCTGTGAATTAAGCTAGTACCGGTGTGATTTTCGGACATTCGGGACCCACTCGGGGACCTACCCGGGACTTTAGATAAATGAGAGCCAGTATATACCTAGGTTAGGTACATTTCTCACGCTTTTACAAACTGCATTGATTTCAAGTCAACTCAAATGGCTTATAAATATCTATGTCTAACGTCTATATAAATGGTGGATTATAAAGAACCCAAACAAGATTATTCCAACTATTTCCCACCATCATATCTACAGTGAATCAATAACAGCTCAAGATAAATAAATCTGTGAGGCCACCACCAATTATCGTCATCTAAATGGCACCAACCGACAACTCAATTGCGAGGCAGTCCTTGCTCGGGAGCTTGGCCGGGTCGGCCTCGGCACCGTAGAAAAGCTCGAACACGTCGTTCACGGGGCATGCCCAGAAACCTTGGATGGAATTAGTTTTCCCAGATGCAATTGTGATATCTTAAGTGGTGAAGGGGTATTTACCTGTGGGGAAGGAGTTGAACGTGAGGAGATGGGCGGGTGAGACGCCGAAACCAGGGGTCTTCTCTCCGGGCTCAGAGTAGACCTGTCCGACGGAACCGGCTGGCACTTCGGGGATGCGAACACCATAAGGGGGAGTAGTTCCAAGATCTAAGAAACATTAGACTGATTGAAAAAAAAAAAATTTAACCAGCAAACTTGTAGGATGGGACTTTTAGTTACCAAAGTATAGGTTGGTTCCGTTCAAGTAGGAAGGGTCCGAGCTGTAAACCGAAGGCCGTTGGATCTGGATGACGTTCTGGCCGGCAGCGACATGAGCGTTCTTAAGAGCCCATCCCGCCAGCTTCTCCGTGGCGCGAAGGCTAAACTTGTCTGCTTGGCGCTCCTCCAAACCCGGGGCGGCGACGGCAGCGCCAGCAAAGGCGAGAACGGTGGTAAGAACGGCGTACATTTTTGCTTTTGGGAAAATAAAAATTATTTTATTAAGACTTAAGTAGTCGAAGTATATGAAACTAATGATGATGATGATGATAGATAGTGATGATGGAATGTTGTTGGTGTTGATGCAAGTAGGTAAATATCACCGACCTGTGGCAGACAACGGACATTTATATGCGGCTCGTCAAACCACGTAGCCATCAAGCCCCTATTGACACAGTCCCAAATAGAGATTAACTGCTGCAGCACAGCCATACGATTGCCACGAACGCCAAATCATCGTCAATGCCGGCGGTCAACATAGGTGCAATACGAGCGCACTTCTCAGACCCGTCTTCGTATTCCATGGGTATCGGATATAGATATTCTCACTCTGTATTCCCCTTACGGAACTATACGGTGGGTATGATGAGCCATCTCCATTTGCGGCTGATCCGTGGCCTTGAGGCTGGCGTCAGCCCTATATCGTGATCTTCAAGTACCGAGAAACGCATAGTATATTCAGGGGAACAGCAAGGGTTACGATTATCTAAGCCTCTAATATCTAGGTAATTTCATTAAGTTGGACACGTAGAATAGCCTACATCTCGAAGCATTCACATATTAAGTGGCTATGTACGGTTGATCGAATCAAAATTGATCGTCTTTATTTATGATACCACATAACACCTTGGAGCTTTGCTTGATACGAGAAATAGGTCGACTTCCAACAAATTCGCCACCTATTATACTTTATTCCCTTGTAAATCTCAATTTCGCTCACCGCCAAGAATAGGTAGTATTGGTAAGATTAAGCCTTTATTTAGTAGAGAGTTGTGATAATATGAGCTTTTATCCCTTACGTTTAACTTTCCTGCTACAAGTCTGCGATTTTATTTCGACATAACGAATCTTCTACGAAGTAAAGCACGCCGTTGCTACCTCGGACACTACTATGTTTAGATTTATAAGGAATCAACGTCCATTGACGATTTCAATGAAGCTTTAAGTATAATTGGGATTAATGCGACGAGTTAGCTACGCCTATCCGATGACTTCTCTTAAGTTTCAGAATATACCGACTGGATTCGCTACATGTGGCGGGTAGTAGAGGCGCAGTGCAGCAGAAAGGGGTGAATATAGTGTTGATGGAACCGTAGCAACGCATACATCAGTCGTAGAAGGTATGTTACATCAGTTGATGAATTTCCCACCACAACTACCACACATCTCAGCAGATATCTCATCCATAATGATTTCTCTGAGCTGAGGAGCCATACTGACGAGATCCTCTCGCTTGAGGCACTTGGAGCCGCACACGCCGCAGGTTCGCGATATACCGGGTGCTAGTATTGGCAGTCCGGTGGTCGCGCATGTGGCTATAGTTCTGTTAGTACTTTGCGTAGACGAGTATATAGCCTAGGTTTCCATAGATAATGATACTTACCAAAGACGTGCTTGTTTCCACAGCGCGACACCTTGCCCATCGGCTCCAGGGGTAGGTTACAGAAGGAGCAGGCTTGCTTGCGGCCAATCATTGCGAAGTGGTCCTTCAGCGCAACCTGTTCTTCGCTATGCTGTGCCATTAAACCGACGGCTCCCGTCACCGAGGGACCTCCGCCATACATCCATTCCCACATCCTCGCTTCGGTGCTCAGGTTTTTCATAGCTAGAGCCGTATCCGCTCCTTGGTTTCGGTCTATACTGCGGTCATATCGGCCGAAAAGGATACGGCACTTTACTCCCGCGTACGTATCTCTTCCAGGCCAGACAGTACTATATTGGCTGGTAAAAACGGCGGTGACTCCTCCACCCGGACTGGCCGTAATTCCCCAAATACGAACCCGGTTGATATGGACTTGATCCTCGGTATCCAAATCGGCAAAGTTCTCTTCAGGGTCGTAGTCAGATCCATCTGCCGAATCGACATCCATTTCTTCTTCATCAGCTGAATCGTCTTCGGACGCGGCATTGCCGTGCTCGACGATAGGCTTGTACGCCATAGCTCGCGGGAGCTGATGCTCAATAGTCTGGTTAATCTCAGTAGCCCATCGCGGCCCAATAGTTCCATCCTCGGGGTTTGGAGGCAGTGGTAGGTTGGTCTGATACCAGGCATCATTCTCGTGAGTAGCTGAGAGCCGGACAAGTGAGTACGAAGGCATCGCAGTAGTCTGAGAAAGAGAAGGGGGATGGATGATAAGTCCTATGATATATAAGCTAGAGTGTTAAAAATGCCGCTGATAAACCTGCACTAACCGGTAATCGGGTTCTGTGATAGGCTCTCGCTTTCTGAGTCTGGATATGTAGTCTTGCACTCGTCCGTGGTGTGTTTAGTGATCCGACTAGATTGGCTGCTGTCAAATGGTATTTGGAAAGTTTTCGCTTGTGAAGGCGTAGCAATGATACCGCGGCAGATTTTCGATTCTCCAATAGTCCATATCTGATATCAAATAAACATGAATCCCTTAGAAAAGCAATAGCTTATCAATAACTTACTAGATCTTCCCATACCACAAATGCGTCGGTGGATAGATAATGGCAAACCCCGTTAGAATCGACTTTACCGACTTCCACATTTGGCGACTTCATATTCTCATGGGGCGAGCGAATAGTAACCTGCCTGAATCCAACGTAGTTTTTGGCTACATATGATAGTATGCTTGTTTTTGTATTGCCCCTTTTCAGCCACGGCCCCCAGCTGAGTGAAAATGATGAGCCAGAGGGTGAATAGTCTGGATCGATAGGCTGTGAGAAGCGTTAGTCCGAGATGGATTTCTAGGAAACAGGTCGGACACGTACGTTAGTTTTTGGGTGAGGCCCTTCGGCTACGAACCTTGCGACTTCTTCGACTCTCCATCGCCCACAATCTCCCGGGGGCGCACTAGAGTCGTGTTTGGCCTGGACTGAGATGATGACGACTTCGTCATCATCATTCGCGTATGCCAACAATGCTCCATGGCTCTCTATATCTCTTGCCCAGGCGAAGGAAGTGATATACTCTTTGGTGTACTCTACTTCATGCCCTTTGGCAAGTGGTAGAAGCAAGCCTGCCCCTACGCCCCAAGCGGCAACCCATGGTCTCAAGGTTCTAGCATTGCGGCCACGGAGTTTGAATGCATTCATATTATCTGATGCACCTTCACAATAGATGGTGATGGCGCCGGTGCCGGTAAGTACGGCAAGGACGGAACGATTCATCCGGCCCAAACCACATGGCGACCATTCCAACGCGACGAGGTGGTTCATGGAACTGCCTTGACTTGCTACGGTACCCGAACCACCACCGCCAGGAGTGTACTCAAAGTCGGGAAATTTCTGTCTTACAAGATTGAATATGGGTCGATTTAACTCCGGGCTTCTATGCTCGACAGTGGGAAACCTAAGAGCCGTCTCATTGTACTGTCGAACTACTCCGTTACTCACGCCGTTGGTACCTCTAGGAATGGAGTATTCCGGAACGAAAAGGAAGACACAATCATCGCACCCGATGGCCAATTCGGCATCAGGGGACCATACGATGTTATGCGTACTTGCGGGAGAGGCTGTAAGACTGAATGACTCCAGGGGAAGAATATTTTGAGACTGGTTTTCGGAGGCCATCTCGGAGAGATCTAGACCTTAGTTATATTTTCCGGTCATTTTAATTTAGTCATCCCGATTATTGATTGATTTGTGAAGAAATATGGTGATACTCCTAAATTGCCGATTGTTGTGAGAAGTTGATGTAGAATGACCTTGCGATATAGAATAAGAAAGAAAAAAACTTGGTTATGTGTAATATTGATTAAAACAAAGTTTAATATACATGAGACTACTTAGCTATACATACCTTAGGTATTTACATAATTCCTACTAATCAACCCAGTAGACTCGTGCAAATACACAATCTATTGCAAGATAGAATTAAATTGTTATAATATTCTTTTCATGATAGAGGTCGCGTCGTGTCGCGTCTTTTGGTGAATCGTGTTACGTTAAAACATAACATAACTACAGCTAATAGATTTTATAGCCATCAAATCATTAGACGCCTATTTTCGTGTCGTCCGCTTATTCAGATATTTATGAACTTATTTTATCTTATTTATTAATAATCGCATGCAAATTTCAAACTACAGCTAATTCTTCGGAGTCTCTAGATATGACCCTAGAACCCATAGAGCAGCGCAACTGGCTAACGCTGTTGCGCCGACAAGCTTCTTGCCGTACCAATTATCGTCTGTCAGCGGCTTGGCTGTTTGTACTTTCTTCGGCTGTCGAGACTTGGATTTGCTCGATCCTGTAGCATTGCTTTTGCTTGCCTTCTTAGCCTCTGTTTCTTCCTCCTCGTCCGCGAGGACTCTTAGTTTTGCAATGGTTTTGCTAAGAGCTAACATCTCGTCATCGACTGTGATATTTCTAGCTCCATCCACTTCGACGTTCTGAATGTTTCCAAAGAAATCGGTTAATAACCGACTCCGCGCAGCTTCCGGTCCGCCTTGGAATAGGTCGTACCGTACGCCTGCATTGGAGTGAATCTTCTCGTAGTTGTAACTATCAAAGAGATCGCCGATCGTCTTTTTACTGCTCAAGTCCTTGACTTCGGATTCTAGAAACTCGAGGTTATAATATGTATATCGGTCGATAACAGCGACTCCGACGTCGTTATCGGCATGGTGGGAATACGAGGACTGATCGAGTTCGGAAGATCCGGTAGCGATAATATTAGGAGAGTATAGCTTGCTGTACATGGTATTCGCTTGGCACGTATCGATCATGAATAGAATCTCGTGGTACCTATCCAATATTATGTTAGTCTAGATGCCTCGTTGGAATAAGGCTCGGAACTTCATACCGTCTCTTTTCCCACATCTGTTCAAACGCATCTGCTAAGTCGAAAGCGCCAATCTCTTCGGCATCCTGGAATTTTAGGAATTCATTTCCTCCGTGTCCAGTCATATACACAAAGATGTTGCTCCGGTCATCAGTCAGCAGTCGCTTACTCCTAGGCATCTCATCCCCAACACGATCTGTTAATAAGCGGATGAAATTCTCGACGGTAACCTCGTATCCTCGATAATCGACTTCGATATTGTCCCCATATAGATCGACGGCGCGGTCTGCGTTACTATACACGGTCCCGGGGAAGGCGTTGCGTGGGTTACAGGCCATATCGTCGGGAAGCATAAGGATAATCTGCGAGTCGGGGATTCCTAGACGCTTTACGGTTCGGTACATAGATAAGACATTGGCGAGATGGCGATAGTTGAACCAAAACCTCGAGGTGCCAACTAGAACAGCCCAGTTGCTTGTATGCTCTGCCGACACAATCGGGGGAGCAAACAGCGACGCTGCTAGAAGCGCGGGGAGATTTAACACGTTGGATAACTTCATGATGGATACCTGATAGTTGCGCGAAGGTTGCGCGAAGTTCTCGTACAATACCTCGTCGTCGACGGATAATGATAGAATAGTGATGTTCTTTTGGATTATAGCATTGATGTCTTTGAAGGATGGAACATTGAAATTGAAAACTGATTTGTCATCGCAGCAAAGGGGTCAATTACATAAAACCAGGGGTCTTTCTCTACCTAACCTCTACCGTGATATCTAAATCTATGGTCGGCGAGCCTTATCTCCGATATATGTACTTTGTAAATGTGTATATTCTGTATTAGCACCTGAGGTATTCAAGCATTGTAGCGTCATCGGGCCGGGCTACCTAGTAGCTGCAGGGACTAAATGCCACCTAATGGACCCAATGGCCCTAAGCGGTTTCCACCACATGCCTCTTGAATGCGACTGACCACTACCTAGCTTTACCTGATACCGGCAGCTCCCAATCCGTATCATGTACACAATACGAAATCCATACACGGGACTGCATGATAATCGCTTATAATCATTTACAAATTATACGTATTTGTATGATTTTACGTCATGCGCCATCTCCGCCCTTGCATCAACGGCGGTATTATATACTTTAGGTACCTAACCTAAGGTATGTGCATATGTATATTTTGGAGTATTAGGTATTATTAGAGATGCGCTCACGCCGCAAATGGGCCACCGTAAAATGCACCGCAAATACTTACCTTAAATTTGAATCTTAAAAAGTTCTATCGTTATTTTTCCCTCACGACGATCCTCGCCAAGGTTATCTGCACTCCGCATTCTTCACATATCGTCTACCCGGTTTGTTTATGAATTACATATACGGATTACAACTTTAAACCATTACGCTGCAGTGAAAATGTTTAATTGCAAACTTCACGATTCGTCTACGACACTGTGACCGAGACCCGCTGTCACCTTAGGCCACACACCTATGACATAGACCTGCGCATAATTCAATATAAATTTACACATATACGACCGATAGCTAGGGAATTCATCTGGCTACTACGTTTTAACAACTACTTACTCGAGAATATTATTGAGGCTAAATATAGGTCTCTATTAAAAAGAAACAGATCGAGAACTTATATATATATCCGGTCAACATTGCGAAATAGAGAAAAATAAAAACATTCTCTCTACCTGACAAACCAAGCCCAGCCGAGCCTAACCGACAGCTGCGATGGGCCACCCTCCAGCTTACATATTCATAATTAGGTTTGTGTTTTACAAGATATTGTCCCATAATATTGTCCACCTACAAGCTCCCAACTCTCAACTGTCAACTTGAAGCTAACCTGTAGAAATCTAACCCCTAGGCATGGGAATCGCCTCGACGCCGCCGAGAAGCAATGGCACCTATCCTCACCAACCCCCTATGACCCACCCCTAACATACGGAGGATGGTTACAATCTAAGACTGTAGGGGCAAGAATCGCATCTATTTTACAAGAGAGGGAAACAGAAGACGAGGCTATAGCTGCCAACCATAATACCGACAACACCACTACCAAACCCAAGAAGCGCCGCTACAAGATTGTAATACATAGCTCGCCTTTTCTTCGATGTGTCCAAACATCCATTGCTATAGCTGCTGGCCTCGCCTCTAATCCATCTTTACCTACTTCTACAGAAAGATCTCCCTCTCCACGAAGTTCACATGTGTCTCCCTTGAGTTCACCCCCGGTACGGCCCCATACGGCCACCCCACCACCTGCGAACTCGTCCCACGACCCATCGAAGGCTAACCGAGCAGAGAGGTCTGTTTTACGACTTGATGCTTTCCTCGGAGAATGGCTATCCCCTGACTATTTTGAGCACATTACGCCACCGCCTGGGTCAAGTCTTATGTTGGCAACAGCAAAAGCCGAGTTGTTGCGCCCCGAGAATTATAACGAATACTCCCACTTCCACACTCGCCATACTCCAAGTTCTTCATCACAATTATGGAATGCTTCTAGTCGTGGGAGCCACTTAGCTTCTTCTATCACCCCCGAATCCGATACCACTTCCGGTCTCGATAACCTGTCTACTTTGAAAAACAGTTTGCCGAGACACAGAAGTGACTCGACCGGACACGTCGACCCGAGAATAGCACACAAGGTATCTTCGTCTGACCCTACGTTGAACCCGGGATATATTAGCCCGATTCCTTCTTATGCTCTTTCAACTTCCGAACCCATACCAAGGGGTTATGTGGCGCATGCTCGCGATGCTTGTGTCGACGTCGACTACCACTGGGACTCTAGTAGAGACAACATTGGCTGGGGAAATGGAGGTTCTCTGCCTGAAGAGTGGGCGGAAATGCATCAGAGATTCAGGAAGGGCCTGAAGCGATTAGTCGAATGGTACAGCACAACGAAAAATCCCGCAGAAATAGTGACCAAAACTTCGAGCCCGAAACCCCCTAAATTTTCGCAAAAGGAGAGCGATACCGACAGTCTATCTACTGAAGATGGTGAAGACGTTGAAGTAGAAAATGTCGTGATTCTTGTTTCGCATGGCGCCGGTTGCAATGCTCTTATAGGTGCCATCACGCAGCAGCCAGTCCTTATCGATGTTGGAATGTCATCTATCACGGTGGCGCAACGGAAGCCAGATCTTGACGACGATATTGGTACTCGTATTTATGGAGAGCCTGCTTCTTCACTCGAAGAGCCTCTATTAGCCAAGCAGGCCTCATTATCCGATATATTCGAATTGAGATTGTTCGCCAACACAGAACATCTTTCATCAATTACTCCACCTGGTATCAGTCGTTCTCTTTCAGCCGCAAGCCAGAACGGGCGTGGTCGAAATACTAATGGGTTTCCTTCTGCACTAAAAGAAGTCAGCCTTAGTACCTCGTTATATGGAAGCCAGGCACCTCTGAGTCGTAGTAACTCAGTAAATGCCTCGCTCGGTAGCATGCGAAGGGGGTCGCCTGTACCAGCGATAGCAGTTCGACAACATTTACCTAATACAACGGGCGCCGGAAGCATAACCGTTGGTAGTAACATCTCCAGCGTCTCTTCTACCCGACAAGACCGCATAGGTTCAGTGGGGTTATGGGAACCATCAAACCAGGGTGATGCTTTATCAGAGAAACAAGCGGAGACGCCACCCGTACCGAATATTGACCACCAGGCCGAAGTGACAAAGAAAAATGAGGATGTTCCCACGAGTATACAAGAGGATAACTCCCAACCCGATGACGTCGGACCTCCAACTTCAATAAAGAAAACCGTCTCAAAAACGGAATCCGAATCATCGCATGGTGAAGGGTATGACCAATTCGATGAAGATCTTGCACCGCGCCTCTGGGCCGGAGCTAGCAGCGGCGGCCTATGGGGTGCGCCTCGACCTCCGGGAGAGGCCGAAACAATTCGGGATATCACCTCAACGAAACGAAGGTGGACCGTCAACGAGCAGTAAAAATTCCATCAAAACAGCAGCCAAAGCGACCAAATCACAAGATATCTAACCTACTCCACTCAAATTAACGTGCTTTGCTATATACCTCTTTCATCATTGAGGGGAGTTTACACTAATGCGGTTGTTGACATTAGCATTAGCATATTCTGGGAATTTCTTATATTCAAGGTTCTGAGGCAGAAGAGATGCGGAATAGAAGGTAATCTCTAATCCCAATCCCCCCTTGTACCTAGCGAACCTCTCTATTTCTCTTGCTCCGATTTTGCTGTTTTTAAAAAAGATACCTCTTGACAAATCGATTTTGGCATGACCTAGGGAATAATAAGGGGATGGGATGGACCAAGTTTGAATCGTAGTGGTGGTCCATAGGCTAGATTGGGTATTTACTAGCCATTAGTCGTTAATGAATAAATGAATGAATGAATGCCAACCTGGAATATTGTTGAATGGGGGATGATTGGAAAATGAGTTGTTAAGAGGGTATAAGACTATAAATTTCTTCAAACTTCAAAACTTAGTCCCGATAATTCAGAAGACCGGGACAGCAACCGGTAATAATCGTATGTCCAAGTGATACGAGTGCGCAGTGCCTAGCCTAAGATCCCGGGAGGTTTTCGACCTGCATGCGCCTCCCGGACTCATCACACAGCATACCCAAGACAACGAGTAATCCATACATCAATCACCTCGAAGGCGTACAGAAGTAAGCAGGCTATGTACTCTAGACGAGATACAATAGACATACATACAATAGAGCGGGGTTGGCGTTTAACATGCCACGCGGGTAACCGGCAACACAAAACAAGTACGGCTGAGACTTATATAAGGTGTAAGTAAGTAAGCCGGGACCCCTTTGCAATATTTACGCATGTGCAGAACTACCTAGGTATAAACATTGGTTTGAAATTTAGAAATCTCATTTCTAGCCATAGGGGCGACATGTCTAGGGTAACATGATCTAGACAATACTAAATCCATTGACGACGATCCGCCTCTTATAAACAAACGCCTTGGATATGCAGTTCAGTTCCATACTCCCAATGCTCGTACGTGGATAACTTTCCTTTCTCTAGGACAAGATCCGATCTAAACCGTCTCGTCTATGCTTCTGTTGTTGCCAAGAGCTATGACAGAAGATTCTCTTCTCGTCCCAATGGTTCAATGGCTCCTCCTCCTAGCTCACCTTCGTGAATTAGACTGCATTGTGAGATGGACATCTTATCCTCTTCACTCACCTTCCACAACGAAGTCGAATAGTAGTTGCATCATGAGGCTAAGTCACCCTCCCTCTCAACCAAACGCCTTCCTCATAGCTTGATGCGCCAGCTCGACGCCCAAAAACGTGGCCGCGTTAGCAGGCACCGCCCTCGCGAGCGCCGGCCCGAAACCTGGGAAGAAGGCCTTCACTCCACCCCTGCCGTACAGCTCCCGAACAACACCACCGATAGTCACGTTGCCTTCAGCGGTCTGCAGTCGACTCTTGACAGTATCAACGGGGAACACAGGAATCCACATAGCCACACCCGCCGCGCCTCCCGCCGCCGTAATAGCCATTAGACTTAAGTCGCCGCTGGGTTTTCCTGTTACCGGATCGCGCGGCGTCAGGCGGCGCTTGATATACTCGTAGGCAGCAAAGTAGGCGGCAGACCCGGGGCCGTCGCGGGCAAGCGTAGCCGCGCTGCCGCGGAAGACGGAGCGCACGCCGCCTTCGCGGTAGAGCTGGCGCACGACGTCCAGGCCGCCTTTATACTTGGGCTCTTCGCCGGGCTTCAGGCGCTGGCCCTGGACTTGCAGGATGACCTTGACGCGCTCGAAGGGCGCGGTGATGGCGGTCATAGGGATCGCGGAGAAGAAGCCCGCCGCGCTGATCTGGCCGATGGATAAGGCGCCGGTGGGGGAAGGGGGGGAGAAGGATGTTACGATTTGCTTGCCGAGGTCGTAGCCCCAAAAGGAGACGGCGACTAGGATTTGGTTGGGTTAGTTTTTTTTTTTGCGCATTTCTAATTATTTATGATTGCGAGTAACGGAGGGGAGAGGGGGAAGAAAGGGAGGAGGAACATACACATAGGCGTAACACCGACCAACGGCGCACTCACACCGGCATACAACCCCCTTTTCAACCCATCCCGAGCAATGCTCTTCCTCACGACATCAATAGCCGAAGAATACACTCCCTTATCCGCAGTCTGCAAGCGCACCTTGACCAGATCGAACGGATGGCCAACAACGACGGCGCATACACCGCCGAAACCGCCAGCAGCAAAGGACCGCAGCTGCGACGAGAAGCTAGACGCGGCAGCTTGCGCCTCGGCTTTCAGCTCCGTCTTGAGCTCGGCTTTGGTCTCGGGGATATGCGGCAGGTGATCGGCGACTTGGGCCGGCAGCGACGAGTGCAGCTTCTCGTTGATGCCGGTGTGTTTCTCGTTCGACGACATGGTAGCAGCGCTTGATTTATCTCGGCTTATTATCCCGTCTACCAAATCTATCCAGCTTATCTATCTTGAAGACTATCCGGGTACCTATCGAATACCCAAGCCGGGGAGGGTAAATTGTCTCGTCTGCGCAAATTCGCGCACTCGGTAGAATTACAAGTTAGCTAGCTACCTGCCGCTCAGATCCAAAAAAAAAAAGAAAATGACGACGTCTTTGCGCCCAAGTTACACGCTCAACGCAGCGGCGGAAGTCCGAATATAGATGGATACAGCAACAACCAAAAATGGAAAGAAAGAAGAAGCAAACAGTCACACGAGGGAATTAGCTTTATCGAGAAAAAAAGAGGAAGCAAGTAGGTAGAGTCGGCAATAGAAAGCCGAGCCAACGTCAGAGATACTCGTGCCTCGGCAGAGAACAAAAATATGTAAAATAAAAAAAAAGGGTTCCAAAGTACCGGGTACTGGTACTTACCCAAGATAGCTTGAGTACCCGCTTTCGCTAACCTTAAGCCTTAAGCCCTGAAGTATCAAGTACATCGTAAGTATTAGATCGACATAGATCAGATCAGATAAACGTCTCGTCGTTAAATGTATAATACCTACATATCAACAGTACCTTAAATACACAATCATACAAGTATAATAAACAGCCACAGCATATCAACATTGTATAATAGTTACTTGAAAAATAAAAACCCATAAGCCGAATAAAGAATATACCATGCCTCGGCCAAGTCGGCTTAATGGACCTTTACGTAACTATCAGGTACCTACTAGATAAGTCAAAAGAAATACCCCGCCAAAAGCCCAGACTCCAAGACCTAGGGCAATTCTCACGTACATGTACATGTACACACCCCAACATATTTCTACGATGCATACCTCTTCTATGTACAACAGACAAACACCCGTCACTTATAGCACGCATTTACCGGTCACAGCATAAAACCTTTACATATCTATGTGTTACCAAACCCAGAACAAGGACCATTGATAGCTCGGCCCGCCAAATTAGGTGCCAAAAGAAGCCCTTGTTCCTGACCCGGCCATGCTCCATGCAATACGTAGGTACCTAAGACGATACGTCATAATCATATGCCAAAACGCTGCAGAAATAAGACTTGAATAAAATGCACGTGTAAATAGTTCACTAAAATATAATATGCCTGTTAGACGGTCACTATCCGGAAAGTATATACAGAACACCCAAAGAAGTGTCAAAATGAACATATAATGGGGTATACTCATTCCTTATTCTCCTCTATTCCGCTTTTATTTTCGACCTCCTTATCGACTTGGAAGTCTCTCCAACCGCACCCGCGCTGTCCAACAAAAAAGATATCACCGATCATCGAACGCCGCAATGCGCAATTCCGGGGAAAGGGAACAAGCTTGCCCACAATACTCCGCACCTACCCCAGTTCATGGGTAGCTCAAGCAAGATAGAACGCCCCTACACTAGTACCAATTGAATACAGCGCCTCAATACCCACCTAGCCCCTTAGATGTGATAGCATTGACCCGACCCATCCCGCACCAACATGCTGCATCCCCTTCTCTCTCCATCTGTATCGTTAGGTCGATCCCGTGTTTGCCAAGGTAGCTCTGAACCCTATCTCGAACATCCTCCAAGTCCGCACCTCGAACTGCGGCCACGTGAATCACCCCTAAGAGCCTACCTCCCGACTCGCTGCTTACGCCATCATCCACCCAGAATTTCGGTACGGAATATGAGGCCACACCTCGCTGACTTGTGATCTCAGACAGCGCATTTCGAAGATTGTACTCAGTATCCGCTGGAATTGTGAGTAGTAGGCGCTGAGCTGATGATTTTACTAGGGGTATCGCCGTGATGAGGATCAAGTACGCAATTAAGAAGGATGCTAGAGGATCCCAACCAGACCATGGAATGAGGTAGGTCAAAACGGTTGATATGATCACAGAGGCACTTCCAAGAGTGTCTGCGAGAATATGCAAATAGATCCCGTGCATATTTTCGTTCTCGTGGCTATGAGAATGAGCATGTCCATGCCCATGGTTGTGACTGTGATTATGGCCGTGATCGTGTTCATGGTGCGATTTACAGTCGTGATCATGATCTTTGCCATGACTGTGGCTGTGGCTGTGGCCATGAGAATGAGAATGACCATGATCGTGTGAATGACCATGGCTATGACCGTGAGAACCGAAGGCAAATATACCTAACAGATTGACCACCAGTCCCAATGTACTAACAATGAAGAGCTCTCGAAGTCTCTTGGTTTCTCGGCCCTCTAGTAGTCTCTCAAACCCTTCGAACATGATTTCGAGACTAATGAGTCTAAGGAAACTATTAGCTAAAGAATTCAGTTAATTAGAATTGAGACTTACATCAAAAAGACTCCGTTCGCAAACCCGCTCAGCGTCTCGATCTTCCCGAAACCGTAAGGAAACCTCTCGCTAGGCGGCCATTTACTCATAACCGACGCAAAAAGTCCTACTGCCAAGGCCACACAGTCGAAAAACATGTGTATGCTGTCACTGAGAAGCCCCAAGGAGTCGGTCAGATACCCATAAACGGCCTGGACGCCCATGAACGTGAAATTAACCCTATAAAGAGTAAGATTAGTGATATATCCACAAAAGGAAACTAGGTCCAGTCCAAGTCATACCCCATAAAATAGAAAATTCGGCGCGAATCTTTCTCTGTCATGATGGCGTGGATCAAGGGCCACTTCGAGGTAAAGGGAAGCAACAAAGCCGTAAATTTTGAGTAAGTTGCTTCATGACCACCACCATGGGCATGGTCGTGTATGACAGTGGCAGTAGGTGCTCTATAGCTCGGGGTCTTTGGCGCGTCCACCATGTCATTCTTCTGTGTACTAGGCAGTTCCTCAGCATTCTGTCTTAGGGGTGATGGTCGGTTTTCTCGTCTTTGCAGCGGTACGAAAGAGTTCGCTTGATACTGTGTCATATTCTGCCGAACCTGTATCTGAGCATCGGGGTCGAGGTGGTCGTTACTATGATCATGATCATGATCATGGTCGTAGTTGTGCTCGTGGTCATGGTCATGGTCATGATCATGGTTATGGCTATGGTTGAAGTCGGCTTTGAGGCCTTGGCCCTGAGGGTAAGCCTGCAAGGAACGAGTCGATCTCGAGTGGCTGAAGGACGAGGGAGAATGAGAATGAGAGTGTGAGTGAGAATGGCCGTGGTTATGCGGTAAAGGAGGTTGCGGTAGGGCGTAGGAGGATGCCATGATGTCGTTCAATGGTCTAATTAACTCGGGATATCTGTTTGCCTATCTAGCAGTGACGATGTTTAGAGTCCCGAAGACTCTCTTCGATTTCCAATTTTTATCGCATGTGTATGAAATTATTAGTGCATAAATATGAATCAGTATTAAACGGCGATCTCTATCGAGTCGAACCGGTTGAGTACCTTGGCGGTGATGATCAATGTTGGTCGGTGCTGAATCGGTATATCTGGCTGTTGGTTAAATGGGGCATTTATTGATTGTGTTCGTACGCGTCGGCAACGATTGAGCCTTGAACGGGGGATAATTAATTTAAATATCTAGTTTAAGAGTGAGTGTGATGGTACTACACAATCTTAATTGACAAGACTAAAAAGCAATCCAAAGAGAACAAGCAAATTGTGGCATCTTGTATTGATAAAAGAGCGGAGGAGAAAAAGAGAGCGACGACGTCGAAGAGGAGGAAAGATCCAATGTAACCCCCCTGTTCCTGAATGCGGTTCCTTAACCTTTCTCTTTCCAATCTAGCGCCAGCCCGCAATCTATGATGCACCTAGATAGCCTGCAAGTACTCCGCATTATTACTAGTATCATGTACTAATCGTTTGTAGTCTTTTCGCCGAGTTGTTGCTGAGTGGTAGGTACTATTACAGTAAGATTACTAGGCTTTTAGGGGTTCAGCAGGCACCACATCTTTAAAGTTTACGTACCTGAAGTCCCTAAGTCCCTATCAGATATAGGTACCGAAAGTTTATTACTTTTAGGTAGGTAGTCGATAAGCAAGATTCATCCAATAAACCATCTCAACCTTAAAAATGACTTCCCATAATGTTTCTATAAGGCTCAAAACGTACACTTGGCAATAAACCCTGCATCGAACACCACCACGTCAAACATTATCACCACCGCCAATCTTAATGGTCAAGGTCATAATTACCTAACCACCATTTTGAGATATGTTTTGTCGATGCTGTTCATCTACGCAAAGTCAGGACAAGTCACAGAAGAGAATATACGAAAACACATTTTAAATGAGCTCGTCGTCGTATAATTCTAAGCTTACCTATACACTACCTTAGTAGTAAGCTATATTCACCTTGTATAGACAAATCTATATACTCCGATATACCCGCCTTACTATTCTGAAATGGCATACCTCGCTTTTGTCCTGGCGTTTACCGCTTTCGGATCGTTACTTGGCCTCGTGGTAGTTTTAACTATGCTACCTTCACGTTACGTTAAGATCTCCCCGGCATCTAAAGAGTCTGTTTCTATTCAAGTCTTAGTTCTTGGGGACATTGGCCGAAGTCCGCGCATGCAATACCATGCTCTAAGTGTTGCTAGGCATGGCGGAAGGGTTGATCTTATTGGCTATCATGGTATCTTTGTTTCTCTTCTTATATTCCTTTTGTTAGCTTGACGAGTAATCTGTACTAAGTCATTGTATAGAATCAGCCCCTCATCCCGATCTTCTCAATAATCCCAGGGTCAAGATCTATCCGTTGGCACCTCCACCGAGTGTGATTAGGTCCAGTTCGATTCCTTTTATCATCGCGGGGCCTTTAAAGGTGCTATGGCAAATTTGGACTCTCATTCGAGTTCTCGGTTACCAAACACCCCCCGCAAGATGGATCATGGTTCAGGTACAGTCTATTTATTATCTTTATCCAGTATACTTGTTGACATCCACTCTAGAACCCCCCATCTATCCCAACTTTAGCTATTGCCCTTCTGATTTCCGTCTTGCGCAACACGCATCTTATAATTGATTGGCACAACTATGGCTGGACGATCCTTGCCGGGACAAAGGGACGCAATCATCCTTTCGTGGAAATTTCGAAAGCCTACGAATGTGCGTTAGCTCAGGCAGCACCTACGGCTAATATCACTGTTACTCATGCAATGAAGCGGCAATTGGAGAAGGCGCCTTATAGCGTTAATGCGCCAATTCTTGTTCTTCACGACCGGCCAGCCTCCTTATTTCAACCCCTAGATTCTTTATCAGATCGCAGGGACTTTCTAGAAAAGTTACCAGAGACTAAGGAATTTGCTTCAAACATCATAGCAGGTCAGACAAAGCTCATAGTAAGCAGTACATCTTGGACACCGGATGAAGATTTCTCCCTCTTACTCGACGCCTTGGTTACATACGCTAAGGACGAGTCTACGCATCCTATCATCGCCATCATTACAGGACGCGGGCCCCAAAAAGCAGCTTATGAAGAGAAAATCCGGAACCTACAGAAAGCGGGAAAATTGCCCAATATTCGCATACTAACTGCATGGCTAACGATAGAGGATTATGCCAAGCTCCTAAGTTGTGCTGACCTCGGGATATGTCTTCACATGTCTAGCTCCGGCGTTGACTTACCCATGAAAATTGTGGATATGTTTGGATCTGGGCTGCCAGTTGCTGCGTACTCTGGATATGAGAGCTTCAGCGAATTAGTTAAGGAGGGTATAAATGGATGCGGCTTTGAGACGGCAGACGAGTTAGCGACAACTTTGACGCGATTATTGGGGGAAGAAGGGTCACGCGAACTGCAGACGCTACGTAGAGGAGCCAAGAAAGAGAGTGATCTACGGTGGGATGAAGAATGGGATCGAGTTCTAGCCCGTGTATTAGGGCTCATGGACTAAGATACGACAATATTTAAGCGGGACTACGCGTTACGAACTACGAAAGTCAACGAATTGAATTCAAATACGTATCAAATACGTAACACCTATACGCCTTCTCGAATGCTCCGAAGTCAGCTATGCTAGTGTCAAAACAGACGTTATTCAACACAAGATGGTGCTCTTGGGATAACGTCCCGGTTTTCTCCTTCAGTCGAGAGATATTCATCTGTGTAGAAGGTTCGGTTGTCGATATGCGGTCGTGAATCCTGTCCATTTACCTGCCCTGCCTACCTAATCCTCGCCTAAGCTCTCTCTAACGCACTTCCTTACTCGCTTCCTAAACTCCTTCGGACCACCTTCTCGCTCGGCGCGCAACAGCTTGGCGGCATCCAAATTGGCGGGACTCTCGTCATTAGGCTCATTGAAGAGACTGAGAACGCTTAGCAGTATAGTCTCGGGGGTCTGGACGGGACTCCAGCGCTCGGCAGCGCTCTCATAGCCGTACTTGTCTTCCTCGGGTGGGTGAAGGATCGATATGCAAAGCTCGCCATTGGGATAGATGTTCGGGTGGAACGGAACCGGGGTCTGGAAGACGATCTGAGGAGGTAGGTGAGGATATTCGGGTGGGAAGGTCATGAGGGCGCGGAAATAGGCACCTAAGTTTCTCTATGAGTTAGCCATGCTAGATCTGATGGTCTATATAACTTCATGCGCGTGGCAAGAACGGTTATGATTTAAGAGAGATGAAGGATAAGACATACCACCGTAATACTTGCATTCATCATTGATCATAAGAATAACTTCCCATTCGAAGACATTGCTTTCCTTAGCTAGGCCAACTGAAATACCTGATAGGTCAGATGACGTATGCATCTCCTTGAGCTGGCGCTGCAAGAGTCGGGCGGCTCCCGAGGTCTGCGCCGACGATGCTGACATTATAGCGGTGGTGACGGCGTGTTACAGCAGTTACGCGACGGAAGATAACGAGATGAAGTAAGGTAAGATGTTTTTATGAGGATTTTTTTCGACTCGCCGATACAAGGCAGGTAAATAATCTTGTACGGAAGCCGGGAAGCCTCGAACTGCAAGATCCACCACGATATTTGTTAGATGGGTCGGCGACGTAGATATCTACCTGTGTTATGTAGATACCTTTTGGCAGGTTTAACGTTACTTGCGCGTGGGGTGCTGTTAACGGAGAGTGAAACGGATGTGAAAGATTGGATCTATCGAGTCCGGCGCGGAAGTCTCGTAATCGATGGTGGGGTAGCTTATGTACGATGTTATATACCTGTAAGGATTAGATGCAGGTATGAAGGGATATGCGCAGGGATAGGGGATATGTATTAGGTAGGAGCACGATATTGAATTGCAGGACAATTTGTTGTGATTTTACTTTTGTCCGGACTTTATTATCAAGTCTACAGAGATATGAAGTCTTACGTCATGAACGGTGTAGGTGCTTTAACTAAGTCAATTAATTTAACTCAGGTAACTTTTGGTGTTAGTTATTGTAAGTAGTTACCCAGTAACGTACATATAAGGAGTAAAGCAACATTGTATAGAAACAAGTGTAGATGATTAAATACAAGACAAAGACATAAATCAAGTTATTACCTTAACTATACAGATATAATAAACTAAGAGTTAGAACTCGGTCAAATTAAGTCCTGCAAGGGCGGGAAGATGCAGATAGGCTTGTACAACAGAACATTAAAGTAGCAGCCAGTTAGGAGCTTATACTACTTTTATGCCAATAAAGTCTCTTCGTCTTGTTGATACCTACTACCTTGGTACTTATATGTCAGTCATACAAAAAATCACTTATATAGAAACTGAGCAACAGATGTATATAGCTAATAGGTTGCTAATAACTCTTTTTATTCAGTCCAAGAAGCACCTTATAGCCTGTAATTTTCATTTTCTACCAGAGGTAAATGGGGGTATTAATATAAAATCATCCCCAAATATACACATGGCCATACGAATCAAACCAAGATGCGACCCAAGCAACCCAAACTTGGATCAAACCAAACGCCGTATCTGATGCTCCTTTAACGCCATCCCTTCGCTTATATCTCAATATAACTATCATTCCCGCCACGGGGCTACTTCTTCTTCTTCGACGTCCCAAACCCCGTAATCCCCATCGCAGCCATCATATCATCCTCATCATGCTCACCTTCGATGCGCACGTCGTCGCCATACTCAGTCTTAATCTTCTCCTGCGCATCTTGCGCCGCCTTCTTCTTCGCCAGCTCCTCCTGTCTCTTAAGCCGCCTCGCCTCCCTCTCCTTAGTCGCCTCTTCCTCGCGCATTTCCAAGCGCTCTTTTAGCGTCGTCAAGCTTGCCTTCTTCTGCTCTTGCAGCCGCTCCCATACCTCTGTGATGCGCTGGTGTACTTCTTCCGCGCTCGCCTTTTTGACCTCGCCCGTCTCGCCGATGTTCCGTAGGTGCTGCATGCTGTTCACGTGCTCGACCCATTGCATGTTGTCCTTGAACGTGAGGTCGCAGGCGCTGCAGTAGAACCCGGCCCCGCGGCCCCTTTTCCCCTGGCCCGCGCCCGCCGGGACTAATGTCGTCTTGCCTACGTTGGCTTCGAGGTCGATGATATCGCGTCGCGCCCGCGTGAGCGTCTCGTCGCCCGTCAGAGGCTTGTAGTACTTTTTACCAGCCATTTTTGCCTCATATCGTGCCTTCGCTTCTTCTTTATCAGCTGCATCTCGTACTTTGGCTTTCTGCGCGTACTCGTCCAGGTCGTAGCTCCGCCGGAAAGACGTGTCGTCAGCCGGCGTGCCGTACGCCGAGCCCTTTTTATCGGCCATGTTGACGGTATTTGAGAGTAGTATATTTTATTCGGTTCGAAGAGTGTGTAGCATAGAGAATAGCCCTTCTTTGGTATGAAAGGTAAAATTGACGTTGTAAATACACGACTTTATTTGAGATTAACGCGATAAGGTAATCTGCATGTAGCATTTAAATGCGGTAAGACAGCAATTGGCTTTCTACCTTATTAGTGGGTACCTCAGTACCTACATAGCATAATACCCCTGCTGGCCTGGCCGTCCTAGAGGGAAAATATGCTTAATCGATTACCCCTCCATTTATGCCAATAAGCATCTTAAGTAAAACTTTCTCCCCACTTCAACTTAGACTCCTTCTACGAGATCTCAAGCATCAAGCATTTCTCTATAGGACCTAAGTTCGCTTGGTTCATACTATTACAATGCTCTACCTCGTGGGACTAGGTCTCTCAGATGAGACAGATATAACAGTAAAAGGCCTCGAAATTGTTAAAAAGGCATCCCGTGTCTACCTCGAAGCTTATACGAGTATTCTCCTAGTAGATCAGTCTGTCTTAGTAGGCTATCCCTCATCTTGCGCGGTATCATCTTTTCTCATTCAGCTAACGCTAATTGCGCAGTAGGAGAACTATTATGGCCGATCCATCGTAGTCGCGGATCGCGAGATGGTCGAGTCGAATAGCGAAGAAATCCTCCGCGATGCGCATACAGAGGATGTCGCATTTTTAGTAGTTGGTGATCCTTTTGGGTATGAGAGAGCCGCCCGAGAAATCCGATGAAGAGGGGCCATACATTTTCAACGGTATATAAATCACAAATATAGACTAACGCCTGGATATAGCGCGACTACGCATACTGACCTCGTTCTTCGAGCGCGCGAGCTCTCAATTCCCGTCCAGACGGTACCAAATGCCTCCATAATGTCAGGGATAGGAGCTACGGGGCTTCAGCTATACAACTTCGGCCAGACGGTATCTATGGTATTCTTCCTGGATAATTGGCGCCCCGCGTCCTTTTACGACCGTATCAAGGAGAATCGATCCATCGGGCTTCATACACTCGTGCTATTGGACATCAAAGTCAAGGAGCAGAGCTTAGAGAACATGGCACGAGGAAGGAAGATATATGAACCCCCTAGATATATGACAGTTGGGCAATGCGCGCAGCAGATGCTTGAGATCGAGGAAGAAAAGAAGGAGGGCGTTTATGGACCGGAGAGCCTAGCCATCGGCGCCGCGAGGGTTGGCGGCAGAGAAGAGAAGTTTGTTGCTGGAACACTAAAGCAGCTCTGCGATGCAGATGAAGCCCTCGGGCCGCCGCTACATAGCTTAGTATTACTAGGTAAAAGAGCACACGAGCTAGAGAGGGATTATGCTCGCGAGTTTGCGGTCGATAAGGAGACGTGGGATACGATTTGGATTAGGGATTACGGTCAGCAATGAAGAAAGTCCATCATTAATAATTGCAAATACATCTATACATCTTTGGCCTTCTACTTTGACTTATTTTATGATATTAGTAGCATAGGTCATGTCTCAGGGCCAAGTCCCGCCTTCACTAATATTCCAAGCTGTCTATCTACCTACCTAGGTACTTACCTACCTATATATATAGATGGGTACTCTTTTCCGTAATAGTTCGTGACACTTAATTAAATTATATAACCTCAATTATTAATAAATGCAACCTCTTAGCTACCCTACGTTGTGTGATGCGATACATCAGACTTTATCATCGATAATATTTCTTGCTTTAAGGGATAAGCTTGATGACGTCAAGCTATGTAAGAGCCACTAATCATCATAGGTTAGGTACATATCCCATTTCCTTTATCTTAACTTAAGACTGTCTCAGGAAAAGGCAATTGATAAAGGTAAATATACATCTTGTCAAGCCGATATGAACTTGTTCTAACCTCTCAACTATATGTCATCGATCGATTAGGATAAGATAATGCGTAGATGCGCTAAACAGCTAAGCAATTAGGTCGGTATTACCAAATCTAGTAACCTTTGATATAATAGGATGTACATGTATGGACCAATCCATGAAAAAATATGTACTTAGGTTAAGTATTTTTATACATGTGAGCTTTAAATAGAATCAAGCCTTCAAATTGGACCACGGTTCAAGGAGCCGAACCGGTCTAGAGGGAAGGTACGACGAGCGATACGCTAGCTTGTGTTACAAGGTAAAGCTGCTCAATCTTCGGCATGGATATGGATATTTAGCTTCTGTCATTGGGTACATTCTGCGATGTCGTACCTTAGGTAATGCAGAGGTTAGAGATGTTTAACGGGAAATAGCTACCTTTTGTACCTAACCTACCTAGACCTAGAGGAGCGGGCAGGTAATAAGTACCTAACTTACCTTTTCTCCATCCCCTCCTTCCGTCCAGCAACTATACCTTAGGTACATAGAAGAATAAGTGGTGAACATCCACTACATTATACATACTACAGGCACTCCGGTTATCCATCACATCGACCTAAGGTACATACCATACGTAGAGGTTAGTGACTTCCACATTACTTCTTCACCTAATGGTGACTCGCTTACTCCATCTGTTTCTTATCCTACGTTTATTTCCCATAACATTTATTTGGTACACGTCGTTGCACCTCATCCCAAAATCATTTCAACTACTCCAGAGGTAGATACGCGTAAATCACCAAATATCAATCCATAACGCTCTCATCCATTTAATCGCCATCACCTGACTTCGCGATTAATTCCCCAATCTCCTTCGACCACTCCTCTTTTAATCATCATCTCTTTCCTAACCATTATAATTTAGTCACAGTCCGCGCCTGGTCTTTGATGTTCGTCCCCGGGTCGTATTCTTAATATCCCCGTTAAGAACCTAGGTATATGCCTTAATTTGCCGTGGCAGATATTTCTTTGCCGCAAGTTCCTAATTACTACTCAAATCGAAGCTCGGGGACCCCAAGAATCTGAATTTCAATTTCAAAACTTGTTTGGCCTCAGATAGCTTCTTTGTCTTGTGCAAACAGTTACCCCCCTCAAGACACAAGACAACTCCCACTACAGCCCGTCTACAAGGAGTCGGATTGAACAACCTACATCGTCATTACCTTCCCCGGTATACCTCTCGGCGTTTTGCCAAACCTCGGGCGCCCGAGGTGCTTTAATACACCTCCGGTTATGAGCGTTGTTACGAATCCTTATAGCCATCCGCTTCATTCAACATGGTAGGAGTTTAACACCTTGCTATTTTACCGTAATGCCTCTTGTATATTAACTGGTTGCTGTAGAGTAGCATCGCCTGGGAATGCCGTGATCAGGCCGACCAGGCCGAGATCTATTACAATCATCCCCTTCGCACCAAGGTTCGACGTCTCGAAGATGAGAACATGACTTTGAAGCGTCTACTCCGTGAGAATGGCATCTCGTGGCAAACCCGTCCCAAACCCGCGAGGACTTCTACTGGGCGAATCACCCGTGCTTCTACCAGGGCCGTTCGCCCACCCCTTCCACACATCCCGGTTGAGATACAGCTTAGAATTATGTCATTCGCTCTAACTAGCTCACTTCCTATCGTCGATCCACTATGCAAGGTCAAGCCGGAGAATCTAACCGTACGAGAGAAGTCTAAGTCTAGCAGACTCGCAATTCACTTCTTAGCGACCTGTAAGGCCTATTATGAAGAGGGCACCAAGCTCCTATGGACCAATAACTCCTTTGTCTTCACGAGTCCGGAGTCACTTAGAAACTTCGCCGAGGTCCCTCTTCACTTTCGACAAAACATCAAGGATGTCACCTTCCGTGTCATTGCAAAGTTCTATGACGATGAAGAGCGAACGCACAGGATTAGTCGCAACTACCACCCCGATCTTAGAAAGGCCGTTGCCTTGACCGTACATAAGCGGCCCAAGGAAAATAGTCTGGCTCGCCGTGGTTTTCGAACTTATGGCTGGTACCAGCTTGCTGACTTCCTCATGGCCATGCTACCTCCCTTCGACCCTTCTTACGTTTCTCATAGCAATGGCTCGGCCACAACATATTCTGCTCCGTTGCCCAAATTACTACCATCCCTAGAAAAGATTCGCATTGACTTTGTGAATTTTGGTGAAGACATGTTTAACAACCCGCCTCCCCAACTTCACGAGGTCGCATCACACCAGCTTGGATGCACACTGAACGAGGTAGTTTTGACAGGCTTACCGAGCGATGAGACCGGTCTTCGGGTTTGTAACGAGATGGCCGGCCTTTTAAAGGACGAGGGCCTTCTTATTGATCACGCACCTACGATGGTGGCTCTCAAGAACGGCGTGCGTGCTCTCGAATGCGATACTCATGAGTGTCATTACTGTGCTAAGGTCGTTCGAGCGATGCGCGCATTTAAGAGTGGCGACCACCATCACGACGATGTGCACTCCCACCTCTTCGGAGCTGACTTCCCTCCCGCACCTAAAGATGAAGGCGAGCCACCTTATTCCTACTATCATTCCTGCCGGACCATTTGGAAGAAAATACCTATCAAACTCGGCGATGATGAGCGCAAGTGGGTGCTATTTGATAGGATGAGCGGACTTCCGTGGGACGACGTCGAGGAGGACATCACCATGTTCGATTTCCTTAGTGACGATGACGAAGCTATCGCCTGTGAGAATTGCGGCGAGGTTCATCCGGGAGCCATTCCTCCCATAGAGATGATGGATCTTTACGACGACTTTTGAGCACGTACCTGAGAGGACAATTCCGATCTTTCTACGATGATTACGAATGATATGCATATGATACCAGGTTTGCTTTAATTTCGGCATTTGCACGGGCGGATGAAAAATGAGCGGAGTAGCAAATGTAATAAGATTACATACAGGCCGAACCCATCTTCACAGCAAAGGGTGTTCCAGTACTACCATGTAATATACGAGCCAAACAACATTTCAAGGTTCAAGTATCCCAATGCCTGCTTTGTATGAGTTGACCTCTATTTGTAGCGCCAATCCGGCTCTTAATTAAGAACAATAAGCTTTAGTTGAGCACAGTTTTCATGTCATACATGTCATCCATGTCCTCTTCTCTGTGTTTTGTCTATAATAGTTTGTGTTGCCGTTGGTTTTCCATCTCATAAAGGGATTTAACAGGGTTTCGCTGGACAACGTGGCATTCCCACATGTAGAAGTTGTCTTCATAATTAAGTACCTATAACCATCAGGTAGTAATGTAGGCTTCTTGTCTATTCAATACACATCACTACTGATATATAAATATATCGACAATAGCCTCCGGTCCCTACGAAAGAGAAGAAAAGTTGGAAGTATGGCTTCGCATATATTTATGATTATTCAAAAGACGCAACATATTAAACGGTTTATGTACTGCTTGACTCTTGATAAATCAAATAGGGCTTTGATTATATTTAGTTGTAACCAAGTAAATTTTAGACCTAGGATTCCGGTGATACGGGCTTGTTCACTTCTTTATTAGATGTATTTGTGTTAGCCTTTCTATTGTTCTGAACACTACCTAAGATAGACCTTTTATGTTTTACCCTCTTCCGTACTGATCTATTTACACAGCGATGAGATTCCATATATATATGCCTTCGTTGTTTACTACCCTACATATACCTAGGGAGAGACGATTTTACTGTCTTATTCTCCTTCTTCTACCACTTCGTCCTCCTGTGTAGTCGGATTGTACACGCCATCCTTTATTTCTTGGAGCGAGATTTACAACTCTTTAGAAATTCTCCTCTTCTACGCCTCTGTCACAACCTCTTCTCCCCATACACCTTCAGCATAATTAGGTAGCCATTATAACTTAACGACCTCTGCTTACAGCTGTAATGCTGCTGGGTATCCGCATGCTCTTCCCCTTCGGGTCTATATACCAATAGCCACCACGTGGTGGGATCCGCAACAACTTATGGCTTGAACTGTATACATAATGCGGGTTGGGTTCAGGGGTACGGGTCCGCTCTAAACATATAGAAAAGGCCCAGCAAAGACCAGATGACGGCTGAATTCATAAAGTCTTGGTATCTCCCAGCTACCTTACCTAGTATGTAGGTTACCTACGAAGAAGCCGAACACGTCGTTATGGTCAGAGTCATCTGTGATCTCAGTGTTCCCCTTCCAGCATATCCAGACACTGTGTCCTAGTGTAACGCCTTTACGGTATCTTGCCCTCAATCTGTAAAGTTCTCAATGGGACCACTCACTGCACTATGACAACCTCGAGTCTACCTAGGTATCTAACTAATATCAGAGAATAGTAACCGAACAAAACCCACTTTAATAACTCGTTTAGCTCTGCGATCTCTTTGACCATTAACGACTGTTCCATATTCTTGATGGACAAGGTACCTTTCGGCTTCTCCTAGTCCGAAGAGCCCGGACGATTCTCGAAAACAGACTTAACCTATTTCAAGATGCCATACCATTTGCCGCCCTGGCGATACTTGATAGCATGAGCACAGACCTTGGAGAAGCTGACTAACCTAACCTAGTACAATATTGAACTGCCTCATGAAAAAAGGGGGTTGATATTGATTTTCTGTTCTACTACTCATGCGTATACGATAACGAATTTACAAGGCTATATCTTGATGTCGAGTTGCTTGGCCGTTGCTCGTAGTCTACTTCACCCAGAGGGGTAAGTAGAATTGCACTGAAAGCGCTTCTTATCACACTACGTGTATAAGCGAGTAAGACAGGCGGATGGATTAGCTCTATCATATATTACCCCTTATATGGATGGAGGAGGTTCTATTAAAAAGACGAAGCGAGAATAGAAAAGATGCCGTATTTTGAAAGATCCTAATTAGTATTGAGTACACCCTCTCTCTCAGAGGTAAAATCAATATTAAGCTGGAGGTTGTCAACACGGTTAAGATACAATTAGACAAGAGACACGATGCCGTATATGCTCTGGTTTCGTTTGTAACTCTGATTTTCATTACTCGGGTACTACAACCTGTTTCCTCCTTTCTCTGCCTCTACCGAGAAGTAGTTCTAGATGCGACCAGACTGCTCATCAGCTTTTGCGGATTTCGGCCATTTTAACTCCAGTAATAGAACATGATTTATCGTCATCATGGGAAAACCGTATGCCCACCATGCCCCTGGACTATGGTGAACTCATAACAACACATGAAATTTGAATTACTCTTCAGACTCTGCTTCGCTTTCGGCATCCTCGGCCTCCTCCTCTTCTGCCTCTTCTTCAGCTTCCTCGGCTTCGCCGTTTACCTCCCCGGTGGCAACGCCGCCTTCGCTTTCTAGCCGCAGCCACTCTTCCCATTCTGGGAAGAGTTCTTCGTCTTCTGTTGGGATAGCAATCACCTTTGCCACGCGGCCCTTTTTGTTCTTCTCCAAACTTTCTTTCCACCCCTTGACAGCATCAACTGTCAAACTCGGCTTGTATGTCTGCGAGAATAGAACAGATTCAGCTAGCCTGTTTGTCTTGGTGAGAACGTCCACACAGCCCGCAGTATCACCTAGCAACCACCTGCACGTGAATGCAACGTTGTGGGCGCCAGACTCCTCTGCTTGCGTCGCGAGAGCCCTTAAGCCTGCCTGATCGGATGTGCTAGAGTAAATTAGGAGTAAAGAGCCCAGATCTTTCGCGTGGGTGAAGCATTCAGCGGCGAGCTGGACGTCCCATGCCGTGAGGGCTGCATCGCCTACCGTCTTCCACTTGTGGTCATTTTCCGCTTTTCGCGCAAGGTCGAGAGCAATGTCAAGCTGGTTCAGGGCAAGCGACAAGTCAAACTTGTGCTCAGGGTCGGTGGCTACCTCCAACGCTAATTCTTTGTGACCCTGTCCCTCGAGGAACCTAGCGATCTTGTTGAGCTGATCTGTAGGGATAGTGGGGAGCAGTTCGGCTGCCGTTTCCATGTCCCCACGGAGTACTAGCGTCTGATATTCTAATACAGGGAGAGATAGAGCAAAGCTTGTGACATTGACATCTTTGTCGGCCAGATATATCCTGGAGTCTCTTTGGATATAACCAAGAATATACATCGGCTGGTCGAAATGTGAGATAGTGTATGTTTGGTCACCAACTAGGTAGTTTAGTCGGTTTGTGCTATTGGTGTAAATGAAGCAGTCCCCAACCCATTGGCCTGTTCGTACGCTGTGAAGATGTTAGTTACGAGTAGAGAATTATTAAGTAGCAAATACTCACCTCTCGGCGATATCTGTAATCACCTCGAAGGCGGCCTCAACTCCATCTTCGTCTGCTTGGCCAGCTTGAGTAGCTTCGATATAGCTCTCGCGGGAGAATCTTAAAACGTAGAAGGTATCTTCGCAAGCCAAAGTGACAAGCTCGCCGCTATCTGACCAATACACCTCTTTTGGTTCTACTTCGATTCGTCTAACTAGACCGCCGGTGGCCCAGTCATAGAAAGACACACCTCCTTGGCCCTTTACACCCAACAAGACACCACCCGTTAAGCCATCAGCCTGGAAAGGGATATCCAGACCACCGGTCTTCTCAACGAAATTCTTGTACACCTTCACACTGGTCGGCGACTCACGAATGGCGAAGTCGTTACTGTTGTCCTTTGATGCCCATACGAAATCCAGTGCAGATCCGAAGGCCTTGTTACGCCATGCCAAAGCTGTGTAAATGATATACTCGCCATCACCGCAAACCGAAACAAAACGGCCATTGGGGGAGTGAATGAGCGTTTGAGGATAAACTTCGCATGTGCCTAGTTCCTTGGTAGGGAGCGTGATTTGTTCATTGTCCTTAATCGAGGCGTCTATAGCTCTAGTTAGTACTTATAACAGTTATAGAGTAGGGCAAATGCACATACCGCCACCCTTGATGATAGATGAGACGACTTCATTGTGTCGAGCCCAAATCAATTTGCCAGAACTATCCATGGATACAGCAGGCTCTTCTCGGCCCAGCTTTACTACCACTGCACCATCGTCGAATCCAACAGCTACACCTTGCTTACCACGCTGGTAGGAAATACACCACGCACGCTCTAGCCCGTAGTTGAGAGACTGTTCAAAGCGGTAAGTATTTGCATGCCATATCCTGATAGTACCATCTTCAGAACCGGAGATGATGACAGGCAGTTCCGGGTGGTAGCAGGCAAAGGACACATTATTGGTATGTCCTTCGAGGCTCGCAATAAGACTCTTGGTTGTGTAATCCCAAACCTTAACGGTTCTGTCGTCAGAGGTTGTGAGGAGGTACGGCTTGTCGGAATGCGGGTAGTAATCAACATGGTTTACACCCTTTGTCTCGTGTGCCTCGAGTGTGAAGTTGGCGGTAGAGGAACCTAGGCTCCATATCTTGACGGTCCTATCTAAACAGGCCGAAGCGAAAGTGTTGGTATCCTTAGGATTAATAGCCAATCCCATGACATAGTGGCTGTGACCTTCAAACACTTGTACGCACTTCCATCCCTTCTCCCAATCCCATAATTTGATGGTCATGTCATCGGAGGCGGTCAAGACGAAAGGTTGCGTGGGGTGGACCGCAATTGCGCGTATGTAGTCGGGATGCGCCTCGAAGGATGTGATCTTTTCGGAGGTATTGTAGTTATATACTCTTAGTTGGAAGTCGTCGGAACCGCAAACGATCCAGTTCTTCCTCGCGACGAACCGACCGGCTCGTACAGGGACATCGGTAAGCTCAAAGGTCTTGACGATCTGTTGTGTTTCGTACGACCAGATGTAAACATGGCCTTAGATAATTAGCTATGAATGAGAGCTTAAGGGACTTGAAGAAGCCAAAGACGGACTCACCGCTGTATAAAGTAGTTAGAATCCATGGCTCTTGCGGGTGGTAGTCGATGCCCTTGACACGCTCACTGCGCGCAAAGAGTTGTCGCTGTGCATCAAATACCATGTTAGCAAATCCAATAACCTGGTAGCTGGTTTATGTAGTTGGAATATAAAACATGGGGATTTAATTCGTAAGGCGTGGAGGATAATAATGGTAGTATTTAGGAGTTGAGCCGCAGCTCTGCAAGTGTGCGAAGGTACGAGGGTCAAGAAAGGCCAAGTCTCGATTTACCAAACCAAATGTCTCGAACTGGAAGTAAACCAAAAAGGAATCGGAGCGAACGGGGATATTGTACACACCTTTACATCCAGCCTCATTTTGCCGACAGCTCCAAATACCGTAGGAAATGAATGGGTCGTATAATGAATGCAACGATTCGTTCGAAGGGGGGGGTAGTTGATGGTTGATCGTAGGCAGATCGATGCTAGTAATATTACATGAAGACCATCTAGATTGAGATTTCTGAATTGTAATATGTGTTCCGTTTAGACAAGCGTAGGTATCGTTTCAATTGCTGGGTTACGTGTAGTTGAAGCTTGATAGCTTACTTTAATTCTGAATGCCTAAGTAACACATAATTTACCCGCACGTATTGCCATTTCCACATTTTCAAGTTTCAACGGTGGTCACTTCCCCCCTGCTTTAATCAACCAATCAATAAGTCATTAGCTTACGTAACATGTGGCTGAAGCTTTGTCGAATTCACCTAACCTCAGGCTTAGTGGACCTTTCTTCAATTCTATCCTAGAATCAGCCACGATTACATCTACAACCTCAATGGTAAGAAACTTCTTCACTTCTCCTGAATACCTCTGCTCGCAATATGTACGTAAGAAGCACTAAATTTCAATTGCCCAATATGCACAGACAATTATACATGAAGCATTACAAGTGCACATCGCTCACAATAACATACATTACCATCACAAATCTACCTACACAGTCACATTTAAAATAACAATTGGATTTTTTAAGTCATAATAATTTTTATTGGAAATCAATCTTCTCCTATTGTCAATCTTGTATTTAACTTGACAAGAATGACTAATACCTAGCGAGAACGCAACGCAATCGATGCAGATTTACAATTCTGCCGACGTGATCTAGTCGTCGTAAAGCGTCCTGCGTTCCCTTATATTTCCTTTCTGGTATCATCATACATGAACGCCTTTATCCCCTGTCATTTCCCTAGACGTAACAATCGCTCCCATGCCGTGAAATTCATCTGAAATGCAAATGCGGAAATAGAACGCAGAAGGCAAAGAGGCAGTTGGAAAAGGGAGATATTCATCCAGATGCTTAATCTTGGCTGTCCGCCTGGACCTTCTGGACGATCTCAACCACCTTGGGATACAGCTTCTCCGTCTTCTGTAGACCACACACCTTGAGGACCACATCTTCGGGGCTGTTCTCCAGCATGATCTTGGCAAGCTCCTTGCTCTCGTCATCACCATCCACGTTCTGGAAGCGGAAGGCCATCTCGGCAGCAGCTAGAAGAGCTGGTGTCTCGTGACCCATCTCGGCCAATTCAGCAGCAGGACCGATGAAGCGTTCCTTGCGACCAAGCTTTCTTAGGGGAGCACGGCCAACACGCTCGACAGCATCAGCTAGATGAGGGTTGCTGATTCGGTCAATGATCTTCTTCTTGTAGGCCTCCTGCTCCTCGGGGGCGATGCCATGCTTCTCTACGATAAGCTTAGCGGTCTCGTTGACTGCTGCGGCGACTTGACTCTTAATATCCTTGTCTCGCATAGCATCATCGACGGTCTGCTTTTGCCTGTTGTAACCAAAGTAGGCGGCAGTGGCGTGGGATGTGTTGACGGTGAAGAGCTTACGCTCAATGAAGGGCTGTAGGTTGCCTACCCACTTGATACCCTCGATGGACGGCTTCTCGCCATGTTGGAACGGAGTCTCCTCGACGACCCACTCGTAGAACTTCTCCAAAGTCACATCCAAGCCGGCGTTGGGATCTTGGGCAGGAACGATACGGTCGATCGCAGAGTTGGCATAGGCAGCTCGCTCGTGGTGGTCTTCGAGGCGGTGCTCGGGAGTGTTCTTGGGGTCCTTAATGTGACCAGCGAGGGCGTCTGTGGCACCGATCATGTTCTCGCAAGCAATGACGACTAGAGGCTTGAGTTCATTTGAGCGCTTGTCGATACCCTTGGCAATGACGGGGGCGATGAACTTGAGAATGTTGGGGCCGACAGAGCAGGTGACAACGTCGGCAGTTGAAATCTCGTCAACAAGCTCAGCCTCATTGTGCTTGGAGTTGATGGCTCGGTAGTTGGTGATTGTCTTGACATCTGTGCCTTCAACACCACGCTCGATGACCTTGTACGAAGGCGACGAGTTTAGGGCATCTACGAGCTTGTCGACAACGTCGGCGAAGATGACCTCGTAGCCTGACTCATGTAGGAAACATGCGACAAAGCCTCGGCCAATGTTGCCGGAGCCGAAGTGGACTGCCTTCTTACCCATTGTGAATTGGTGAAGGTAGAGGTGATAGAAGATGTGATGTTGTAAGTGAGGATAATAGGATAGTAAAATTTGTGAGGTACGTTGTATGTTGTGCTTCTAACGTTTCAGAAACACTAAAGTAGAAGTGGTACAATTAGGTTCGTTGAAAAAAAGTGAAGAAAGAATAAGAAAAAAAAGAATTGAGAAAGGGGAAAGTTGATGTTCTTATGTGCAGGTGCAGGTGCAAGAGGTTAGAAATCGGTAGTGACGAGGAAGGAACGAGGTGACTGGACCAAACCCACGAGGCCCACGAGCCCCGAACAATTCGACCGGAAGTAGAGGGGTGCTGCGTAGCGTCACGGCAGGAATGAATGGCGGACTGTATCGTACTGTACTCCAAGGGGTCCACCGTTTTGTTGGCCTTTGCTGACGGCATTACGGCATTACGTACCCTGTACAGCCGGTAATCCCCAGTTTATTGCCGACCCACTTTAACGTATCGTGTTTTGACGGTGGGCGTTTGATTTCAATTACAACAATTGCAACTCCAATACTTTATTTTTCATGTAGTTACGAAGAAATGTAATGTGTACTACATAGCAATATCAAATATCTCTCGCTCGGCTGACTGACGATCATAGATACTATCCAGTCTTTTATACCTATATACGACCCTATTGACAACATAAATTGGAAAAAGCCTCAACTTTGTGTAAGACAAGCCCAATTCCTAAATGACTCGAGAACATATCAAGCAGCTCATCAGCATAACAAGTATCTGCTGCCGAAGTGGTTGCCCATACTTGATTATAATGCCTCCTCGTATGACTTATAATTCGCCAGTGCCACTTCATCACTACGCAGGAATATTCTATCGAATTCGAAGTCTTAACAACGCCATATTAGTTTATTAGAAGTTGAACTAACAGACTTAAATACGCTAGAAAATTTTATGTCTCGCGATGTTAAAAGTAGGTTGGAAAAAAAATACTTATCATGCTCATCGCCATCGTATGATCCAGCTATATTTACCATTTGACGATGCTTCTTACTATTGGTCCCCTTCATGTCCCAACGTTTTGTCAGTAAATGAGACAGTATCAAGCATTTATGTTCTTACTCTCCGTGCCAAGCTTTAAATGACACTGTATATCCCGAATAGTTCCATGTAGCCTAGTCAATTCTTGTCCCTTTTAATATCGTCATTGGGCTTCATCCACCACATCCCTGAAAGCTCGCTAGCGATTCCCATGCTTAACATTGATCCGTCAAGCCTTTAAGGATAACTCAGGATCGCCAGGAGGACTCAAGACGAGGCGTCTAGAGAACCTGTAAGACACGTTTACAACCCACCATAAGCGTTTTGTTAGATACCTGATAAGCTAGACTAGACGCGAAGATTGATGAAATCATAACTGCAAGGAGAATGAATATACATACTATATGAACCTACATGGACCCTTAATAACAAAAAGGCACATGCAACGTGCCAAAGTCTGGGGGAGTCGTGGCCTTGCCCAGTATTCTCTAGCCTCCCCCCCTTCCCCAGTAGCCCTAGATCTGATTTGATATCTACTGAGCGCTTGGCATACATTGCAGAACACCGACCACTTACATAGAGGTTATCTAAAGCAAGGTAGCCTAGTCCCTGCAGCTTTTTTTATCACCGCCCATTATCGCCAATAGGCGGAGTGGTAAAGATGCCGGGCGGACTGCAGCACTGTAAATGAGAGTGTGGTCGGCTATGAAAGTAGGTGGTGTGTCCCTCGGCGCTTCTTTATTATCGTGATACCGTAAAGCTCCACACACACATTCATTGGACACAGTTTAATAATACATAAAGAGAGTTCAGATATAAGCCTGGGAGGAAGATTATAGAAGAATCGGTTGAGTCAGCTATCTTACTGACGAATCAGCACTACTTAATCTTGATAGGTTTTTTGAGGGTCTTTTAAGGAATGGAACGTGTCTAGATCTAGTGGTCGGGGAAGATCCCTATAACCTATGACCTCACAACCCGTTGTAAGACGCAGACTTCCTAAAGGGGAAAACATATACGGTCCGTAGATACTTTTAACAGTTTGAAACGTTATAACTAAACCTTAAGAAAAGAAAAGGAAAGGAAAGGAAACAAGGTTCCTTTAACCGGACAAACTAACCAAAAGGCCAAGGGCGACATCTTTTCCCCCCGCCGCCCTCATCCAACTCTGGAAGTCAAAGCCCCTCCTAATCCTAGTCGATGATCTCATAGGGCAGTCCAAAAGAATCCGCTAACACAGTCAATAGCGAATGGGGATCGCGCTAAAAACCACTCAAAACCCCTAAAGACGAACATGATTGCGCTTCTTAAACATCATCACCAAAAGATTCTACCGGGGTCTAAGGGTCCCCAAGGTCCCAAGCCCATACTTAGGGTTGCATCCGATCGATTCTTGGGTCATTTTACTCCATGATTACGTACCCGAGCATTGAATTCTCCGACGGGAACCTTTCAGGCCCTTTATTTTCTTTCGTGGTCAATGGTTTGATACGCGTAGTTAAGTTTTCCAAAACTCCGCTAGTTATTCACAAGTCATTACTATGTAGGCACCTGGTATGGTATGTAGATCACTGCGGGGTTTCAACTAGTGTGTAACGAACTCTACTATGTATATACCTAATGTAAGGTATTCCTCGGGTTCCACGGCCGAGAATCTATGATCTATCTATATCCTTGAATTGGTTCAGAGCAGTAGACTGACTCTCTTCCACCAATAATTCAACACTTCTCCTGTCGCTCAATGCCGTCCTGACAGCCTTGCAAGACTTGACACGTCGATCTCCTAAAATATAACGAGTCGACTTGGATCAACCCAGTATCAGATAAGCTCGAATACCACTTCAAATACCACTTCGATGACCTTTCCCGGGTTTCACGTGGCACTTAAGCAAGCACTCTACCGTATCAGACTAATATGGACAAATCCAAGCAAACAAAAGCAAAGCCACAGCCTACGAGTATGTAGACCACCTGGTCACTAGCATCCAAAGGCGTTTATTGCGCTATTCTATCCTCATTTTTTTCGACATGCATAACCGGTCTACTACCTAGGTTATCTGGTTATCTGGTTATCTGGCTATTTAGCAAACACTCCTGCTGCACAAGCATAGATCTCGATGCCGCTAGCCAGTCTCCAGTAACATCGTGATCCAGCTAAAAACGGCATGTATCTACATTACATAAGAAACATTCTGGTCAAGCGACTACTTACATATACTATATACACAGAACAGCATCCACTTTCCCCCATGCCTCTAGTTACACGTGTAGTTAACGGTTGTTCATCCAGTCTCGAGATCCACTCACTTACATACATACATATCGCTTGGATTAGGTAGGGTATCTGTTTGCCTGTGACCCCATTCTTGAGATACCACCATTTTCATACCAGCCTCCAATTGGATAACCTGCTTGTTCTCGGCATCGGCAAGGCTATGTGTTCTCACGATAGTCACTACCGCTGATTATTCGGAATGAAATGACCCACAACACTCGGGATGAAAATACACGATAATCTCCCAGACACTGTGTCAGATTCCGAGCCAGCCCCAACGACACTCGGCATTGCTCCTAAATTCTCACTTCTCGTTTCACATGGGATATTCGAGGCCTCCCCTCGCCTTACTTCCTAACCTTGCTCGTCCAATAATTGATCGTGAGCTTCAACTTCTTCCGCCCCGGCTCGATCTCGATTTCTTCCGGCCTTAGCGGCCCGATTATGCAGGAAACGGATTTATTTCTCTGGGGCTTTCCTATCTAATGCTAACTCGCTGTATTAAACCCCGACGAAACGGATATGTTGTAACTTTGAACTTGTCAGGCCATAAAAAGGACCGATAAATTATTGCATGTCCCTGAACACTGCCACAAAATTTTTACTTTTTCTTTAATTATGCTTCTTTCAGCCGGATAACGTGCTTTCGGTATGCTGCTGTTCCTGATGTTGCGCTGCTGCTCGAGATAAATCTTACCGCTCTCTGTGGTCATTTTCGGATATGGGACGGCCTCTCCCGACCTGGTCCGATCCACTGTGGGGCCGAGTTATCCCGAAATTCCCAAAACAATTGAATGCTCCACCGAAGAATTCAGGAGAACCCAATTACCAAGTCACGATATCTGTCAACAACTACAATTAGAAATACCCCTTCAATTTATAAGGTAGATCTATGATAACCCAGAAATTCACACTTAGTAAAGAAACAATTTAAGGGGAGTTATTATGAATTTTGGTTTTTGATTATTGGGTTTTTGTATTTTGGGTTACAAAAAAGTCTCTAAGAAGACTAAGACCTCACAATAAGTGTGAGATTCTTATATCTGCTATTAAGTCATCGCACTAAAAGTCATTGCAACCTATAACCTTCCTCAACCTCTTATAACTGAGACCCCTTTATATATGCACTTTTCCGTGCCCCATCTCATCGAACAAATCTCATATATCTAACCCCGTCGAATTTCCATCTCTGGTATAAGAGAAAAGTTCTCCTTTTAGAGTAACTAACTGGTGTTTGAAGTGTGTGAAGTGTTTGAAGTGTGCCATGAAGATGAAAAAGACCAAGCGAAATTAAGCTCAATCGCTCACGCTGGATATACCTTAATATAAAAGAGAAGAATTCCGTGTTGCTAAGATTCTCCAGTTTCGTATTCCGTCTCAATCTCTAATCGCCGACGATGATAGGTGTTGGAGATGTCTGCTATTTTCTTCATGAATTCTTGATGTAGGGCCTCAAGTCGCACCCTTTTCTCATCTTCGTGTCGGCGATCTTGCAAGTGACCCTCACCCTCATTATTTAGGCGCAGCCTCTTTTCACCATGCCCCTCCTGATTATCATTCTGATGACCCCTTTTAGATAAGCCTTTCTCGGGCCGGGCGGGTAATGAGGCTGAAGGACGAGGGTTTCCAGGGAACAGAGTGGAACTAAGGGATGCAGACGGCTGTGAGACACTGCGCTGAGAAACTTGCGGCTCTCGGCTGCCAATTATTGCAGGCTCAGCATCGTAAATATCATCTAAATCCGACTCAACAGAGATCCTGCTGTGAGGAGGAAAGGCGCCAATAGTAAGGCCCTGACCTCCGTCGTAGGCGTCCAGATCACGAATGTCATCTATAGTAAGAATTTCATCGACATTCTTAACCGTGACTATCTCGGGCCAGTCGTAGGCCTTAGTTACTTCCGTAAGGATAACATCGAGTCGGTCGGCAGGCACCCGCTTTTTATGGGCTGACCAGTCTAACGAGCGAGCCGTATTACGAGCCGTGAAGTGAGCTCGGGTAGCCTCATAGTCAAGTCGCTTGCAGGCACTTGGTCGCACTATGGTAGACAAAGTTAGCAATCGCGCATTTTTATAAGGACATGCTAATTCCCGACACAAGATAAAAATGAAGATAAAGGAATTCTTGATGTTACTTACTTCCTTTCACAACCCATCTTTCCCTACCGTTGGGGTTAGCTTGGATCTGGATTGTCTTGTGCTTGCCCATGACACGTCGATAGTAGAGTTGCCTTGATAGGACGACATGAGGCTCGTGGATCTGACGTATATAGCGTTCTATGAACCATCTATATTTGTCGCAATGTCGCCCGTCAATAGCCATCACGATACGCTCAAGCTCCTCATCAACCAGTTCCTCATCAACTAGTTCATCATCAACTAGTTCCTCATCAACTGGTTTCTCATCTACTGGTTCCTCATCAGCCGGTAGTGGGTCCTGTGCCCCCAAACCGTGGCCGTTATTGCCATTGTCGCCATTAGAGTTTCTGGGATAGAGGTCGTCATCCCCAATTATGATGGGATTATTATTGCCTCCATATGCACCAGCTTCAATGTTGGCCTGTATAATAGCTCCGTTATTGGCCACGACATCCTCGTCCTCCTGCTTCATGAAGACTTTAATGTCTTCATCATCGTCATCAAACTCATTCTTAAACCTAAGCCTCCAGGGTTCAATGACATTGTTGTCGCCATCAGAAACCTGTTTGCCAGCACTGCGGCCTTTGCGTGGTGCTCCCATCGTAGTAGTTTAAGAACGTATAGGTCCCTTGGGTGCTGTGCGTATCGAGGGGGGTATTAACGTATTAAAGTAGTGCTGCAATTGGATGTGAGTAATGTGTATAAGGCTGGCGAGGTTGATGTAGGATGGTGCAGGATGGTGTAGGAGGGTAGAGGTTTATGCAGAAGGGAAGGTTGATGTAAGAAATATGAGTGACGAGAAGTTTGGCTTCGCATAAAAGTGAGGGACAGCGAGGGGCGGCGGCTTGTTTATATAGGAATACACATACCTGTTGGGCAAGAATAAGTGCGAGGGTGTTACTGCCATCTAGTGTAGAAGGAGCCCCGTTACGGCACTGGAGGCAACCACTCTAGTAGTGAGTGAATAACATAACTTCCCGTTTTGGGATAGAGGGAAAGTATATATCTGCAATAGGGCAGGAAGTATAAGGAATGTCCAGAGGACGTAAAGGCAGGAGGTAGTATGGGTATGCTTTACCAGAGTAGGTTAAACAGTAGGTGAGGCAGGAGGTGATGAAAAATTTTGTAATAATAGTTTGAAAATGTAGGAGGTAATGTAAATATAAGGCAGTAGCAGCACAGTAGTTGATGTGTGCATGTAATTGTAATTGTACGGGTACTTGTATGTGTGTGTGTGAGTGTTAGGTTATGGGATTAGGATAAAATAAATAAATGAAGAAGATGTTGGGAGGATTTTATGTGGAGGATTTTATGTGTAGAAGATAGCCAAATGCTATTTAGTGTCAACAGCTGAAGAGGAGTTGTAGCTTCCATAATCTTTCTTGATGATGTTCTCAAGAAGAATGTTAAGAAGGTTAAGAAGATTAGGAAGGTTAGGAAGGTTAGGAAGGTTAAGAAGGTTCTTAGGGTTAGGTAGATAGGCCACTGATTAGGGTGTGACTTTATGAGGAAACTTGGAAGGAGAGCAAATGTTTTCTCACAAGGGCAAGAGGTTAGAAGAGGAAAGTGGTTGGGGAAAGAATTTGGACTGTAGGGGAAGTTGTACGCCTGAGAAACACTTGAATGGGAGGAAGGGACTGGCTGCTAGGATACTACCACTGGTAGTGCAGGGGGCGACTCTTTCTATCAGTACCTGGATTTTATTGGCACAAGACCATTCAAAACAATGTTCTTTCCTCGATTCCTGAGGTGAAATAGTACATTACTAGTCAATTTCGTGGGTCTGCCATGGTCTGTTCCTTCTCACATGGGAAGTCAAGCCCATTCTACAAGATGAAGGAGCACAAAGGTTGTGAAGCTAATAAAAATGGGAGGAATGAACAATATTATCTGCATCCTGAACCTTCACAACCAGTTGCTTCCCCATGACAACAATGTGTAGAGTCCCAATAAGCACAGCTGTCCCCATGGAGGGAAAGTTACCACATAGTCCTGTCCATGAGTAACTCCTTGTAGCATCTAATATGCCCCCAGCAATAGTTATCCTAGTAAACGAAACCCACTGTTCAACATCGACGACATTCCTAGTCTAGTTCCCAAGTATGAGAGGTCAGCTGTGAACAAGATGAGCACAACAGCTGGCAAGGCTACGACTACACCAGTAAAGAAGCCATAGAAGACAGCAAACACCATTACACCAGTTAAAGCCATGTCAAGGGAGATCGTATGGATATCACCCATGTGATTTGCTACAAGACACGGTATTAACTTGCCCAAGACCAATGCGGTGTTCAGTATGGTAACAAGATATAAAGTAACAGTCTGGCCCTCTAGGCTGTGTAACAGGGCGTGTGCTTTTAGGTAAAAGATAGACGAACAGAATAGTACATAGCTTAGACCAATGCTAAATAAATAGATGAGATATAGCACTCATTGATAGGGCGATGATGACGAACGGAATAAACTGAAATTCTGCACCTATGCCAACAGCCAACGCATAGAGTTTGTACAAACATCACTTACTAATATTCCCTACATATATTAGTTCACATCATACCGACAGTCTTCATAACCAACCTGGAGAGAAGGAGAAATCGAAGGTATTCAGAATCATATAGTAGACCACTCACTACCCCAATTGCCAAAAGCAAGACGGATTGAAGTGGCTTGATCCATGATATGTCAGAAGGTGACATATGCCAGAGTAGCCTGTTCTCGTACGAAATTTAAAATATACTAGGCCTATTAATCGTGGGACTAAGTTAGGGTTAATAAACTGGTGAAAAAATGATTGAGAGTCTTGGATAAATTCGCATACTAATGATTAAATTAAAGGGCAAAATAATTAATTAAATACTCGAAGTCACGTTACCGATCATCATCAACAACAACTTTGGTGATTCCCAAGTGATTCTTGTTTTCATCAGAGTCTTTGTCGGTTGGAAGTAATCCTTTCTCAATGGTGACATCTAGCGGGTGGAAGGACTTTGCCATATTTACTACTGGTTATCTACCTAGGTTCCTATGTCCGTCCCTTGTAAAACTTGGGCGCGTTGGCCCTAAAAGAGGCTTAAACGCGAGCAGATCATAGCGTTAGTGATTATTATGGTAGATTTACAATACAACCGCAGAATACAAGGCAGTATATATTGGTCAGATAGTTATCCCAATCGATATCCTAGGCCACCAGTAGTATAGTCCCCATCTTCGAGTTCGGCTTGAATACCTAGGTAGGTAGTTGGTAAGGTAACGGGTATTAGCCAGGCCAAACTTCGGGTTCCATTATGCTACATGCCAATAAGATTATTGTTTTTATATTATATCGAGTTAATCATAGTTATTGCCTTTAATGGAGATCCCATTTGTAGAGTAAATGTTGATCAATTGTATTTGAAGAAGTCTTAAAATCCCCTGGTTATAAGCGAGATGAATAAGGATGGTAGTCAAATTAAGAATGGCATTGCGAGTCCAGATGTGAGGCTTAAGGTGTTATAATTACCAAGGCTACTTTCGCTGCACCATTACTAGATACTAGTGGTACAACAGTAACATGTCTAAAATATAACGTTTGGGAGGGCAGGTGGTTTCTAACTAAAGATGTAAGAATTCGATATCTGGGGACTAGTGCAGCAGTTCCTAAATTATCCCCAGCAGTGTTTATTACATACCAGTGTAAGAGCTTAGTTATTTCTCGATTTATAGTAATCACAACAAGTAAATACTGGTCAATATTATAAAGGCACTCATTCATTAGGTCTAAGTCGAGTTATGTCACATATTATACCTTTGATGGATAGATTGGACTAGTAACGCCTGCCTTTCTACCCCTAACCTATTTATACCCTAACAGTTATTATAATTAACCACTAGAAATCCTAAGGGGGACTATGTCAGAATAGTGTATTATAGAGTAAAAGGGAGCTGTATAGGTAATTACCACCTTACACAACAGTATATTGGTGACTGTATTAACCCACGCTTTCGCAAGAATAAAGGGTGGAGACATAGCCTCCTTATGTAGCCCTTTTATCCCGACAAGGCAATCTAATGAGACTTTGAAGTTTCATTTTTGTAGCTACTTGATATTTTTTCCTCCCTGATTCTTCTAAGATGTTCATAAACGTGATGCTGGATTTTGTCAAGGGTATGAAAAAACAAGGCACACCTATAGGCTCTAAATCGTCCCATGCGAATAGCTATGAAGCTTCCGAGTTCCCTTTAAAAGCCAGGCTGTTTGAATCTATAAGTATACCATGTGCTGCTCTCGGTAACTAGGCATATAAGTGAATAGTTGCGGCATGATTCTGGTATGTAGTAGCTATTTGGTTGGGATTTTTGTTATTTATCTAATAACCCCTATTTCAGAGCACATTGATATTTAATTACTTAACAATATTCCTGAAAAGCTCAACTCTAATAGGCTTACCGTAAACACATCAAGTTCCACGTTTTTAATGGATTCCATATTTGATATTTGTGTCTATTATAATAACTTATGTCATTTTCCTAGCAAATCGGACGAGACAGTCTGAGACCTACCCTAGCGTATTACCTGAACACGTCGTACCGCCTGCTATAATGACTTAGAGCCTAGATTCTTTTCCTAGGCGCCAAGTCGATTCTGACCTTCAAGCGCTCGAAAATTTCTTGAACGCGCTGATAAGGCTACCCGTGCTAGCGTCGTGACCTTCGCTGTTGCCAGACTCATCCAGCTCGTTGAGAATCTTCTTAGCGAGAACCTTGCCCAGCTCGACACCCCACTGGTCGAAGGAGTTGATGTCCCAGATTGCTCCCTCGGTGAAGGTTAGGTGCTCATAATAGACAATGAGAGCACCTAATTCGGCAGGTCCAATCACATCACTCACCAAGATGCTTGTAGTGGGCCGGTTACCCAGGAAGACCTTATGAGGTACAAGCTCATCAGGTGTACCTTCGCTCTTGACCTGCTCGGGTGTCTTACCGATCATGAGAGCCTCGGCCTGCGCAAAGTAGTTGGATGCCAGCATCTTCTGGTGCAGGTTGTTGGAAATGGGGTTGTGGGACTTGGCGGCGAGAATGAAGTCGGTGGGAATCAACTTGGTACCTTGGTGGACGAGTTGGAAGAATGAGTGTTGGGCGTTGGTGCAAGGTTCACCAAAGAGGATGGGTCCAGTAGTATACTTGGCAGGCGAGCCGTCCGAGGTGATGGTCTTGCCGTTTGATTCCATAGAAAGTTGCTGCAGGTATGCGGGGAAGCGGTGCAAGTATTGGTCAAAGCTACATTGCTGTCAGCGAACCAATGAATGACATTTGAAGACGCTTGGCTTGAGGAACTTACGGAGCAACTAGATGTGTTTGCGCGGCAAAGAAGTCGCCATACCAAACGCTCAATAGACCACCGAGGACGGGAATGTTGTCCTTGAGAGGGGTTTCACGGAAGTGCTTGTCCATTGCGTGCGCACCAGACAAGAACTTGTGGAAGTTGTCGTAGCCGATATATAGGGCGACGCTAAGGCCAATGGCACTCCAGACTGAATATCGACCACCGACCCAGCTCTCAAAGCCAAACATGTTCTTGCTGTCGATACCGAATTTGGTGACTTCGGCCTCGTTGGTAGATAGGGCAACGAAGTGCTTGGCAATCTCGCCCTTGCCGCCGGTCTTCTCGAGGAACCACGATTTTGCGGTGTTCGCGTTCGTGGTAGTCTCGGCGGTGGTAAAAGTCTTGGAGGCGACAAGGAAGAGAGTTGTCTCAGGGTCAGAGTTAGCAAGGGCTTCAGCCATGTGGGTACCGTCGATGTTGGAAACAAAGTGTAGCGTCATGTCCTTAGCACCATAGTGCTTCAGAGCTTCGGTAACCATAACAGGTCCCCTAATACGCTGTTAGAAGAATGCGATATACGTTCGTAGAGGAAGTTCGTGACCATAAATAGGGCAAGGGCTATACTTACAGGTCAGAACCACCAATGCCGATGTTGACAATAGTAGTCAGCTTCTTCCCGGTGAATCCCTTCCATGCCCCGCTCCTGACCTGCTCGGAGAATTCCTTCATATGCTGCAAGACTTCATTTACGCCACCCTTGACGTTCATGACATCTTGTCCCTCCACCTTCATCTCCCAGCCGCCCACGTTCCGCAATGCCGTGTGGTAGACAGCTCGTTGCTCGGTGAAGTTAATCTTCTCACCTGCAAACATAGCATCACGTTTCTTCTCGAGGCCAGCATCCTCTGCAAGTTTTACTAGTAGATTGATCGTCTCTTCAGTAACGAGGTTCTTGCTGAAATCAAATAGGATATCCGTGCCGCTGTTGCTGAAGGTCTTGCTGAATTTTTCGAAACGAGATGGGTCAGAGGCGAAGGCTTCCTTCAAGACGAAGGTCTTGCCAACGGTCTTGTAGTGCTCCTCTAGGGAAGCCCAGGTGGGCAACGAAACTGCTTGAGGCATCTTTTTCTTGATAGTCTATCCGGAGACTAGAAGAAGAAACGAAGGTATACTGATATTAACTATGTCAAGTAGTTTCGTTGTTAGTATGCGTGTAATATTATAGGTAGCGACGGGATTAACGGCGCGGGGTGAAGTGATGCGGTAATGCGGGCGGCGGGGCAACACGTATAGAAGCTAGGTAGGTAGCAAGGTAGCTATGTCACAATTGTGTTTCACTTACATCGGAAGAGTATCAAAGTTCACGAGATCGTGTAGTCGTTATATTCAATATATAAACAATTAATCAACCTCTGTATTTGTTTGTTATCTTAGGTAGGAAATTGAGGCAGTGGGGGTTAAAAGTGGATGAGTGAGCGACATTTACACATTTCTTGGAAACTGGAAGCTTCTTACTTTCTTTTTGCTTGTACTTTCTAAGCTGTTAGGTATTATCATCCCATCTACCCCGCGCTAGTGACGTGATGCTTATGGCATGTACCTATAAATTTTATCCCGTGTAGCCTACGCGAAGCGGGATCGGGAGACTCGGCGTCTTCCTAGTTTATATACTAGTCGTTAGGTACCGTTCTCTTATGTAAATACCTCCTACAATTATTTCTCACATACCAACCAACAATTGCGGCAATAAGAGAGGTGGCCAATCTTACAATCATGAGTAATAGTAAGCTTCGGGTAAAAATAAAGTATCCGATATTCTCTGGCAATAGCTGCAATATCTACAAAGACCTTGCAAACGACATAAGACTTATCTCACAAGGACCGGGCAATAAATAATACGATAAGGTATTGGCAATGGGCGTCTTTTCCTCGGCCTCAATCTCGTCTATCTACAGAGTTGTTCTCTTTTTGAGATCCCAGAAAGTGCAAACTCGGAGGCATCGTCAATAACTCATGCCAAACTCCATATGAAAGTGCTTCTAGGTTGGTCCAGAATCCGGTAATATATCGCAACAGCAACAGCAATAGCAACACAACGCAGGACACCATCACCACATGTGTATGTCACATCCAGTGTTTCCAGTTACAAACTACGCCGACTTGTGCTCTACCTATTTCCATCTTGTTATCTTGTTAGTCAATCTCCCACCCATGAATTCGGGCGTATGCTGTGTTATATCGCAATGACCTAGACGTGCATCCGATAAAAGACAATCGCGTGATTATCGCCTGTCTTGGATGCTGCCAACGAACGACGGGTCCTTAACGCTGCCGCCGGCATCGCCAAGTCCCGCGATCGGTCGGTTGTAGCTGAAACCCGCAAACTGATTTTGCATCGTCTCCGACAATACTGGTCCTTCGACATACGAGTCTTGCGGAGCTTCCGAAGTAAATTCGGGATCGAAGTTCTTCGTGTCAAGAGCATCGGCCTGGATAGAAATTAGAACTGAGAACGTGCACAATGTGGAACAATTGCTACTTACAACGCTAGGCTTGAACGTGGGTTCATATTTGCGCTGCAACAACTTGCGCCAGTCGATGGCGTGGAAGAAAGGATGGGCCTTAATCTCGGCGCTGCCTGCAGCTCCTAATCGCTCCTCTGGGTTGCGGTTGAGGAGCTTAGAAAGAAGGTCCTTGGCCGCAGGAGGCACAACATCTGCACTAGGGAAATGTAGGGGCTCCGACAAAATCTTGCGGTACATCTCATTAGTATTTTCGTCGTAAAATGGCGGGAGACCCGTAAGCATTTCGTAGAGGAGAACTCCTAAAGTCCACCAATCCACTGTCTTATTGTATCCCTTGCCCATAAGAAGCTCCGGCGCTAAGTATTCGGGGGTGCCGCAGAATGTGTTAGTCCTGTCTTCGTCCTTCATATCTAGCTTACAAAGACCGAAATCGCAAAGCGCGATGTGACCTTGATAATCAAGTAGGATGTTCTCGGGCTTCAAATCTCGGTAGATAACATTGAATCCGTGCAAACACTCTAGGGCGCAGAGTAGCTCGGCTGTGTAGAATCGTGCCCGGTTGACGTCGAACCTCTGCTCTTTCTGAAGATGGTGGAACAGCTCTCCACCGTTGACGAAAGCTAGTACGAAGTAAAGCTTCTCAGGGGATTGGAAGGTAAATTTAAGGGGCACGATGAAGGGATTGTTAATCTGTGCCAGCACAGATCTCTCGGCCAGAGTGTGGGCGACTTCGGATCTCGAGATGATGTGGGCTTTACGAATCGTCTTGAGCGCGTAGATTCGGCTGGTATCCTTTTTGCGAACCTGCATGACCTTACCAAAACTACCCTTACCAACCACCTTGAGTAGCTCGAAGTCCTCGATCTTAAGCTTGCCCGCTCGGTTCTCAACATACTCCACACCGATCTTGAGTCTACCAGAGCCATATTGTACGTCAACCCAATCAACGCCACTGTGTCCCAGCTCGCGTTCCCGGTTTTGGAACTCGGCCGCGGCCTTTTCGCGATCCTTCTTACTGGCCTTGGGATCCTCGACGAAGGTTCGCTTTTCATCGAACCTAGGATTGATTCGGACGACTCCTAGGAAGATATCTTGGCTTCGACCGGACCCTGGCGGTGCGGTAGGGTTCCGCATATATAAGTGCACATTCAACTCCGTCACTCGAGACACATCAAACTTGTACTGGGTGTTATCACCAGCCCATAAGGGGTTTTCCGGGTTACCGGAGACCGAGTTGACAAAAACCTGGACCTTATCAAAATCCAACAATGCGTACGGCAGATATTTGCTAGAGATCCGACCGTGGTTAGAAGGTATACCAGTGAAACCCCCTGCTGATGTTTGGGGTCTTCCATTCGTGTAAGAACCAGCTACCGCTCGTTGGGAAGACCCTGGTCGCACAGAACTAGAGCTAAGGGCATTCCCTGTCGACATAGAGCCTTGGCCATGCTGCGAGAATGCGTTTCGATGCTGTTCAGGAAGAGCGAAATTTTGACCCTCGTGAAGAGTTACGACGAGAATACCAGGTTTCGGAGGTTTTACGACAGGTTCTTGTACCATGTGTTCCGAGGCAGCTGTAGGTTGAATATGTGAGCAACTTTCCCCGAAGAATAGTATATATACATGATTACAAACCGATGGCATTGTCACTAGGAGTAGGAGTAGCAGATGTTGGGATAGGACTCTTTTCATCCTTTTCTGTGATTGTTGACGTGGAAGGATTCCGAGAGAAAGTATTCGCAAGGGGCCCTAGATGGGTATCCTTTAACTCTGATGGGACGTCGTGTTAGCAGAACCGCGTACGATCGTCGTGCATCTAAAAGCGAAGTGAAGCTTGGGCTGAAAGGAAACCATCCGAGGGCTATAACAGGTAATCAAATACTTACTCTTGGTGAGCTTCCACGACATTTTCCAACAGTTCCCCTATGACAGGCTTGTAGATAGGCGTCAAGTAGGAGGAATAGGAGGAAGTCGGTGAAGGTCGCGCAATAAAAGGGTCGGAGACACGACAAGTTGTAAAAGAGGAGATAAGTTATTTAGGTATCGAAGGGGGAGAGGCGTTTCCTTATCGGTATTGCGATAGTAAATGATTGATGAGATAAAGATTGGCAGATAGGAAATAGTCAAAAGTAAAAAGTAAAAAAAAAAAAGGGGGAAGAAAGAAGGAATCAAAAAAGGTGGCTGAGGAAGAAGCAATGATGTTGAATTTCTACCTAGGACGGATTTTTGAATTGGGTTGATCATCAATTAGAAAAGGTCAAAGATCTGAAGTTGACCAGGTCAAATGTTTCGGTTCATGGGCTTTCTACGCGGACCAGCCGGGGGGGTTTGAGAAGGGGGGGCGGTTTCGCCGCAGCAATAAATTCAATCTTTAGCGTACAACAGGCGGCTGATACGACAAAGGTAAGTGACTTTTAGGGGTCTTGTCTGCTTGTCTAACTGTCTGACTGCTGTAAAGTTGGCGTTTTGGCGCTATGGGGCACCCCTTATTAACGATAAGGTACTTCTAATATAGCAGTTCATACGGGTGTCATGTACATGTTAGAGCACAAAGGCGGGGTAGCACATGCGCGGTTTCTAAAAGTAAGACAACATTTAAAAGCCAAGCTGCCCCAAAGTAAAGCTGTGGGCTGTGTATGTGATATGGACCTTTATACGTGTATAGGTACCTACATTTATACATGTACCATCCGACTCGTGTTCTATTTTTTATGTCAATGAATACGAACTTTCAACCCAACCTAACTTCTTGCGCCTCTAACCTACAAAACTCTAGATGCGGCAATAGTCAGAATTAGAATGTAAACACTACAAACTTGGAATATAATATACGTGATAATATCTATTACAAGTACATTAAGGAGTTTACACTAATCCACTTAGTCAATGGCCTTGACAACGTTGAGCGGAGCGTGGCGGAGCACTTCAGGGGCTGCATCCAAGGGCTGTCAGGTAAATTATCTCAAATATCTCAGGCCAATTCACTAACACACGACTGAGTATATGTTTATTCTTGATACAGCTATTGAAGTAAGATTTCAAATTGCTCGGGCTTGTTAAATGAAGGCTACGGGTAGAGACAATTGCCGACGTCGTATATAGGACTTTGTGTTAGCTTTCGTCGACAAGCCCCCTAATTGTCTTGATCCTACCAAGCAAATTTCATCTTAAAATACGGAGTATTATTATTCTATGCATTAGGTATTTATGAAGCCAAGAATATAGCATGACTACAGTATTATCAATATTATCTAACAATGGTGAGTTAAGTTGGTGAATTGTTCTAACAGTTTCAAGAAGTTTATTATTAACTAGTTATCATAATTGGGATATTGCAGAGTTATGGATATTGTTAAACTAAAGTTCTAGGTCAGCCGGTTCCATACATCCTAAAAGTCTAGAAGTTGTTTGGGTGTAAAAGGATGTTGTATTCGGAAAGATTCTGATGACTCCACTTATACTTGGTCAAATCTTATATATGCCCTCAGGGCATCGTACCTTCCAACAAAGTTCATGCAGTCATGTTTAACCACAGCTATGCAGGGGTAGAAAAGAGGCCGCTTGCAACGGCACGACGCGAAGACCTCAGCTCGTTCCGAACTACTGGAGACGATTATAAATCACGTGCTTAATGTGGCGCAGCTATAGTAATCTACGGGGTTGACGATTGAAGAAACCTGTCCTCACTGTCGCTATGCTTAAAGATGAATAGGAAAAAGCTATTCTTAAGCATCATGTCGCAGCCGTAGTCTCTTGGTCTCTCGATTTGTCAGGGTCTGTTAAAAAAAATATAAAAAAATGGCACCTGTTCCCGAAATCCAAGAGCACGGAAACCAACCTACAACTACAATTACAGACGCCGGCAATGTTGAAGATGGTGGCATCATGCTTGGCCCCACAGGGTCAAAGGAGCCACAAAACATCAACATCCAAGATGATGGCCAAACTACCCAAGCAATTCCTTCTGAGGCGCCTCGTAGATATATGGAAGGATGGAGATTATACGCTATGATATCCTCGTATGACTCCTAATGTTCAATTCCACGTTAAGCCTCAAGTTAACAACGGCGTCTAGTTTGTGTTTATCCTTATTCCTATCGACGTTAGAAACGACAATAGTTAGCACATCACTCATCTCTATTACGAATGCCTTAGGAGACTTCGAGCAGAGAGATTGGGTGGTCACCTCTTACCTCATCACTTATACAGGTATGACTGCGGGTTTGTAGATATATAACAAGGTCGCTTTGCTAAATACCTATACCATAGGCTTCTTAGTTGTATATGCCAAGTTTAGCGATATCTTGGGGCGCAAATTGTTGATACTAGTTGCGATAGCCTTCTTCACTGTCTTCTCGATCGTCTGCGGCTCAATCTCAAATATGACTCAGCTGTGCGTACATCAGTCTTGGAATGATAGTATTATAATATAATAGTATGAATTATATACTAAACTCTTTATAGGATTGTGTTCCGGGCTCTGCAGGGCATCGGTGGCTCCGGAATCTACGCGATGGTAACATGTATCCAGCCCGAACTTGTCCCACCTGAGAAATGGGGGAACATCATCGCGGTCGTCTCCCTGGTCTCAGTTCTCAGTTCCGTCCTTGGTCCCATACTAGGCGGTGCAATCAACAACCATTCTTCCTGGCGATGGGTCTTCCTTTTGAAGTGAACACATCCTTATCTAGAATTAGGAACCCTTGAAGTAGCTAATATTGAGAATAGCGCCCCGGCCGGAGTAATTGCGACTGGCCTAATAGCCTTCGTTATGCCCGCTCAATTTCCAAATATTGACGACTCGGCAGGCCTAATGAGCTTTCACAGCAAGATATCGCGGGCATCGCTTCGTCGGCTTGATATTGTTGGGGCCATCCTGTTGTTTTTTTCGTCCGCTCTAATCGTCTTCGCTTTCGAAGAAGCAGGATCTCGATACAGTTGGCAAAGCCCAACAATCCTAGGCACTATAATCGTCGGTGGTATCCTATTCATCGGGTTTCTCGGATGGGAAAAAGTTGCAGATCGACCAAGAGCTACTCAAGAACCCATCTTCCCTCTTCGACTAATGAAAAACCGCTTGGTTAGCTCTCTTACTATGTAAGACCACAAATTATAGCATTTGACTCGTTTTCTAACATTAGATAATAGAATTGCGTTTTGCACAGGGCCCCCCTTTATGACCGCGATAATCAATCTTCCACAACGCTTCCAAGCGGTTGACGGACTTAGCCCATTTGAAGCTGGCACTCACCTCTTACCTCTCCTGCTTGCATCCCCCGTTGCTACAATCGTCGCTGGGCAACTCGCAACGAAGTTCAAAATGCCCCCCTTTTATATCCTTCTCTTTGGAGCATCCATGCAGCTATTAGGAATCGGACTTGCGAGTTCGGTCCGGTTTAAAAGCGGCAACGCCATGTATGGATATGAAGTAATAATGGGCTTCGGGTTTGGAATGGGCCTCGTTTCATTGCTTATTTACACACCAATGGTAGTAAACCGGTCTGATATGGGTAAGTCACTAATATATTATCAAGATGCATTTATTCATATGCTGACTTCTCATACAACAGCCGTCGCTATGGGAGCAATCACCCAGATACGAGTACTTGGCGGGACAATAGGGCTAGCTATTAGGTATGGTATATACGCGAACTTAACTTGAACTATTTACTGATGCGTGAGCAGTTCAACGGTTCTCAACAATCACCTCTCCTCTACTCTGCCCACCCTCCTTAATCCGGCGGACATTAAGCAGATCTCGGACTCTGTGCAGCATATAAATACACTCCCAGACGCAACCCGCGATGCGGTACGTCAGATATTCGCTAATGGTTTTAATTCGCAGTTGCGAGTCATGATGTATTTCAGTGTGGCAGTTTGGGTCTTCGCGGCGACACTCTGGGAGCGTAAGTTAAGAAGCGCCGCAAATGTTGAAGGCTATTAATTCTCTCCTTGGATACCATTCTTCCACCGGTAAGTCGTAGGGTATATGCCTAACACGATTGCATAATTATTATGTCCGATTGCAAACCTTGGCCGATTGGTATGTATACCATACGCTTAACTTGCGTTCTTAATTATTAGTCCTTATATGAACTTTGATATTTGGTATTAGTAAACTGGACATTCCATCCATTAGCATCTTGATAGTATAATCTTACCACTCGTGGACTACTAAATTGATCGTATTATTATCCAAGAATCTCCAAATATCTATAGCTGGCTTCTCTACCTATATTCTAGAGCTGAGTTCTATCCCTTAACATGCTCGCCATTCCTAACCCTTGCACAAAGCGCCTTTAGTACCTCGGCGCCCCTTCTATAGTCGTCTACGTCGACGTAAACCATGCCGCTGATACGCCACCACCAGATATCCCTATAAAATTCCGTCTGGAAGTACATGCCACTCTCACGGCTTCCCGTCTCTTTAAACCAGTCGCAGACCTTGCCCGCATGCACTGGATCAACCTTGCCAGGACCATCAGTGCCCAGCTCGAGTGGCAGCCGCACATTAGCGAAAAAGCAGTCTCGCAGACAGGATCCTGGAATATCCATGATAGAGGTGCCTAGAATCTCGGCCGCGGTTTCAGCGCTGCGCTGCGCTACGTCGTGGCAGTACTTCTTGATGGCAGCATCACCACCGCAGATCTTGTCACGGAAGTCGATAGCAGCTATGAAGAGGGACGGTTAGCAAGTCCTCTAGAATTGACAAATACCAAACCTAGATGCCATATCACTATAGGTAGGTCATAATACCAGAAGGTAGATAGACTATAATAGGAAATAGGAAATATTACTTACCCTGAACACAGAGCCAAGCGGTTAAGTCATCCGTGCCTACATGGATGAAAAGACAATCATCAATACCCATAGACTTCTACCTAGGCAATCCTCCCGACCCGCAGTGCACACATACCAGTAAAATCAAACATCTCCACAAACAGACGCCCCTCGTTCTCATCTTTCGACTGCGAACCCAACTCTTTCCGAGGCCTGAACTTGTGACTTGTCGGTAGCGTCGTCCGAATCAAGTGACGATTCCTACTGGGGACGTAAAACGCCGCACACCCCCTCGGCACAAAAAACCACTTATGAAGATTTGTGACGAAGAAGTCGGGGTTTAAGGCCGTGAGATCGATATCGACATGTCCGATCCCGTGCGCACCATCTACTAAGACCAATGCCCCCTCGGCCTGAAGCGCCGGTACCAACCGCTCAAACGGTACCCGGAATCCAGGCATACTCACAACCGTGTCTACGACCGCAAGCCGTACTCTCTGCCCCGGCTCCGCATTAATACTCCTCGCTGCATCGACCATAGCCTCCACGAGATCATCATCCGACACGGGCCACACAACACGCACAACATGCACCTTAACCCCATGCGTCTCCTCGATCCAAGATATCCCGCGGCCAAGGGAGTCATAAATGCGCTCGTAGCAGAGTACCACATCCCCGGCCTTCCAATCCAGGTTCTTAAGAACGGTGTCGGACCCAGTTGTCGCATTCGGCACGAACACAAGCTCATCGACATCTGGACAATGAAGAGCCTCGGCAGCTAGAGCCCGCTGCGGCGCAAGCCGGCCGTGGAACTCGAGCGCGATGAACGGGTCCGGAGCGGCGTCGGCTTCGGCGCAGAAACCCTGATGGGCGCGCCGCACCGATACCGGGACGGTCCCGTACGAGCCGTGGTTCAGTGGCGTGTAATTCGGGCCGAAGGCGAAGTGCGCCTTGCGGAAGGCGGCGCCAAAGGGGACTTGGGCAGAGGTAGATGCTGCTTCCATTGTCGATTTGTCTTCCCTTTCGGGATGGTATATAATCGTCATTATGGATACGAATGAGACAAGGCAAGGCAGGGCAGGACAACATGAGAACAAGGGATGAGAGTTGGGGAAATGATCAAGTTCAGAGGGGTAAATTGTGCCGACGGAGTTCGGTCTCGTCTCGGCTTCGGCTTGTGGTGAAGCTTGTCAGAGGGGTTTTGAGTCCATTATTAGTATAATTTAGCTGGGGTTGGCGGATCCCCCTTACATATACCCTTACATAGAGGTAGGTTAAGGTACTGTTGAAGTGTTGGTATATGTTTCCTACCGGTTCGTATCGGCTTGCATCGGCCATGGGCGTTAACATCTATAATCGACAATGGAATATCTCCCTGGCATATTGTTAACTTAGTGAATTTCTACTGAGACTGAGACTGAGACTTAAATTTTTATTGCCATGGTTCATCATCTTTCATGATTCCCATCTAATTTACAGTAACTGTACTATCTCGAGTAATACTCTGGTATTAATAATGTGTAACTTGACTTATTCATTTCTCGTAACCGTGACCTCAATTATTCGTTCCTCATATGAACGAATGCCGGATATCCTACAATGGCGCAACTAGGCCAATCCAGAAGAAAAAAGAAAGAAAACGCCGTCCAATGCAGAGCTTGCTGAAATCGAAATACTGATCCATACCATTAGACTCTTCCTCATGTCATTGTATCGGTTCTTTTACCGTCGGATCATCTCAACTATCCCCTTATGTCGCTTACAACCCTGGTTACCAATCGACTGCCCATCCGTTCTGGTCTAAAAATTCTTGGCAGGCTTCCTTCAGTTGAAGGTTTGGCCGTAGGTCGCTTGGGTGCAGCGGCTCTCTTGTCAAAGGATCGGTGGGATGTCTTCGAAGATGCTCCATAATAGACGCCCTCTCGTATGACTTGCCAGTCTTGGTCTATCGTCTTGGTTAATAAAATGTCGGAGAATCCCCATATTAGTTCACAATACTTACAATTACCGGATCGATCATGATACCGAAACTAATGTCATCAATTACCCAGTCAGGGACCTCGCGCTTCTTCTCTGATGCGACTCTAGCCTTTTCGAATGTCGATCGTAGCAATTCGATCTTGTGATTCCACTCCTGCGTAACCTGATCTCTGTCGAAGTCGTTGTCGCACGAGCCGATCATGTCCTCGCGTTCGCGCTCCAAGAGGCCAATGACTTCATTCTCCAGCTCTTGACCCTCACGAACCCTCTGCTTTTCCATCTCGTCCCAGCGTTCTTTCTTACAGCGTAGGACTTGGTCGGTAACTGGGCCCAGTGATTTATCGTTCGTCTCAACGCACAAGCGGTGGGCTTGCAGAGCGCTCTCGAGGGCAGCGTTATAGTCGTGTATAGAGAGTTGGCACTTCGAAAGGACAAAGTAGGCTTTTAGATTACCTCCGCTTAGCTTGAGACACTCGTTGCAGTCTGAGATGGCCGATTCGTATAATTCGAGTCGAAGCCGTGCCATAGCACGATTTGTGTACAATGAGGGGTTCGTATCGTCGGCGATGATGCTATGAAGATCCGAGAACAATTAATTTTGAACGCCGACGAACTATGTGCCTTTTATAACTCACGCTTTAGAGTAAAGGCTCTCGGCGCCTATAAAATCGCCGGATTGGAAGTGTTTGTTCCCATCTTCCTTGAGCTTAAAGGACTTTTCCACGTCCTTCCCCATTGCTACTGGTGTTCGCTAGTAAACTCGGTCGAAGGATAGGTCTTGTTGTTTCGAAGGGTTTCAAGCTCTAAACCTGGACGATGTAGATGTTGCGCTTCCGAGGATACTTATGACGGGCGGGGAGATAGGGATGAGGACTTCTTTGTTAAAAGGTGGCGGATAGTTGTAGGACTTGCAAATAATAAATACGCGCTCCTATGTAGACCATACGTTTACAAGTATGGATGGGAATAAGCTGTATTAAAAGGAAGGTATTTAACCTAGGTTTGTCTTATAGAAAAGATAAATGATAGGTAGGCTGTAGGATAAGTGAGTACCTAAAGTACAGAGGTAAGAAGAATGAATGAGTTATGGAGTAACGAGAGAATTGACAAGGTGATTGTATGTTAAAGAATAAACGAGACAACCTTCATCTCGTGTTTCCATCTGATTCGAAAGTTTCAGCCTTATCAAATTGGTAGTCGTTGCTTTGATGCTCGTTACTTCCGTCTTATTACTTTCGTCACAAGATAATAACGTACTACACAGTATGTACAAGACCCCTGATTGATTAGCTGCGATAGGCCCCATTTGTCAGACGAAGATTCCAGAATGATGTGCATGTATTAGCGAGTGACAATGTACTTACAGCGCCTAATGCATGCTAAGTGTGGGAACATGGGTCCCTCCATACAAGTACCTAAGTTTATGTAATCAGCCACCGCAGATCCGCTTTCTACCCCAAAATTCTATCTTTAGATACTTTCTACTTCACTTCTCTTACTTCAACAACCACCTGGGTACCGTTCATACTACTTAACTTTGTATCATTCCTCTGCAGAACAACATCTTGAGATGAAAGTGCTGCAATAGCCATTGCTGTAGTCACTGCGCGATTCCCAATTTTCATCCCTGTACTTCCATACTGATACAACCAACCACCTTCCCAGCTTCCATCGTCACATTGGAAGCTAAGTAAAGCCCGGCGATCATCCTCGCATGCAATCCCCATTTGGGCACACGTGGCGATGCGCATAGCTAAATCCAATGCGCTGCCATTTAGACCGAGGCGTTCACGCACTCGCAACTTCAATAACGGACCCAGCGTTGTCTGGAGATGATCGTCGTTTGACGACCGGAGTAAGCGTCCGATGAATCCCAAACAACAGTCTGGGGAAGAGTAGTACCGACTACCTTCTATGTAGGAACGATTTAAGAGCAATGCGTGTATGAGTTTGAGGGTATGGTCGAATTCTTGGCCACGGTTATATGAATAAAAGCAAGCAAGGATGTTTGCGCTGACAATAGGGTCCACTCGATCTTTGCTACGGTCAAAATACGTCTGTTATGCTTTTAGCGAGAGAACCCTCGTTACTACCATCCTGACCACGTTGCCACGTCAGGACATAGGTAATGGCTTACCTGGAAATTACCGTCATCCTTGACATATTCGGCCATCATGTCTAGAATAGGCGAGGCGATTTCGGCCAGCGACGGTCGAAGAACTGTGAGTGCGAGTGCTGTGGTATCAAGATCATCAGGGAAAATATCTCTGAGTGCTGGTTTGTCTGATAACATGTCTTTATAAGTCACTTTATCGCTATGCACCATCGTTTAGAGAGCTTCTCACCGGCGAAGAAATTCCAGGTCTTCTTAGATCCCCAACTAAGATCGACAAGGGTCCTAGTACCATCATGTTAAGCTACAGATACTCTGACATTTGTTCGCACAACCTAGGGGTCGACTTACTGGTCTTGCAACGTATCTGCAACCAGCAATTTTGCAAAATTATCTGCGAAGACAATCCCGCTGTCTGTAATAGAGTCACAGTGCTTCCCATTCTGGAACAAATATCGCCAGCCCTTGCCCACCGAACTGTCCAGTAGCTCGTGCAATATTTGAATTGTCGAATTCCCGAAAACAAGACCCTGGATGTCTACTGCTCGCGCCGCATTGACATTTTCTTCTTTATCGTCAATGAAGATGACTTGCTTTCCAGCTAAGTCAATATGGTCTAGAACGTGACGGTAAAATCCCAACTCCGGCTTTCGCATGCCTGCCGCAGCCGAGGTGAACACTCCATCGAAAAGATGCCAGTCCGTTATTGTCGCAAGCTCCTCAAAGTCTTCTTTGCCTATATTTGACATAGCATATACTTGGATAGTAGGATCTTTTTTCAACTCGTGAAGGAATGAGATGATGGCATAGTCGGGCTGTAGAGACTCGCGTGCCTGAGCAAATGCCTCGGCGATCTCGGACTCTGAGAGAGAGAATTGTCGGGCACTCAGCTTGTAACAGGCATCACGAGTGATCTCGCCACGCTCATAACTACACCAAACAGGCGTAGAGAGGATTTCTCTTAACTTCCGAGCTGGAATAGTCGTCGTCGTGTTGGCAGACCAGGTGAAGAGAACATCGCCGAGGTCGAAGATGATGGCTCGAGGGCGTGGTTGCAAGAAATCCATTTTCTTTAAACGGGTTGGCTTAACTATAAAACTCAACCCCAAGAGAGAGGAATGATCACCCTGTCCTCTCGAGGATTGAATGTGGGTCAACCCCTACCCTAATAACGCCCTACAAATTGGGAAGAGGGAACCTCTTGCTTACTTGTTTATAGATTTGTCCCAACTGAGTAGCAACTAGCTATAAAGTCCCAATATCCTACTAAGAAAATGGCATTTGTAGGGCTAGACTCTAAAATTACCCTATTTGAGAAGATCATCTAACTCTTACAATAACCTCTGGTTTTCGATCGGCTCTGTTTTGAAATGTATCAGAGGGGAAAACTGGGCTCTTGCGGTAGTAAGTGCAGCGAAAGATCTATCTTCAGATATGGCCTTGAGTATGTTGAGGGAGGAAAGGGGCCGATATATCCTTCAATTTATTAAATTACACAGTTACCAATAAGACAGCCTATGCAGGTAGCGTGCAGTGTGCAATCCCAAAACCCTCGCCATTATTGATGAAATATGAGCCTCCGCGTAAGGGGTACAAAGACAGTCTTGCCTATCGCTGTGGTAGGAGTGGGATCGTGGTTTCACGGAATCCGTACCTATGCAGTTAATTTCTCACCTCAGCCTCGACATCAGCAACCAGATGGTTTTCACATGAATATACCCTCGATTACAAGTGAGACACAGGCCCATTGATCATTTACATCTCATTGGACGAACCCCGTGGTCTACTTATTAATCTCTACCAGTTGGGTCATTGTAAATTTTATTCCTATGTAGATAGCCATTTTAGCATGATCTTTTTCATTCAGACTTCCCTTCTTAATAGTGTCTCGCTCAAAATAGAATGCAGCTAGGCCTTGATTTGCTACGAATTTGCGCTTAAGTGAATAGCTATATATTTGTTCATTTCGATAATCATTCTCTTTCTTGCTTTCTTGGTAATAGTTAGCATATAGTACAGAGACATTAACCGAGTCTTATATCCTAGTACGTAATTCTGGTAGCATGTAAACGATTTACAATATCTTCTTTTACCCCCTTACGTCGTATCCCGCCCCGCTCTACCTCATTGCCTCTGATACTTTTTGGAACAAGCCAATACCCGCTCGAAGCACCTCCCAAGAAATATGGGGAGGTTATTCATATCGCTCCTGGGACGCCCTCGTATATTAAGCCGTAGACTTGGACCGAAATACACCTACAGCAGAGGTTGAGTAAACTTCCCTAAGGAATCTCGATTCTATAATAAAATGATGCTCGGCGAGGAGGCCATTATGCTTGTTAGAGATGAGGATGAAATACTTATTCGATGCTCATTGAATAGCGCTTTCACGCATCACTCGCTTCTCGAACAAGAACCTAGAATACAAGAACATATCAGATGACTTATACCATGTTTTGAGAGGCATGGCGCTAAAGGGAACCCAATCGATGTACGCAAATAGTTCTCATTTTCTATGTTTGATATCAACTGCCACCTCGATTTTGGTGAGGACATGAGCTGCGTTAAAAATTGTATCCGTCACAACTAGATCAAACTTAGGTACCTTTGATTATTTCCATGCAGCCACGTTCCTCCATCAATATCATAGGCTTTGGTCGCTCAATCGCTTTACTAGCTCTCCTTATCCCACCCTCGACGCGTAAGATGCAGATAAGCCATAACGAAGCTTCATTGAAGCATCTCCGAGACCGCAGGGCTATGGACACGGATCACCATGATTTTAGGCATTATTTTCAGAACCAGGCTAATAAGGAAGGACTCCTAATAAAGACTATCGAGGCACAAACGACAGCTGTCATCCTAGCTGGTAGCGAGACGTCGTTAGTAGCAGAGAACGTTATCATATATTACATTCTGATGCATTTAGATATCTACAAGAAGCTACATTAAGATATCCAAAACAACTTTGCCAGCATTAAGGATGTCAAACTATAAGATGTGCTGAACAAGCTGCCCTACTTGGATGCTGTGGTATCCAAGACGCTGCGTATTCATACCTTGCTTGCCAATGGTTTTACTCGCTAGATACTAGATAAGAACGGGATGACGACTTGTGTTCGATAAGTCCTACAAGGGGTGAGCATAGGAGAACACGTTTATAGGTTGGATTCACTCCTAGATAAGTATCTCCCGGTAGTGGCTATAATTAATCATTACTATTCTAATACTTCCGCATTTCTACAATCCCATAAGCTTCGTCCCGGAAAGACAGATAGGTAAAGCCAAGTACGCCAACGATAAACGAGACGTTATGCGGCCGTCCTTAGTAAGACCGCGGAGTTGTCCTGGCTAATAGTAAGTCCTCCGCTGGCTGTTCTGATAGAGAAACGGGGCCAACAGAGCTTACCGTGATGTATTCCGCGCAATCCCGTATATCTTTAAGTGGCTTCAATAATCTAGATCGGTCGTTTTAAAGTCTCAGAATGGTTCGTGTGATAGTTTTCAACCATGCATCGTATAACAAGAGAATTGTGGCCAAAATGGCCAAGCCTTCTGACCCATACGTCGTAAGCACATCCATACATACATTCGCAATTTAAAGACATACGCTCTGTTACTAGGTTAATAGCTTGAAGGATTTCTTACGACATATTGTTAGCTGCAAGGTATAATCCTTGTATGATACCCGACTGATATTTAGGACTCTTAAAAAATACCTTAACAATCTTGGCTTTGCTGCACTGTTGCATATTGTTAGCAAGGTTGGTTATACATTGCGAACGATCCTTTTGACTGGCGGTCTGGGATATGTTGGTTAGTAGACAAGCGCCTGGGCGCATTACAGTTTTGCATCCAAGACTTTTTGATGCATGATATGGCAGCAATTTGATGAAGATGGGTTGATAAGAGGTTGTACATACAAGTTGTAAGTGTGTGGACCCTCGGATCCGACGCTTCGGAATGCGGGGGCGGGGAAGAGGAGACCAGGATATAGCTCCGGTGCTCGTAATCCGTAAATGTAGCTTTGACTAACAGGTAGCTGACGTGTACGGTGGACTATTATGACATTAGTGCCAAAATCAAGAAAATAGGTGGCATTATGTCTAATAAGGTAATAGTAAGGCAAAAATATAGTGTAAGTTTAATTAATATGTGTTGTATATATAATTAATATTTTTTTTAACTTTATATTATAATAACTTTACGAATATTTATTTAAATATTTTTTTAAAAAAAATTATAAATATTTTAATTAAAAAAAAAAAAAATTATAATTTAAATTATATGTAATTTAATTTAAAATTGGTAATGTTATTAAAAAAGTTATAAAATTAATTAAAAGTTAAATAATTAATTAAATATGGTTTTTATTTTAATTTTAAAATATTTAAATTTAATAATAATATTTATACGTATTTAAATAATTTTATTAATATATAATTTTAAAAAATATAATTAATATTATTTTATAATTTTAATTAATGTAAAAATAATTATATAAATTATATGTATATATTTTTTAATTAACGTATTATATAACGTGTTATATTAATATTAAATAAATTTTATATAAAAAAACCGGTATGTAATATTTTTTATAATTATTAAACAGGTGCAATGTTACAATGACATCGTATGAAAAAGTTTATTATGTAATCTTAGCTTCCAAAGCTATATAAAGTCTTTAAATCGTTACATTTTTTTAATCATTATTATTAACATTAATCTTTTTATAATTAATAGTTATAAAATAAATATTATTTATTATTATTAGTTTCATGGTTATTTACACCTATTATATATACTTTTTTCCACATTAAATATATTCGTTTTTTTTTTTTAAACTTAAACTTTATCCCTTAATTAATATAATCCGTTATATATTCGAAAATAAAATGTTATTTTTAACTATTAAAAATGTTTTTTATAAAAACCTAATACGTTAAATGTATAGTTTTACTTTAAAAGTTATTTTATTTTTATTTACTATTTATATATATAATAACTTTTTTTTTATATTATATATTATTTTTACAAAATAAATTAACAATATTATAAAATTATTTTAATAATTTTTATTATATTTTATTTTAATTTATATTAATAATATTTACAAAATTATTAATTAATATATTTTTTAATAAAAAATATATATTTTATTTTATATATACTTTATATAATATATTATACACCTTTTATATTAACTTTTTTTAGATAGATCTGACCTATTTTCTTGATTTTGGCACTAATGTCATAATGGTCCGCCGTAAACGTGATTGGAATTGTGGCTAATATTATGGTTAATGTTGTGGCTAGGTGTGGCTTTGTAGGTAAAGGGCATCTAAGCCAATTCGACGATATGGCCAAGTAAACCTCAATATCTAATATTTGACCTGATTTATAAGCGGTCAAGTCCGTATAGCTTCAATTAGACGTATCTTGAATTTTCGAAATTGCTGATCATGGGGAACATCTTTAGCCAAATCTTCTTCATTCCGGCCCCGGTTCTCACGGAGAAGAACTGTCCTGATCAAACCGGTCGAGTAAGCATCTAAGTACCTGACCTATATTATTCTTCCTCATCTCCTTTTATATCGCTGACGAGTACTTTCATCTGTTATAGGTCTTCATTGTAACAGGTGGCTACGTCGGCGTGGGTTACGAACTGTGTAAGATCCTCTATGCCCACAACGCCACTGTCTGGGTTGCGGGCCGCTCCGCACCAAAGGCCGAGAAGGCCATTTCGAGTATCAGAGATGCTTCACCCTCCAGCAACGGTCGCGTAGAGTTTCTTTATCTTGATCTGTCCGATCTCAAAACTATCAAGCCCGCCGTCGAATCATTCACTTCTCAACAACAACGCCTTGATGTTCTTGTAAATAATGCCGGTGTATGTCTCTCCTCTGATCTTCTCTCCTCTAACTAGTGTGTTATATTATATATGTCTGCTTTATCTATGTATCTTACATGCTTTCACTTGTAGGTCATGTATCCTCCGAAGGGCAGCGTTGACGCGCAAGGACATGAAGTGCAGGTAGGCACCAACTGTTTGGGTCCGTATCTGCTCTACCAACTTCTCCTTCCCCTCCTTACCAAGACTGCCTCCACTTCTCCGACGGCCTCCGTGCGCGTCACGTGGGCCGGCTCCGTCGCTGTGCACGTCGCCTCACCGCAGCCACAAGGAATGATCATTAATGATGATGGTTCTCCCACGGACCAAGGAGTGAAACCCAATTATGGCCAGACTAAAGTTGGTAACGTTTTTTTCGCGCGGGAGTTCGCCAAGACAACACCTCAGACCGGTGTTGTACACGCGGCTTTCAACCCGGGCAACTTGCGCACGGAGCTGCAACGGCATTGGACAGGTCCGGACCAATGGATTGTCGTGAGTGGCCCTACGCTGTGTAACTGTTACCGGGATATACATTGACAATTATTACTGTTGTAGGACAAATTAATGCTGTACCCGGCTATTTATGGCGCGTACACAGAACTCTGGACAGCACTCACTCCTGAGTTGACACCTGATAAGAGCGGCGCCTATGTTTATCCTTGGGGAAGATTTGGTAGTCTTCCGGCAGGCGTCGAGACTTCGATAAAAGGAGAATCTGAAGGCGGAACGGGAGTCGCAGCTAAATTCGTGGAATGGTGTCGTAAGCAGACGGAGACTTTCACGTAAAATTGATGGAATAAGTGAAGATTACCTAGTTGGCAATGACTTGCTATCTACCTAATTACAAATGTACTTGGCTCTTAAAAAGTATATTAGTGCTATCTATATAAATTCAACGTAGCACCTTTAAGAAGGTGCTACGCATTGATTAAAAAAACGGGCAATAATTAGGGATTTAATTGGAATATTTTTATTTAAGTATATTTCTTATTAAAAATTAAATAATATTAATTAAAATAATATTTTTAATTATTAAATATAAAAATTTTAAAATTTATTTATTAAAATATTAATTTAATACTATTAATTTTTAAATTTTTTTAAATAATTAAAAAATCTTTATAATTAAAAAATTATTAATTATTATTAAATTTATTTATTTAAAGGTTTATTTTTATTTGAAAGATTATTTAATTTTTTTAAATTAATTTAAATTATATATTTTGGAATTAAATTTCTATTAATATTTTTTAAATGTTATAAAAGGATTTTATTATTACCGATTAAAATAAATTTATTATTTATAATATTTATTTAAATTAATTTAAAATAATTTAAATATATTAATTTAT